AAATGCATAAAGTTGAACCCTTATATGATCATCCATTACATACAGTATATCGATCAATATCAATATATAAACACAGTAAATAATGCTCAGATCAAGACAATCGCTACCTAAATTGATACGATGTATGCATACTTCAAAGAGACCCATCCCTGCGTCTCTATTGGCAAAACAAGCTAATCGGTTAAAAAATGGACAAAATGATATGGATACAGTGACACCAGTTGAAATGGAAAACATATTATCAAACTCTATGGATGATATTTTCAACTTGTTTAAACCTAATGTGATGACGGAAGAAGATGAACAAAAATCTAAAGAAATGTATCAACAAACATTGAAACAACATTTTCAAAATGGTGAATTTGATGCTCTTTTAGTGAAACAATTTGGTTTACAAGGTACACAATTGAATACTACTGAATTAATGTCGAATTTTAAAAAGTTACAACCTTTACAATTGGATTTAATAAAATATTCAATGAATCAATTGATTGATTTCAAAAAAGATTGGAATTTAATGCCTAATTATTTAAAACAGTTACAATATTATTTATCTTATGGGAATTATGGACCTAGAGAACATTATAACGATTTTTCAAATAAATATGAAAAAATCAAATTTAAACTTGATCCATTAACAAAAGTAGTATTGATAATATTCACAACTATAACTACAACTGCCCTGATTAAACCAAGACGTAGCTCCAGAGATGATCAACCTATTTAAATATTCATGAATCTGTATTTGTGATTTCATAATACTACATATTATTAAATATATATATAGTGATGCCAAAAACACACACGCAATAACAGAATAAAATAAAAATAAAAATTATAATTAAACATGCATTTAGGGATAATGTCATAACATCACAACATTCATCCATTTTCTCGTATTCTCTCTTCTTTATTCTCATTTCGATAAAGGAATTTGTACTCTATAATTGTGGTAGAAGAAACAATAACTGTAACACCAAAAGAAATATAGGTATACAAAAGAACCCCACAGACCGCATAAAATTCCAGTTCATTTCGTCTTATCCTCCTTTCTTAATAATGATACAAATATGTAGATATATTTTTTTTCTTTTCTGCCACTTTCATTTCAAAAAATATATATAATAATGAAAATAATTAACCACTCAAAAAGTTCTTAGTCAAACTATTCTCCATCTTCGTCGTCGTCGTCGTCATCTTCGTCGTCGTCGTCATCTTCGTCGTCGTCGTCATCCATATCATCCATATCGTCTTCCCACGATTTTTCAACTGTTTCTTTTACTCGTTTAATATATTGAGATTTATGATCTTTAAACAATGTTGCAGCTTCTACATTAGCAGGAGATGCTGGGTTTGGGTCATTGAACAAACTCTGAATGGATGTTAATATCGATGCAACATCATACGTTGGAGTCCATCTATTTTGTAAAATATCTAAACATATTTCACCGTTAGCATACACATTAGGATGAAACATTTCACTTAGAAATTTCACATGTGGTGGTTTATTTGGATAATCTTCTCCAAACTCTAGTAATAATCGGAATGTACCATCTTCATATGATGTATCTGCAGGACCTATAATCATAGCATTCCAGACCATGACATTATCAGGTAATGGAGAGGCTGAAAGCCCCGGTGGCGCATCTTCTTTCATACGTTTAAAATCTCTCATCAATCTTCTTCTTGCAGGAGTAGACATGATTGCAAAATATTCAACAGTTGTAGTAGTAGTCTAAATGGAATGAGTCAACGATTATAATAATGATAATATGGTTCTAAACCCTTATAAAATAATTGATATAATATTGATATAAAAAAAGAAAAACTAAGTGAAAATATGCGAATGCTCTATAGTTTCCCTCTTGTAAAATGAGCGATAATTAACTCTTTATTATTCAATTCTTATATCGACACAAAATATACCTAACTTCTTTCTTCTCCTTATCTAATGAGTTAAGTAGTGATGTTTATATATATATATATATATATATATAATCAGTTCTCATTGAACACAATGATTGTTACCTCTACATTGCCCTGAAAGACCAAAATCTACTTTTCTCTTCTTAATCAGCAAAAGATCGAAAGCACGAAATTATTTTCCCTCCCCGCCGCCTCTGCCAAAGCCATTTTTGCTTCTTTGATCCTTTAGCAGGGAGAAGAGAGGTTGATCAAGTTGCTGCTCGTGCAACATGATGCTGATTTCCAACCCAAACTGAGATTAAGCAGAATGAGATGACGGTATAATATTCCATTAATTGGGTTGATTACTATTGTTTATAATTACATATATGCTATACCTTATCTAGTTGTTTCTTAGCTGTGCTCTTCATCAAATTTCCAAGTGTCAATACAGCGTCGACACCGTACCCTGGCATAGAATGAACTCTAAGGTCACCATTCCAATACTCTGCATACACTTTACACATGGCCAAACCGACCCCAAGTTTGTACCTGAACGGTCTTTGCAGTAGTTCTATCAACGGTTGTTCTAATTTATAATGACCTTTATTGATATTCCATTGTGTTGTGTGTGCTAATGATGTATTCATATATGGTTCTACGGCTCTCATCGATGAAGACGTACACGTTGTTGAGTCGGCTATATCATCGTAGATTGATATACTATGTAACCCAGGTAATTTATGAAAATTGTTTAAGGATTCGCGAGCTCTTTCTTTAGATTTCCCAAATGACCATAAATCTGCATCACTATGAATTAATCCACCTGCTTGATCTGAAATTCTGAAAATATATGTATCTGGGTTTTCAATTATTGTCACAACAATAGGTGCAGGTTTATCTGACCCTTTCCTAATATATTCTCTAATGGTAGCCTCATATGCGTTTCTTAATATTTCACCTAATAAATATTTTAAATGAGTCGGTAAGAAATAGAAATTTAAATCGGTACAGCCCTCTATTTTCAATTCAGGTAATGGTATTGTAGGATAATACATATTTCTAATAAATTGTTCACATTCTTTACTTGCGTGAGTCAAATATTGTAAAGCATTACATTCTTGGAAGATATCGCCTAGAACTAAAGTATTTTCTTTCTTACCGGTAACATAGTTTGATGTCACGCTGAGATGTTCCTCAACGATTAATCGTCTCGAGATACGAGATCTTAGTAAATTTGATAATAACTCATCCATTTTATCTCTTGGATATAAATCGAAAATTGTACATTCTAATGCACCCATTATTAAATGTGGTAAATTCAATGAATTAAAATCTTGTAAAATTTTCCTAATAAATTCTGAAAACTTTAAATTATCTTCCATGGTCTTAATAGCAGGAAATTTCCTAAATCTTTCAAATATATTATAATAAGATTCATAAACTTGTAAAAAATGGAAATTATTTACCACATTAAATGGTAAACTTTGTAAAAGGTTAATCTTAGATGCAATCCGTATCACTAGTTCTTCCTTCACGAAGATTCCTGAATTGATGATTTTCTGTTTTGTTAAAGTCGACGAATCGTCATAATATTGTGCAAGTTGCATTAATGATACAGGATGAGGAGTTCTCTTGGCATAATCATTCATTAGGATATTTCTATTTTGGTAATAATGTTGTTGATTTATATATCTTGAGTCAGTTGGAAATGCTTTCATTGTTTCAACAATATAAGGGGCAATACCTTCCTTGATAGGTTTCACAGGTGAATATTTTGTGAAATCAGGAGCCTGTGTCAAGTCTGTAGTCTTCAACAACGTATGTTGATGTCGTATGGCATTAGGCAATGTAGGCAATGCAGTAAATCTATTCATATTTGGCGTTTGTTTGCTTGTTACTATGTAATCAATTACCCGTGAAATCTTAATTTATGCTCTGTCTCTCGAAGTAATGTAAACCAAATCAATGTACATAAAACAAGTAATAACTTTTGTAAGAACCAATTTGGTATCGACTCATTCATTACATCTCTCTCTATATATATATTCAAGTTATGCATCTGATGATTACAATAAAGACGAATCCAAATTCTCGCGATGACTAAAAAAGTTGGAAATTTTTGAGAGTTCATTGGGTTTCTACGCCAGTTTCTGTGTATTCCGGTACTCCGGTTTCCAATGAATAATGACGGTAATAAGACAACTTTATAAATTAAAGATATATAAATTATATATAAATGGGTATTATGAACAACTGTTAAATTTCTTCTGGTTTTAATGAAGAGGTATGAAGTAGTAATATTTCGTTAGCTTGTCTGATAAATCCAACCAGTGGTCTTGGATCCTGGGGATCAGTAATGACATCGTCTACTGCATTACTAATACAGGTCAATACAGTAAGATTACAATTACCACGTAAACTGACAAAAAAGTTCATATAATCCAATATTAAGTTTAAAAAATACCCATCTTCCTTGGTCTGCTTATATTCTTCTACTGTTGATACGAACGTTATTGATATTTTGTTCATTGTAGTATCATTCATTTGGATATAAGGCCTAGGTGGTAATTTCGGTGGAGTGTTCTTATCCTTTTGGCCTTCAACAGGAGTATCTATGGTTGTCTTATCATTGGAAGAAGTCTCAATGGGAATGATTGGTTCTGTAGGCGACCGAATAGGATAAGAATCGGTATTCTGTATAGGTTTTGTCATCAATACTTTTAAGATCGACAGAAGAGTACCCCTGGCTGTGATATCGGGACAAGATGCCAACGAACTATTAATGAATTCAAAGGATATATATTCTGGGAATAAACAGAGCAACCGACTCAATACAATAAATGAAATATTGTATGTGTGATTCTCCTGAGAAACCCAAATTCTCCTCAAGAATGACTCTAAGAAAATTCGAGAGATAGGTTCTGGTAACTTATGCAATTCTTCTCTTAATGAATTAGTAGAATTTTGAGTAACTGTTACCCATAAACAATATTTTAAAGCACATTCAGCTGATGAATTATAATATAACTCCGAATTTTTTGCAGTTGTGGTATATCTAAGATATGAATAAATTGCATCAGTGATTTTTAAATCAGTGATAACACATGATGCTTCTTCCAAATAATATGCCCCAATAAGAATCAAAACCCCTAATGGGTCCATGACAAGTGTAGTTTCCTTCAATGATTTTTCAATTGTATAATTATACGCCACTTTCCATAAGAAATCTATAAATTTTTTGGTTACAGTTTTATCCTCCGATTCATTCAATTTTTGAAAAGTTCTATCATAAATATTTTTGGATTCGGTGGCATAATTTTTAAATTCTTGAACTAAATCAATATCATAAAGTAAAGTCAGTAAATAGAATTTTGAAAGAATATCAGTCAAATCAATCTTTTTGTCTAAAATACCTGTTCCTTCTAATTCCATAAAGTAGTAGAAATCAAATGGGAAAAATGTTTCTTTCAAACATTGAGCTAAAGTATGAGTGATCAGATGAGAAATCAATTTATTTTCCAAATAAAGTTCATCTTTAAAAATTTTGGCCTGTGGATCATCATCACCGATATTTTGATCCTTGAACTTAGTAGTCCTATCATGTTGTATTTTGTTATAACTAACAATATATTGATATACTCGTTTCAAGAAAAAAATTGGTTCATTCATTAATTTGATATTATTTCTCATAAAGTTACTGATTGCCATTACCACTTCAGCTAGGAATTTCGACGGATAAGGTGTTTCCAATCTTCTACTACAAGTAATTATCATTTCAAACAAGAAATGGATCTTTATATCCGGAACGGTTTCATCCTCGTACTTTAGAGGTTCATCGGCATTGTATATAGAATCATTAAGTTTCTCAACATCAGTCTTAGTATCATTTTGATTCTCTTTCGAATCATCGAGTTTCAAATCACTCAATAGATGAGATTCAGATTTCAAAACTTCATCGGCTTCTTCGCCAGGGGCTATTTTCAAATCAGACAACGATTCACAGGCCGCCAGCAAGCATTCCTTAGAGTTCCCGTTAATAGCAATCTTATTAAAACATTTTGCCACAGTCAGCAGAATAGGGCTCTTTGATAATTGATCCTCAGTTTTAAGGTTTTCTGCAGAGATGAAATCTAACAGAGTCTTTGGCAAATCCCAACCTATTTGTTCGATGATATGATCGGACAACCCATCGTGTATTGTCTGTAAAAAACTTTCTTTCTCTTGAAGTGTCATATGTGAGTTAATATGAGATGCGTATAGATCTATCACTGTAACTAATGAGACGGGGTCATCTTTCTGTTCTTCGAACGCGTGAGTCAGTTTCTGACATAACTCTTCGATTTCAGTAGTCATTCTCAAACTTGTATTGCTATTCCTCCCCGCTAATAACCTAATAATAGTGTAAATAATTGTAGTCGTTTATAATAGTTAGTGTTCGTCAGCTATCTTAAAATATCATCACGAAAAAATATCTGGAAAAAAAGCCAACAACAACGAAAAGGGCGTACACTAAATGAGTATAAACAAACAAGAACGAAAGAACCATTCCACATATAAACACATCAACATTTGTTGGAAGATTGGTATGATACAATATAGCAATTAATAATAATCAAGTGTTAAAGTACAGGTATAAAAACAACGCAAGAGGATATGAGCAGAGAACAAAGTGTAGACAAGTTGATTCCACAAGTGTTTGATGAATTGCGATCCAACATGGATTCTCATCAATATCCACATCAATCTACAATTGCATCTCCGATCACCACACAGTCATTGATCAATGAATTGGAGAATTTGGAGAAGATTACACAAGTCATTGAGCAAATCACTAGTAGTGTGAAGCATAATATTCCTAAGGATATTGATAGGATTTATGAAGTGTGTCAAAGCAGTAACAAATTATTAGATTCATGGATTGGTATTCAATCACAAGCAGGATATATATATAGGTTAATGGGCGAGCCATCCTATTTAAGACATTTGAGAGAAGACGGTATAGAGCATAGTTTTGAAGAAGAAGTCAAATTGGAGACGGAAAGCATTGAACAATTAAAGAAAGAGATCGTACGGGTAAATGCCATACAGTCTGGCGAGTCTAAATCTCAACCACAACAGCAGCAGCAAGCTTCTAAGACTACTATAAGGAAACCCAATAGATCTATATATAATACGAATAGTAATAGTAAAAAACCGACAGGAATCCGTCGGCCCACTATAACTAAAGAAAGAAAATTATTCAGAAGATAGTATATGCAATATATCTGTGTATGTTTGTATTTATTCTAAATTATTATATTAATGTTATGTATTCCATCTATTAACCATTTCATTCATTAGTTCGGCACCATGTAATTGTAAGAATTTTGGCAAATCGTCTATATTATCTAATTGATTTGGATCATCTAATGATATCGTTGCGTGAGTGTCTAAAAATTTATTGATTAGTTTCAATATAAACAAGCAATTCGGGTAAACGATACATTGAGAATATGGCGGCCTTGACCAATATTCCAAATATTTTAAATAATTTTTGAATTTAATATCTTTAAAGATATTATTCTGTTGAGTGGCCAAGTATGTAACATATTGAATATTTGCCAAGGATTGAACGAACTCCAGCTCCACTTCAAACCTCGTAGGTAGATCCTCCATCCTAAGTATATATGAGTGTCTTCTATCTTCACAACTTCGATCTCAACAGTTTTACATCATGTATCTCATGTATATCAGAGATTATATATATCTATAATGTAATGTATCTTGTAAAATTTATAGAATTATTTAAAGCGCGGAGTGTTAATTTAGCCAACAAAAAAAAGCCAAAGGAAAGATATCTCTATAAAAGATACATACGTTTCAAGGAACAGAGTGAAGCAGACATACACACATATATGTGTATATCAAGACTATACAAGACTATAAGATATACACAGAACATATAATATTTGCGGTAACAATGGAACAAGTGTATCCGTTGCTAATCAAATGGTTAACGCCCAGCATTGTTATAATAGGAAATATATTTCAATATAGTAATATTAAATGGATTACTCAAGAGAAAGATCATTGGTTAAATGTAGTATTTGTCAAACGTGGCTGGATCTGGACTACGTTAGTAATAATATTGAATGAGATAGCCAGCATGCGCACAGCAACTAACAGCAGGAGAAGACGGAGACGTATCCTTAAGCAGTATGCATTGATGGTCGTGTGGTGGTATATATTTACGCAAGGTATACCAATGTACAAAATTTTCAGCAGTGATAATAGCAATAATGAGGGCAGTCGCTGGTTCTTAGCACCACCATTAATGGATCTAATATTTATTATGACAGGTGGTAGTTGTTCGTATCAAGTGTTTGATGATGACAATGTCCAGATATCTACCTTATTCCACGGCACTGAGATTCCAAGACGCAAATGGAAGTACTTGCAAATATTGCAAAATATTTTATTATCTGATAATAGATTACAGAGGCCCCGGACGTCGTTGCTCACGAGTGCCACCGCTGCCTTGCAATGCTTGTTGCATAATCATAATCATAGTCACAGTCATAGCGGGTTGCCATTGCCAGCAGCATCAGCCCCGTTGTCGGCATGTGAAGCTATCGGGCACGGCGGCGGCAACTCGTGGAATAAGGAAATTGCCGCCGTGATGAACGAGATCGATGGCCAGGTGGCCTCGTCGAGCGCCCGGTGCAGGCAGCTGGGCGGCTACTGGTCCGGCGGGCACGACCCCTCCGGTCACGTGTTTCTGCTCACGGTGATGGTCACGTTATTGCTCTCTGAGCTGCGTGGCGGTGGCAGCAGCCGCCGGTGTTGGCAACAGTGCGTGTCACGTGCGCTGTGCTGGCTGCTGGTTGTTCTGTGGTGTGTGTCATTATTTGTGACTTGTGCAGTGTATCACACACCCATGGAGAAGGCTGCGGGGTTTCTGTGTGGATATATATTTGCGGTGCGCGCGGTGGTCACGTGAGAACTGCACACCCACCGAAGCAAAAAACAGCGCGAGCGCGAGCGAGAGAAACGTGGTTCTCATCACAGCAGCAAGCGCAACCGCAACCGCAATAGCTGGGTGACATACACAATCCACAGTTTGCATCTCTCGCACTCGCGCTGATTGCGCTGGATTAAACGAGAAAGGGGAGCGACGAGAGTCATCGGAGTGTGGGTGTGGTGATGTGATAGCAGCAATAGCAGCAATAGCAGCAAATGTATGGAATATCGGCATAGATGGAGGGGAGGTTACTGCTACTACCACAGTATTAATATATGTTCAATACGGTAATAAGCAATAGACTGGACTGGTTTATTGCGAATCGTATTGGGTATGGACTATGGGATAGATAGATATACAGACTGTGTAAATGCAAAATACATATATTTTAAATTTATATTCACAAGCTGATATTGTGATCCGATAGAGAAAATAGCGTTTCGAGGAGGGTTATTATCTTGTCATCGAGCAGGAATGAACGACAATGACATATTCCCTTATGTATTTACTTGTATATATATATACATATATATATATATACAAGGGGAATCGAAACAGGCCGGGATATCGTTTGAGGTTATATATTGTAGCTTATACGTTTACATTTTCTTTTTATATAGATATATAGATATTTATTTATCAACACAGTAACAGTCTCGCAATTAAAGATGAAGATTACAGAGAAATTACAAAAACACCATGAAAGTTCTCCAAAGGCAACTTTTTCATTCGAATACTTTGTGCCAAAGACGACACAAGGTGTGCAGAATTTATACGATAGAATGGATAGAATGTACCAGTCCTCTTTACCTCAATTCATCGACGTGACATGGAATGCAGGCGGTCAAACCAGCAAATTATCTCAATCCTCAACAGAATTGGTCTCGACGGCTCAAAGCGTCCTGGGTCTGGAGACCTGCTTGCATTTGACTTGCACTAATATGCCGATATCCGATATCGATAACGCGCTAAAGGAAGCATATGACAGTGGATGTCAAAACATTTTAGCATTGAGAGGAGACCCGCCCAGTAACGAATATAAATGGGAACCTTGTAAAGGTGGGTTCCAATACGCTAAGGACCTCGTCGCTTATATTAGAGAAAAATATGATAATCATTTCGATATTGGGGTGGCGGCATACCCTGAGGGACACCCTGAAGAAAAGGACTCCATCAAGAACTTGGACTATTTAAAACAAAAGATTGATGCTGGTGCAAATTTTATTATTACTCAGATGTTTTATGACGTGGATAATTTTATTCAATGGTGCCATACTGTAAGACAATTTGGGATCGAAGTACCTATCGTCCCCGGCATTATGCCTATTACAACATATTCTGCTTTTGTAAGAAGATGTCAATGGGGGTCAATCAGTATTCCTTCGTCTTTCATTGAAAGTTTAAACCCTATTAAAGATGATGATGAATTGGTCAGAGCTAAAGGAACAGAGTTGGTCGTGGAAATGTGTCAGAAATTGTTAGATAGTGGCTACATTAACCATTTACATCTATATACTATGAATCTTGAGAAGGCTCCCTTGATGATCCTGGAACTATTGGATTTATTACCAACAGAAACTGAATTTATTAATGATCCTGTGTCTGTCTTACCTTGGAGAAAATCCTTAAATCCACAGAGACGTAATGAAGAAGTTAGACCAATCTTCTGGCAAAGAAGACCTTACTCGTATGTGGCAAGAACCTCGCAATGGACAATCGATGAATTTCCAAATGGTAGATTTGGTGATTCTTCTTCTCCCGCATTTGGTGACTTGGACCTGGTAGGTTATTCGTTATTTAGACAATCTCCACAGAAGGCCCTCCAATTATGGTCTACTCCGAAAACAATGCTAGATATTAGTCAATTGGTGATTAATTATTTACAAGGGAAACTGGTATGCTTACCATGGAGTGACACTCCATTGAATCACGAAGTCGATACGTTATTGACTCATTTGATTATGATGAATAAGAACGGAATCATTACAATCAATTCGCAGCCCAGAATTAATGGAGAAAGATCAAATGATAAGATCCATGGGTGGGGCCCGAAGGATGGTTATGTGTATCAAAAACAATATCTGGAGTTTTTGTTACCAAGAGAAAGATTGCCCAAATTGAAAGAAGCTCTGAAGGATAATGATATCATGACATATTTTGCCATTGATGTTCAGGATAAACTTTCAACAAATCATCCAGATGGGTCAAAGGCAAACGCTGTCACTTGGGGGATCTTCCCAGGTAGAGAAGTTCTGCAACCAACAATTGTCGAGAAGGTCTCATTCTTGGCTTGGAAAGAAGAATTTTATAGAATCCTGGAAGATTGGAAATCTATCTTTATTAAGGATAACGATAATGAAAGTATTCAATTATTGAATTCTTTAATTACGGATTACGTCCTGGTGAATATTGTCGATAATGATTTCGTCTCTACAGAAGATCAAATATTCACACTATTGATGACATTGTGATTCGTTAATTCCATATTATTATCTCCCCCCCCTTCATTATCTTCTACTGCATTTCAACATAGCATTTCTTATTATATTTAGCATTAATATTTCTTTTTTTTTTGTCATTCGACCATTAACTATTTGCATTTCAACATGTGCATACTAAATATATATATATATATCTATCAAACTTGTATATTTTTATTTATTTTTTTTCAAATCTTTCTTTTTATACATACATTTATATTCCTTTATTAAAATGTGGCACCTTCTTGTATAAATAATCGAGATTCATATTTCTTACACCACCCAATAATTCTCTTGGCACTTCTTAGTACAACTTCTTTGTTATTTACACCATTATTACAAATTAAATATAACTCAAATTGCGGTGTTATCCAAATCAATCCCATCATGTTGATTTTCTCCCTTTTGAAATCTCTCTGCGTTTCAGTAATCGCATCTTCTCCTTCTTCTCTTTCTTCTCCTTCTTCTCCTTCTTCTTCCTCTTCCCAATGGAAGTAATTTAATATTGTCTTATTGATAGGCAACCCAGTGTCATCAACGACAGAATTGTATAAATGTCCATAATATTTTTTAAGTTTACATTCATATTGAGTTAATTTAGTGGCGTCATCATTATGAATTTCAATCTCAGGCATCACATATTGAACGTATTTTTTAATCTTATACATGAAATGATGTACTAAAGGTGCTTGAATGTCGCTAATTCTAAACTTAAATCGATCCTTCACGAAATATTCATCCAGTTTATCATGTTGTAATTTATTCCATAACTTATCACCAAATGTCTTCAATTTATAAAATGCATCCTTTTGCGCACTAATTAAAACCAATACAGTATCTTCCATTTGTGAAGAATTGTTAGCATGTGATCTTGATAAATATTTAATATAACTGTAAAGAAACCCATTTGAATTGAACTTAGGGAAACAGATAGGTAACCATAATTCTTGATCCCCATCCCTATTCTCAAATTGATGTGTAATCAAACTGAATAACAATTGAAGATCAATGGTATGCAATGAATGGCCCTTAGGTCGAATTACTGCGCATAGTTTGAACATCTTTCTTTTATGGGAAAGAATCAACCCATACAGCAAAGTGCCTCTCGGTATATCTTTACTTTCATTAATTAATAAATTATGAATAGTATCATGAATTCGTGCTCTTTCGGTCTTCCTCATAACAAAGCATTGTAATGCATTTAATCCGAAATCAGGATATAATTTATTGGATAATAAAGAACATATTTGTCTTAAATTATCAAAATCTGTCACTTCCAGATAGTTCCGTAGATCGAAATTCGAACGATTATGGAATAAACGTTTTAATTGCCGTTCATTGATTGAAGATATTAAATAGGAATATAGGAGATCCAACTGTGTCATTAATTCGTTTGTGGTTTCACCTCTCCTCGAATATGCCATCAATATGATAGGTGCTTTATTTGTAAATGCAAATGTTTGTCTTGTTTTATTCAATTTTATTGTCCTTATGTTTGTAGTTTCATTTATTTGAAAATAACTTACCACAGTATTGATAATACCCATATATGGAACAATTTGTTTATCCTCTCCAAACATTGAAAATATGGGTTTTCCAGCAGATGTTAAAATGAAAAAATTCTTAGAGTGAGATTTGAAGTCTGGACTGGTTTGATTATCATTGATAAAAACGTCTGGAATTTCATTACTGACGACAGGTTTAAACCCATAAGAATTACCTGTCAATGATGCTGGGTATGAATAAATGCTTTGTGCTAATCTATCGATCAAATCCTTTCTCGCTTCTTCATTAAATGCAGTATCCTGTGCTTGACGAGTAGATGGATCCTCGATATTGTTACTGTATGAGAAACTCTGTTCTATTAATGGATCAAAGGAAGTGTTGACACTGAGTTGATCTGCAACTGTATTAGGCCTGGTGGGCCTTCGACTTACTATTGAAGAAATTGATTGCATCGATCGTAGTCTTGGGAAATTATTTAACGACACGTTGTCTTCATTATCACCATTCAATGTATTGTTTACAGGTGGTATAATAGTCTGAACTATGGTATTATCTAGATTAATAGATAGGGACGGCTGTCCCCTTGTTTTGATATTAAAGCCAGATTGACTCTTTGAAGGTCTAACCCCTGATCGGAAACTTCTGGTACTTGCAGTATCTAAATATTGGTCCTTAACATTCATATTTTGTCCATTTGGTAATTAATAGTATGCGGTAGGTTGCTTAAAAATTGATTTGCCTTGTGCAATAAAGAAAAACCGGTCTAACAGAATATCGAAAGGTACTGATACAAAATCTGCAACTTAGAACGGTGCAATAGTTTAGACAAACGGTTTAATTGGAGTCCTTTATTTTCTAGTAGCAGAGATGTCAACGTCTTGTTTATAGTTATAAAAATGTACCTTATATTTAAACCTGTAAGATCCATGGCATTAAGCGCGAATCACAATTTACAAAAATTCTTGTGGAAGGAAACTCCGTAGAGAAATAAAAACTTGACATTGTAATCGGAGTATTAACTATAAGTAAGAAAGCTGATAAATTTGCTTAGAGAATCAAGGTAACTGGATATAACATTCACGTAATATTTTGGGTTTTATACTGCTTGTTGAACCTGATGGTATGTGTATATTTAAGCGATCTACAGCTGTATGGGGAAACTTTTATAAAAAGGTCATATTTATACCATCTCTTTATATCAATCCAATCTACATTTAGCGAACGACATTATTCAACACGTTGCAATACGGTTTAAGATATGTAATAAAATCAATTAATTTGTTACTAAAGCGGTTGTAATGTGCATATTCTCTGTAAGACAGATAGCTATAATTCCTAAAATGCGACATTAGACTAGCCTTTCTTACATCGTAACACCACATATATAGTATCCATCCGTACACCTCATAGGTACAACCACGCAATTTTATTAAAAAGTAAACATTTTTCGAATTTTTCGAATTTTTCTATTTTTTTTACTTTTCTCTTGCAATTTTCGGGCATAGTTCAATTTTGTATGGAAGACGCGCCATGAAAACGAAAAATTTCCAAAGTTAAACACTGTTAAGACCTTTACAGAATATTGTAAAGACTGCTTTAGTTTACTCAGTACGTGTGAAGACCTTTGCAGTAAATAATTAGATTTATATTTTATGTTATAGTATTATCATCTCTTGAATTTCTTTCAATTAATCTCAATTCTAACTCCTGCTTGTTTTTATATATTTCAGTTATAAGAAACCGTGTTCTAAATTAAGTCGATTGAAAGTTACCTACATCAACTTTCCGTGTTAAATTCCGACTATATCAAAGAAATAATCAATCAATAGCAAGAATGTCTGCTCCAGCTCAAGCTCCAGAAGGTCAACAAAGAAGAGGTGGTTTCGGTGGTAGAAACAGAGGTCGTGGTGACAGAAGAGGTGGTAGAAACACCGAAGAAAAGGGATGGGTTCCAGTTACCAAGCTAGGTAGACTAGTTAAGGCTGGTAAGATCTCTACTATCGAAGAAATCTTCCTACATTCCCTACCAGTCAAGGAATTCCAAATCATTGACACTTTGCTACCAAACCTACAAGATGAAGTCATGAACATCAAGCCAGTTCAAAAGCAAACCAGAGCCGGTCAAAGAACCAGATTTAAGGCTGTCGTTGTTGTCGGTGACTCCAACGGTCACGTTGGTCTAGGTATCAAGACTGCTAAGGAAGTTGCTGGTGCCATCAGAGCTGGTATCATCATTGCCAAGCTATCTGTTATTCCAATCAGAAGAGGTTACTGGGGTAACAACTTGGGTCAACCACATTCTCTATCTACCAAGACTACTGGTAAGTGTGGTTCCGTCACTGTCAGATTAATTCCAGCTCCAAGAGGTTCTGGTATCGTCGCTTCCCCAGCTGTCAAGAAGCTAATGCAACTAGCTGGTGTTGAAGATGTCTACACCCAATCTAACGGTAAGACCAGAACTCTAGAAAACACCTTGAAGGCTGCTTTCGTTGCTATTGGTAACACCTACGGTTTCTTAACTCCAAACCTATGGGCTGAACAACCATTGCCAATCTCCCCATTGGACATCTACGCTGATGAAGCTACTGTCCAAAAGAAGAGATACTAATTGTATAAATAAATATTTTTCAATATTTCTTTTATAACATTTGTATAACTTTTAAAGTAGATAGCGTTTTCGTTTATTCAGTTGTGCTGTAGTAATTGTAAGTAAACTAGGTAGAATGACACTGATAAGAAGTCTTTATTAAAGTAAGTGTAGGCTTTCCTATTCATCAAGGTTTGCTATTGAAGTTAATATAAAGATAAGATCAAAGTTCCTTCCATCATAATTGATACTACTGTTACTACAATTAATAAGTAGGTAAGAAATAACTACTTTATCCCTATTTACAGATTAAAGTATTTACTTTCCAAGATATTACAGGTATATATTATATAGTGTCATACAACAATCGTTTATGCAAACGATTTTAGTTTAATTAATATATATTTTATTTTGTTTTGTTTTTATTTTTATTATTATTATTATTATTATTATTATTATTATTATTATTATTATTATTATTATTAAATAACTTCATATTATTTTAAAATATTATTTCAACTTCGATAATGTTCATGAGATTTTGTTATTTAGGAATATTAACACTTCAAACAACATCAAATAAACATCTTAGTATAGTACAATGCACTCAAATTTATAAATTAACAATATCCTTGTTTAATCCATTTGAGCATCATTATCTTGTGGGGCAAATGCAGAAGTATTTTGAACGGGAGTAACTGAGTTTGCAAAGTTCTCTTGTTGTGGAGCATTCTCAATTTGGGAACCTCCAGGTAAGGCAAATACTCTTTGGTTTGTTGGAACATTCTGTTGACCACCCCATGAGCTTTGAAGACCTTGACCTTCACCGAGTTGCATTTGTGGTAGTTGTTCCTGTTGTTGTGGTTGTTGTTGAGCACCCTTCTTTTGAGGTACGACTCTACCCTCTGGATGTCTGAATAAACAAGCTGCATTAGTACAATTAATACCGAACCTACAGTCTTCATTAATTGGATGACCAAATATACAGTCGATTCTAGTACAATTCGCACCTTCACGACACATAATTGGGGAACGTGCGTGTCTATATTTACAACGCTTATTAGTACAGTGAGTACCATATTTACATTGTTCTAAAGACTTTTCAACAGGAGGGTGCGAAGACATTGCTGGGTTAGTTTTACCTGGATGGCCTAAGGAGGCCACAGGTCTCAATTTTGATACAGAGGAATGAGCCTTCTTACAACTAGCATCTTGACATTGCAAATTATTTTCACACCACATAAGGTCGATTACTTTAGCATCTTCATTAGCTGGGGTTGGATGACCGAAAGGACAAGCAGGGTTAGAACAGACAGCACCAAATTTACAAATGACTATACCAGTTTGAACAGGTTTGCTTCTGGCAGCTAGCAATGCGTCTTTTCTCTTTTGAAACTCCTCGCGAGTCTTTTCTAATTCCTTCATCAATTCTTGATCTTCATCGGGGTGTAAGTATTCACAGGTACCTCTTGGTTTTGGACAGTTTGGATACTCATTACATACTTTAGTTGGATGAGCATGTGGGCATGATCTTCCTAGAGGACAATGAGGGAACAATTTACAACGACCTTCTCTTTTCTTAGAGACATAGTTAAGGTTGGTGTTACCACCCATACCAAGGGCCTTGGCTAACGGATTGAAACGGTCATTCCCACCGACGTTGCTGTAACCGCCTCTACCTGTGGTACGAGCACCACCACGAGCACCACCACGGCCTCTACGAGTTTTACCAACAGCACCTCCACGTTGAGAGAAACGAGGTTGAACAGGAATGATAGCATTATTCGTAGTATCAGGAGTAGCGACGACACCAGAAAAGGCAGAGACTAATGGAGCTGGTTGACTTGATTGTTGAGCACCTGTCTGTTGTTGTGGTTGTGGTTGTGTCTGCTCAGGCTGAATGTTTGGAGCAGCAATACCAGGTAGTGACTGTTGTGGTTGCTGCTGTTGCTGTTGAGGTTGTTGAGGTTGTTGAGGTTGCTGATGTTGAGGTTGTTGAGGTTGCTGCTGTTGAGGTTGTTGAGATTGTCCTGCGGCATTCATTTCTCTGATCTTAGAAACAATATTCTCCGCCGATTCACCCTGTTGCAAAGCTTCAAGAGCGAAAAATGCGGTTTGGACAACATCAGATAAGGCTTCCACAGGAATAGCATCGAACAAAGTACTCAACTCTTGGACAATAGATTCTAGAGTACCACCGTTAACGATCAATAAGACAATATATTCGGCAACATATTTAACATCCTCGTTGAAGTTCTGTAGGCCGTTTAACTTTTCAGCTACAATAACCTTTAAGTTTTCTGAAAACTGATCTTGAGACATTATAGTATAGTTCGATAACAGGCTTGTATGTTTGGTAACTTTATAAGCAGATAATCAAACACTATTTGTTAGATTTATTGCTTGTATATCTTCCCAGTTCTGGTATAAAGAAAATACTGTATAATTTTTTTCAAAAAATTAAATTGGAATGGGTGACCCTTGTCCTGCTTATATAATAAATCAATTTACTTTTTCGTCGTTTCGTGAAAATACGAATATTGGTAAAGGAAAAAATAAGAACTTTGAAGAACAGCTCAGCTCGTATTGAGTGATATTTATTAGTAAGTACTATGACAACTGTCTTCAAGTATTGATATCGAAGGTAAATAGTAATGGTCTACAAAACTTATCACCAGTTGCTACTGAGATATATATGTGTGTGTGTAAATGTGTTTTGTACAGCTGTTGTTATAAGGCGAGCTGTGCATTTATATGTCATATTTAAGTATATTACTTTCGTAAGGTATTGCTCATGTTCATTTCGGGGGTCATAAACTATGTATATATATATATGTATATATGTGTGTAGGGTTGTATCTCTAGTTTTATTTAATGGTACATCCCTCTACCTGGGTGCAAAGATAAAAATTCATCAGTTCTGAATAATTCCTCTTGTAAATCATTAAATAACTTTTCTAAATGATTCCATTCCATTTCATCTTCAAATGTATGACTCAAGGCAGTTCTATATATCCGTTTAGCTTTTTCTCTACTTTGCATCAACTTCACCATAGTTCCAGGTAAATAAGTTTGAGTAGTAGATATCGTTGATGGTGTGTCCCTATAGGTAACCAATTGATCTAACAAATCTGTTAATTCCTTTGTGGTATCAGTTAATTCATTCTGGGCATGTGTATAGAAAAGAATCCGAGATAGCTCGTGATCTCTGTCATCAATTTGTGGTTGTTGTTGCCTTGTGGTGGTAAATATTGTAAATGGATGATCCTCGGAGTTTTTTGTAGGGGATGACACAGTATAATAGTGTGTCTCAGAGTAATAACTAACCATTTTTTTCTGTTGTTTACTTGAAAGATTGGCAAAGACGTATTGTCGAAGGGTTTATTGATGATAGTGGAAACGTGTATGTCTCCTTTGAATTATGAGTTATATGTATGTATATGAATATATGAATTGAAGTATTTATTGTTACAAACCCCGTTTTATCGTATATATTAATAAATCGTTCTGCTCATCAACTACTCCGAAGCAAGGGAAAGGTCTGATAGTTTGCTGCGGGGTTTCTGTCTAATTGTGTGCTATTTTCACCACTCGCGAAGCCTTCCCTCTGTAAAGGTGAAAAATAGGAATATAAGAGATGAGATAGGATGACATGACAAATATGTAGTTTTCAGTTAAAGTATATAGTCATGGAGTAATGTCCCGAATATGATTTTAGAACAGATGAAGAGTTTATATTTAGGGGAATTTGGCAGGGAACTTTTAACACTGTTGTAGGACGAATATATAATTATTCAAAACCTTGGAAGGATAGTTAAGAAAGAAATTCTGTAAATTTTATTTTCAAAAGAGGTCATACATGTGATTGTATGATTTTGTGACAATAGTTGTCAATATAGATCAGACACAAGAATAGAAAACGATCAGAAAATAATAATATGTATAAATTATTTGATCGTTATGATATTAAGAGAGGAGGGCCAAGAATTTATACTGATTTTTATATAAGCATGTTTTTAGTTGGCACTCTTGTTCAATTTGTGGAAAGAACTAATTGATTTTAGATGTTAAGAAAACACTTTTCCTCTTTAATAATCAAATTCCAAAAATAGCTATTCAATTTAAAAAACAGTTATTTGAGGGGAATTATAAATGGATATTTCAAAATCATTTTTTCTACACAACAATACATAAGAAAATGTACTGTTCGGGTCATCTATTCAAATGATTCTTAAAAAATCACTTAAAGTAAACAAAACGTTAAAAACGATGAAGAAAGAATATAGAGTCTCTGATTAGTGTAGAAATAAACTTAACTACAATTTAATAAACATGTTAAACAGAGTTACTGTTGTTAGACTGCTCATATTTTGTGTGTAGTAACGATAAATAAATTTATAATGCTCTGTCAAAGCGAGTCTTTAAATTAGATATTTTTCAAACTATCATACTTAATGGATTGAAAAGACCTAAGAATAGTATTAATTATGTTTAAACAAAATTACGTAAAATATATCTCATTTTTCTTTTCTTTAAATAATCATTATAAAAATTGTAAAAACAAAAAAGGCATTATATTGTACCCTTTCAATATTTTTTACACTAGTAATCCTCGAACTCTGTTTCGCTTAGAAAATCATATTCATCAAAGGTACGCCCGCTTGCAGAGTCATTAATGTTACTACTAACAGTAGTTGAGATTATATCACGAGCATCAACAGAAGATCTTACAGATGGTGGAGATGTTGTCGAGGTATGGTTTTGTAATTTCTCTAAATTTATCCCACTAAGAATCAAATGATTCACCGATCTTAGTTTAAATATCGATTGTTCATTATCAAACTTACTTCTAATACCTTCATATAGGACAGTTTTCTCATCCATATCTTTAATTTGGAAATACATAAAATCTGAGATTTGACAATCTGAACCAAATTCTCTCTTAAATCTAGTGAATATGCGTTGATTATGAGGACCGATCCCATGTGGTACAGATATAACATATGATCCACCATCCAAATTAGTCACAATATTCAATTTATTTGGGAAGTACATATCGGTATTATTTTTCAATTTAAAGCAAAAATTCAAATCTTTTTCATAGATAGTTAGAGTGAAGGGATAGTTATTATTACTATTTTTATTGTTCGTACTCTTATTATGGACATTATCTCTTTCCACATCATCTACTTTCTTTGACGATTGTTGTTTGGACAAAGAAGGTACAACTGGATGTTTAGTCAATACCAGCATATTTTCTAATTGATTTTCTAAATATTTTTCATCACTATTAAATTTTTGAATCCACTTTTGATATGTCTTATAACCATTCATGACATCTTCTAAATCTTCCGAGGATTTAACATTTGAATAAAATTCAAACAATTCAGTATTTTGAGGATCAATATCAAAATAGATGTCCTCCTTATCAGTAGTTTTCTCTAATCTTTCTTGCCTTAGAGACAATTCCAATTGAGCCATCTGCACAGTCAATGACGTCAGCAAATCACGAGACACTGTGATTTCTTCATCTCCAGCAATCTTGTAATCCTTCTCCTTAATACTTATAAAAAGCATGTGAGTGGAAAGTAAAGTGACAGCAGCGTGACAGTAATCCTTTTCGGAGTTTAGGGGTTTCCATTGTTTCGATTTATGATAAAATTCTATCTCAGGAGAGACTTCCAGTTGTTTCAACTTACAAGCTACATGGCTAAAATAATTAGAATCTTCTAGGATTCCCCTTGGGAACAACCCATTTGGTAAATAGGAGACGATTCTCTCAGAGTTGTACTCCACGATCACCTTATACTCGTTCATATGGTCACGGTCTTTGCTAGTCATTTTCTAATAGCTAATCTATATGGAAGGTTTATTTATATTTTGCGTTACCTTAGATATATTTATATATATATATATATATATATAATAGCAAGTGAAGGGAAATATGACTCCCCCTAGTCTGTAAAACTGAGCTAGTAGTATCTTTTTATCTAATTAATAATCAATTCAACTTGGTCTGCTGATTCATTCAAGGGTGTACTATGCTATGTCAACTTCTTCGCCCTTCGCTTTATCTCTCTTTTTTGATATTTTATACGTTTCACTCGTTTCTTCTACGAGTGCTTCTGTGTGTGGGAGCGATATTCAGAGATAGAGAGACACCTGTTTATGGCAAAGATATGAAATTTGATGAGGAAACCAATACAATGCAAGATGGATTCATCAATCTTGCAATATCTTTAAATATATATATATACATATATATATATATACAAACAGACCAAGAGTAGACTAGTTCTCCATTCAAAGATAGAAACAGAGAACTAGTCTGAATACATTCATCACATCATTCTTCATTGAAATATGTATTTTCAAGTTTTCAAATGTTTCATATGTGTTTCAGCATTTCTTGAAACTCGGAATACTAGCACTGCAATACCTGAGTAACTAACATCTTGCATTTTGAACTTAGCAATTAAATCACCATCTTGCGATTAATTAACAAATATATAAACTACCTAACCTCAAAATTGAATTCCTCTTCTCTTCCCTCTCTATGTTCTCATGCTCTTCGCCGTTTTATTTTCGGAAGAAAAATTAGTGAAACTGAAGCAATTTTCGTCACCTGGCAAGCTCAACGCTAATTAATTTTTTTTTCAGATTCTCTTTAACGGTTTTTATTCGTATTTATTAATAGTTCCAGTTACCAAGGATTAAATAAAATACGTGCTAATCACTTATAAACAAGTTGAATCCATACAAGTCCCAACAAGTTAGTTCAAAAAGACATCACTACCATACCTCAGACAAAAATGCCTGAACAAGGAACGGTGACAACCAATGACAAGAAGATTCCATCAGGTACAGTTATCGATGATGCCCTGGTGCCTACTACAACTAACTCGACTTCGACGTCAAGTAACGGGAAGGAAAACTCGAGTCCCTTAAGAGGTAAACAGATTCAAAAGTCTCCTACTCCTCAGAATAGATCCTTGCCAGTATTGAGTAGAGCAGACACCGGAAGAGAACAAAGTGTGAATAGTACTAGTAATAGTAACACGTCTACAGCAGCTGCAACCACTTTGGTAAATATGAATTTAACAGCTGCTCCTATTTCTGTGCCTACTACAATGCCACAATCTGCTACATCGAGAAGATATAATAATATAGAAGATATTATTACACCTACAGTGACTGAGACACCAGCGTTACCAACAAGTGAAACTAAACAAAATGAATTACAAGTAAAACCGAAACGTAATTCGTTACGTAGAGCCAATATCCCACCACCATTGGGGTTACAACTACAAAATGATCATACAACGTCAGGGGCATCTTCTGCACCTGAACCTTCAAAAAATAATAATAATAAACTTCATATTCCATTAGATCCACAATCTGCGTCTGCTAGACGTTTCTCGGCTACCACTACAAAAACTGGCGGAGTCTCGAAACTAAGAGTTAGATATTTAGGTAAAATGTCAAGGTATCCTGCCAACCATAATCCTAATTCTACTTCCAACCCTAATCATAACGTACCACTCAGAAGGCTATCCCAGAGTGGTGTTCCACCAGCACAAATGCAGGCCCAAGCACAATTAAATGCTATGCTACTGTATAATCAGCAACAGCAACAACAATACATGGCTACAATGATGATGATGGGAATATATCCCTATATGTATAACGAAAACGTACAGATGCCAATGCCACCAATGCCACCAATGCCAATGCCGATGCCGTTGGGACACCCTCCAAATCAACCTCCTGTACCGATGGATATGAATACAGCACCAAGATCGGCAATGCTATCAAACTTTCCGCCACAGACGTATCCATATTTTAGAAACCAAGGTACTATAGACAGTAGTTCATCAAGTTTATTAAGTAAAGGTTATCAAGGAATAGATAACACTCTTCATAACCACCAAATACAGCAGCAACAGAATCAAATACAACAACAAATACAACAACAACAGCAGCAACAGCAACACCAATACCAACACCAAGCTTCTGCACAACCACCACATTTAGAACAAAATAGTTCACCTCATAAAGAACACTTTGATCAAGGTGATGTAGAAAACGATGAAGAAGAGGAAGATGACGAAGAAGAGGAAGAAGAAGAAGCAGATTTAGCAATCGAATCTGATGCTCTCCCAACACCAATCTTTACCAGACGTCCAACACCACCAGAGATGATGCAAGGTGAAATCAGAATCATGCAAAACAAGTTTTCGTTCGAGTTCCCTGTCACCAACCCTGCAATCGATAGGAAAATGTTCTTAAGCATTTGTAACAAGATATGGACAGAATCTCGCGAATTGGAAAAGGATATATAAAGACAGAAACACTTCATTACATATACATACATACATACATACTTTCAATAATACTCATTTAGACTAAAATTTCGAGTTGTTCTAAAATATGTACTCTTTCAGTGAAACATCACGTTCAACGGGAGTCCTGACGCCATTTATCGTTGACTGCTCTGTCCTGTGTCTCCTTTGTCTTGAAGGTTTCAGTTCCTTATGATTCCATTCTCATTGTCTTAATAAAAAAAGACGTGGAAGAGACCGAAAACAAACAAACAAAAATAAAAAATCGCACAGCAAACCGAAAAAAACCAAAAAATTAAAATTATAATCAATAGAGAGGCAGATGGAAGATATCTGAATATTCAATTTCAACTGATGGTGTCGTGATAGTTGCAGGCGATTAAGTCAAATTTACCAGGGATTCATTTGGTAGTGTATTAAAGAAATATCAATATATTGACTTAGCGGTGAAGCATTTCTATTCCAAGTACCAATAAACACGCCTCTGTTGAGTTATATTCATATTCTGTTGCATCCCTTTGCCAAATTAAAAAAATAAATCAATGAAAACATGGTCTCTCTATCACTAATAGGTTATAAAATCAAGAAGAACCCTATAATAACGTTGCTTTTGCCATTTATTGTATTAGTGTCTGTGTATTTCGTAGTGTTCAGAACAGATGATTCCATATTAGGGATTGGAAGTTTACCACTAGGAAATCACAAATGGGCTCATGAAATGGAACATACCTGGTATTTCCCATTCACAAGTAGGTTTAAAATGCCTAGGTATTCTTATAAGACCCAACATAATTGGTTATTTAATGATCGTGTAGAGGATATTATCCCAGAAGGGCACATTGCACATTATGATTTGAACAAATTACGTTCTACTCCAGATGCTGCTGTAGACAAAGAACGTGTATTAATCTTAACACCGTTACAATCCTTTGACCAACGTTACTGGATTAATATCTTACAGTTGACTTACCCACGTGAATTGATAGAATTAGGTTTTATTATTCCAAGAACTAAGACAGGTGAAGAAGCATTAAAGCAATTGGAAATTGCTATTAAGAATGTTCAAAGTGATAAAAAGAACCAAAGATTTGCTAAAGTAACTATCTTGAAACAAGACTCACAAAGCTTTGATAAATTACAAGAGAAGGAAAGACATGCGTTGAATGTTCAGAAGGAGAGACGTTCTGCAATGGCTTTGGCAAGAAATGAACTTTTGTTCTCTACTATTGGTCCACATACATCGTGGGTTTTATGGTTGGATGCTGATATCATCGAGACACCAATGAATTTAATCCAGGATATGACTGCACACGATAAAGCAGTTCTTGCAGCCAATGTTTTCCAAAGATATTATGATGAAGAAAAGAAAGAAGACAACGTCAGACCATATGATTTCAATAACTGGCAAGAATCTGACACTAGTAGAGAATTAGCATCAAGCATGCAACCAGACGAGATTATATTAGAAGGTTATGCCGAGATTGCCACATATCGACCATTAATGGCTTATTTCCATGATAAAAACCAGCCAATTACCGAAGAGATGATGTTGGACGGTGTTGGCGGTGGTTGTACATTAGTTAAAGCTGAGGTTCATAGAGATGGTGCCATGTTCCCAAGTTTCCCATTCTACCATTTGATCGAAACAGAAGGTTTTGCTAAGATGGCAAAGAGATTGAATTATGAAGTCTATGGGTTACCAAATTATTTGGTCTACCATAAGGAAGAATTTAATTAGATATATCTAATATATATATATATATCTATTTGTATGCAGAGATAAATATTTAAGTAATCTTCAATTGCCAGTTCTATAAAAAAGACACAGATATACGCATGCATAATGTCTTTGTATATTCATGCTAAGTATTTATTTGTTCTATTTGTATTGAGGAGGTCTATTCTTCTTATTCCTCTCCAATCTTAACACCATCCAATCCAGAGCATCCATAATACCTTCCCCTGTCAAGGAACTAACAGGTAAAACCCGACTATCTCTTGCACTTAAATGTTCAGCGATTTGATTAAAAATTTCTTTAATATCTTGTATCTCTAATCTATCCGGTCTATCTTGTTTATTAGCCAACATCAAAATGGGTACACCTTCTGCTTCATCATCCATCACTATCGAAGTCAATGTTCTCTTACATTCATCCATACGTTCACTATCTGAACTATCTACAACAAAGATTATACCATGACATTGGGAATAATATTCGGGCCACATGGCTCTTAACGATTCTTGTCCACCTACATCCCACAACTTCAATAATATATTAGGCTTATTCGGCACAGGGATCAATGCAATATTCTGTCCGACAGTAGGGGTGATCTTGTCTAATGGTTTAGACTTTAATGAGGATTGATTCTTTAAGGTTTCCAAGAAAGTAGTCTTCCCAGCATTATCTAGACCAAGTATAAGGACCGAATATTGTTCTTTTCGATTCCAATTAGCGTATAGTCCCTTAACCAGATGAAACATCGCGTAGTTCTATAATAGTATACTTGACAGGTTTTTATTATCTTTCCTTTGTAACATGTCTGTTAATACGATATCTAGGAGATGCCTTCCTTTTGAGACATCATCGTCACGATTTTGTTCAATGAATAATTTCATTGATTATTCTTGTCGCTGCGTTCAGCGACAACAACAACAACAATGCTAATAAAGAACAAAAAAGATAAAAACATAAAAAACTTTTTTTATTTATTTTTAAAGTAAACTTAATATATATATGTATGTGTGTATATATTTATGCAAATATTCTTTTCTTTTTTTGTTTTCCCTAACATTCAAATTCCAGGACAAGAAATTTTTCATCAGATGTCATTAAATCATCGAAATCCATTTGTTCTAAACAAGAATCTCTATTTTCATTCTTAACAATTTTCCCACCGATCCAATTCAGATTCATTAATATTTTTTTAAAACTATTTATTGATTCCATATTATCACTTTGAGCATCCTTTTGGAAATATATCCTTAATGAGTTACAATTATGAGTAAATGCAAACTCTAATAAGATTAATAATAAGTCTTTAAAACTTGCTTGAGTATTAGAGAAAAGTGACAAAGGATTAGATAATGGAACATGTAAGCATGAACTATTACGTTTTGCATATAATATTCCATTACAATGTACTGGTAAATATATTATAAAATATTCATCACCAATAGATCTCCATAAAGATGAATAATTTTGTAATTTTGTCTTTTTATTATTAATCTTACAACTAAATTTATTAATTAAACTTTGTCTAAATTTTCTTAATTCAACGTTTGAAACCATAAACTGAGATTCTAATAATAATATTATATTCCAATATAATTCCGTAAGATGATTTATAACCTGATCACCCATAGAATTCATCATAATCTGGCCAATGACAGATGACGCATCAGTAGTGGTGTCACGGACACCACTCTTTGAATCCATCCTTTGTCAAACAATATCTATATAGAGGTTGATAATGGTAACCTAAACCATATGGTTGTGTATGATGTGTTTTAACTAATGCAGAGATTGGGAAACCGAATGATATTGCTTCTGTTGAAGGGTTATCTATTAACGTTTGTATATGGGTATCATTTGATAGAAATGTATTTATGCCGTGCTCTTTTCTAGAGAGGGTTCTTGACTGTGATATTATGTCCATATTGATGGTGAGTATATGTGTATGCGATTGTCTGTATTACTGTAATCTTATTCTTCTTGTTAGTCAGATATATCTCATTACTTCTTCCTGTGTTTATATAAATATATATATATATAGAAACATGAATCAGTCACCATTTCTTTATCTTCCACACAATTTTTATCGCGAAGACAAATGCGGCGTGATCAGCAAATTGTCTCGCCATTGAGAAAGCAACAACAACAGATTCAGTTTTATAGAAGTTGGATTAGTGGGATAGTTACCATACAGAGCCATCGTTGTTAGTTATTGTTAAATGACAATGACTAGAAATAGTATATATATCTATCAACGTTTAGTGCACTAGAATAGAACGATAAATGTTGGCCAAAAGTATCGACTAGTTTCAATTATAGTCATATCTATCATTACTACTATTGAAGGATAGGATTTATATATGCAATAGTAATAATAATACTTTCTATTACTGGAAATTGTGTAAGGTACATACGTTACAATCTAAAAACATCGACACGAGTACATATGCGTAAAACTTTTCTGGCTGTTCTTGTTATTCTTGTCATTGGTAGTGCCATTTTGGTTCGGCTGAGTTGTCACCAACAACGACAAGCAATAAATTCTAAACAAAAAAACAATAAACAACCGAACCAAAAATAGTTTCTTGGCAAGGCAACTAATAACAAATATTTCATTTTGAAAAATTTATAATTTGTTTTTGTTTCTTGATCTATATTTAACATTAGTTCTTAAATATAAATAGGTCTTTTTTATCTTCTCGTCTTTATTTTAATAATTATTGAAGCATTTGCACATAGTGGTATATATTCCATACGTATATACAAATATCTAACGATGATCAGGAGTAGAGGTGGACACTCGGGGTTTAATCCATCGTTGTTCTCAAGACAGTTGCTGCATCTAGCACGTAAAAACATTCGATTCATTGGGGTTGTACTTATCCTATTGACCGTCCTATTGAATATCACTCACAAGAATCAAAACAACAATGATCATTTAAATTTCTTAGAGTCAGAGTATTTGAATGGAGGTACTTTACCTTCAAGGTTACGTCCACAGGATACTTTAATTGGCGTATCTGATTCTATCCAAAATAATGAGTTGAATACCAAAAACGACACTGAAATTTTGAAAGAAGAAAAAACTTTAAAGGAAAAAATATTAGCTGAAAGATTAAAATCTGGATATAAAAAATATCCAAGAAATACTACTCAAGGTGCCATGGTAGAATCCTTGTCGAATGAAGGTTATAAACCAAAAGCATGCCTATTGATGACTTTATTCAAACCTACTGGTGATCGTGTCGATCCTGAGGCCATATATTTGACTGTATCAAGTATTCAAAAGAAATTTAATAATTGGTTTGAATATCCATGGGTCTTCATTAGTAAAGATGGTCATGAATACATGAATAATGAATTTACTGAACAAATAAAAGAATTAGTACCTGAATCCATAGAGTTAAATTTTGAAACTGTTACTAATGAATATTTACATGATGTGCCTGAATGGATTGATGTCAATAAAATATCCGATTCTCAAATTAGACTGAGTGGGATAGAATATGGTGATTCGCAATTTTTTAGATCTTTGAATCGTTATCTAGTAGGGTATCTATGGAAGGAACCATTTTTAGGTAATTTTGATTGGTATTGGCGTATTGAACCAGGTTTGGAATTATTATGTGATATTGATTATGATTTATTTAGATGGATGCAAGATAGAAATCAAGTATTTGGTTTTGCTTTATCTTATATGGAACCACATAAAGAAGTTGTTGAAAAATTATGGGATATTTTTAAAAAATTTGCCAATGAATTTAAGAATAAGAAAGAAATTGTTGATTTTGAAAAAAATAATTTTCAATTTAATACAGAATTTAAAGATCTTCCAAAGGAGAAAGACGAAAAGAAAAGAAAAAAATTAGAAGAAGAAGCTGCAAAACATGGGATAGGCACTGGCTCTAGTGAATACAATAAATGTCAATATGTTTCAAGTTTCCAATTGGCAAATTTAAATTTCTTTAGATCACAACCATTTATGGATTTATTTGAAAGATTAGATAAAGAAGGTGGATTTTATTATCATCGTTGGTCCGCCTCAAGTGTTCATACAATGGCAATCAATTTATTATTAAGGAAAAATCAACTTTATTTCTTTGATAATATTGGGTTTAAATTATCAACTGACTCAATGGCATCCTCATCACAATTCTCTTCCATTAGTAGAAATTTCTACAATTGTCCAATTGATGATGCTACTTATAGAGAATATAATTGTAATTGTGATCAAGGGTTAGATTTTACATTCATGAAGGATTCATGTACTGCTAAATTTTACGATTCAACAAACAGGAAAAAACCAGATGATTGGGATAAACATTAAGAAAATAAATAAATTATGAATATTTTTCACATAAGTAAATTCTTATTTATTATTTTGTATAGTAATAATGATTAAAAACAAAAATAAGAATATTATTAATTAATTAACTAACTAACAAATTTTATCGAAATTATATAAAAACTAAATTATCCAGTTCGAGAAAATAAGATGAAACAACGACGAAATGTAACTAAAGAAAGAAAAATGTTTGAAAACCAAACCAAACCAAACCATATTTCAATTGTGCTGATTATTATTAGTGTTATTTTTGTTGGCACAATTAATGAAGTATTTGACATCTTCAACAGCGAGTGGTATTGGTTGTCTCATATTAGAATTACCGTCATAAAGATTTGTTGGAGTAGTATATAATGGACGAGTAATAGGTTCGTTAAAATCATAATAGTTCGTGTTATAGTAATTAGTCTTACCATGAGTATTATTAGCTCCAACCACTGGTTCACCTGACCTTTTACTCCAAACAGGGAAACCTTCAGGTTGAGCAAATGAATTGTATACCGGATTTGAAATAGAATTAGCCAAGTCTGGTGAAATATTTGAATACTCTAGATCCAATGATGAAGTTACAATAGGATATCCCTTAGAATATTGTCTTGGAGTTGAATTTGCAAAATTGTTTCTGCCAGTATGAGGAATAGCAAATTCCGAGGAAGAAACAGGAGCAGTCTCTTGACTAATCTGTTCATTACCTGGCCCAACATGGCCTCTTGGCATGTTAGTTGTATAATCATTATATGCCAATTCTGCATTAGCTGAATTATTTTGAACTGATTTCCCTTGCGAAATTATGTAATTAGTGTCATTTGTTGGTGTTTTTGGTTTACCGGTCTTACCATTACCATTAATTTTCTTAAATTGTGTTTGATTTGAGACTAGCGATTCCTTCCCATTAATAATATTTGGTACCTTTTCATGTAAATTCACACATTTATCTCCAAATTTACATTCCCCCTTCAAATAAAACGAACATGGAGTTTTACAAGCTTCATCATAATCTAATTTATGAGAGAAAGGACAAGTTCTCCCAGCTTGACATTTTCCCTTTTTGAAAAACTTACAAGGGATATGTTCGTAGGACTTCCCATACTTCATGTTATTCTGCGTGACCATTAGACATTCGACGATTGTTCTACGTTGTCTTTCTGGGAAATCAGTCCATTGGACATCTTCAGGGAAATCCACACATGGCGGATTATTAGCAGCAATATTAGCGAGAGTGATTATATTTTTAGTCATTTGGTGTATGGAAATGAAATGAGAATTAATTATGAGTGTATTATTTTATGTTTTCGAGTTATTATTTTTGTATTTTTTGGTGTATTAGTAATTAGCAATTAGCAATTATTAGGATTATTGTTGTTGTTGGTTATTTTTAATATGTATTTATGTGTATAAATTTTAATTTTAATTTTATTTTCTTATTATTTTATTTTATTTTTATAGCGATGTGTCAAATTAAAATTTAGTCCTGATGTAGTAATGTTATTTCTTCTCAATCATACTAGTTTAGTCTAATACAGGAAAATACAATCAAGTAGATAATATTCATTTTCTCTCTTATATATATATATCAGATAGGAAGGTGATTATATAATTTACCTTCTCAGATCTAAATTATTCAAAGCACAAGCACAAGCACAAACAAAATCAAAAAAGAAGAAGGTACTACCTAATAAGGGTAGTAATATACCCTACCCAGTATTAAAATCTAAAGATTTACATCGGTAAAATAATAATAATAATAATAAATATTGATCGATATACCCTTAAAAGGGGGAGGAGGTAGGAGGGGAAATACCTGTTTTATATTATTCTTTCAGTAATACGATCTTTTATGTCAAAAATATTTAAGGGACACACATTATAATGTACTGTTATAGTAGGGTTGTAAATTAGGGCAACATGATAACCAAAAATCAAATTTTGAAAAAAACAAAAAACAAACAAAAATTCTATCAGTAATAAGAAGAATAAGAAACAAATAAATAGAGTTATTACATAATAATGTATAAAAGGTAAGCATTAAGAAATCAAGGCTCAAAGAAACCTATATTAATTAATTAAAAAATGAGTGGATATTCTGCAAATAATAATAATAATAATAACGGTAAATATTATCCAGGTAGAAGATACAATAATAATAATGATGGTAGTAATGATGATACCACATCAGGTAATAATGGTATAAACCATCGTTCATATCATCAAAATAATACACCAACAAGATATCAAAATATAAGACCTAATAGTAGTATACGTGGAGGACGTTATAATTATAATAATAATTATAATACTAGTACTACTTATAATAATAATAATTATTCATCACAACAACGTTATAATCCAAACACTAGAAATTATTATAATAATAATAATAATAGTGGTAATAGACAATATTCACCATATTCGAATGATAATCGTAATTATCATAGTAGTATTCCAAGTAATAATAATAGTATTATAGACAATGAATTAGCTGCAGAAATTGATAGTAATATGAATAGATCTAGTAATAATAATTCTAGTTATCCTCATTCATACCAACAATATCAAAATAGTAAGAATATACCATATCACTATAATAACAATAACTTAACTCAAACTCAAACTCAAAGTAGTACCAGTACTGGTACTACTGGTAATACTACTACTGGTAGTAATACAAATACCAGTAATAATAATACTAATGCTACATATGGTTCATCATCGTATGTTAAAAGAAAATCGATAAATAATGTTAGTGAAATTAATAATAATGATTCAGTATATTTAAGGTTAACTGAATTAACGAATTTATCAGGTATCAGCAAGAATGAAATGAATTTAATATTTAATGAGAATGATGAGATTGATACTAAATTAAATGATCTTAAAATGGACCTCGTTCAACGTGAGATGGAAATGACGAATTTAATTAATTCCATTGAAAGAGATAATTTAAATGTTAACTTAACGCAAGAAAATTTAGATGCCTTATTATTAACTATGTAAGATCTGTAGTGGTAGTAGCATATGAAATATAATAATAAATACATCTATCTATCTACCTATCTATCTACACAATGAACTCAGCCACAATATCAGATAGTTACCCGTCCTAGAATCCATATCTGTGTAGTTAAACCCGAAATCCGTTCGGTTCACAATCTTCTGTTTTTGACTAAATTAATACAGATGGATAAATTATCCCCGCGTATATTTAGGAGAGTGAATGAAATACAGAAATTTGCAACGCGAACGAACACAAAGCAGAAATTCTAGCGCAGAAAGAAAGAGAAAATACTCGCGTTCTTTCACGTTCTTAATGCAATAAACAACGAAAAAGAGAGTCAATTTGTACAGCAATTTCTCTTGCAAATTCAAAAACAAAACAAAAACAAAAACAACATTTGGCGTTCTCCCACAACAAAAGCAAAAGCAAAGCAGTTAGAGAGAGAGAGATAAATAAATAAAAAACAAAGGCCAATTATTATTGTGATTACTGGTAGAACAAGGAGAAGGAGAACAAGAAGAACATCTTTAATTCTCTCTTTGAAAAGTCGATCGGGAACTGGGATTATATTGTTAGACGATAGACAGATAACATATTACGTTGTTATTATTGTTAAGAGACTCAACTGTCAATCATGATCAATAATTTATTTTCTTGTTGTTGTTGTTGTTGTTGCATTTATATATATATACACAGCTAACTTTTCAGCCACAACTAATTTTATATATTTATATATTTATATATATACACAAACCTTGAAAAAAGAAAAAGAATCTTATTACCTTAAATTCTTATTTTGGTTCATATACATTTATTGAAAGTGAAATTAATTTTTTCAAATTTATTATAGGATTATAATAAACACAAATAAACAGACAAAGAATTATATTAAAGCTAACTACTAATATAAATACGAAAATATACTATTAAGAGTTATTTACCCAGACGTATTAAAAATATTTATATTAACTGAATTGAATTGAACTGAAATTTCCTTTGTTTTTATCAAAATCTATTATTATTCAATCTATTCAATCTATTCAATCTATTCTAATAATAATATAAACTGTGCGCAGCGCCCCCCTTTTCACAATCAACAATCCAACAATATTCTAAAGGAAAGAAGCAAGCCACGTTTATTTAATTTAAATTTTTCAGTTTTTTTGCCAAATTTTTTCAGTTTTATTTTATTTTCGCTCGCTCGCTTTGCCAATTTTTTATACACAAATTATTTGCATTAAGAGAGAGACAAGAAATATTAATAAAATTACATTATTATACCTTTAATAGATACTACTAATCAACATTACAAGAAGTTTTTTCAATCTCTACACTTTTTATCGATTGCGTATTGTATTATTTCGCTCATCACTATCAACATATTTACTTTTTCACTCCTTATAATACCAACTTTTTTTGTATTATAATAATTTTTTGTCAATTTAAATTAATCAGAACCCCCCGCTTTTAATTTTATTTGCATCTCATTACACAGCCATTATTTTTTATTTTATTTGAAGAAAGGTTTAAGTTATATTAATAGCAACATAAAAGAAAGATTATTTTATTTTATTTTTTCTTATTGCATGACTAGTTATTTTTAAAAACAAATAAACTAACTATCTATCTATACACACACATACACATTCACAACTATGAAAAAAGAATTGCAATACTTAATAGTTGCAAATATTTTATTAATATCTTCTATTGTTTATTATACTTTTGATTTAATCGCACTAATAATAGATGATACAAGTAAAGAAGCACTGACATACGATGAATTAAATCCATCAAAATCACAACTATCTTATGATAATATTACAAATCAAATGACTTCAACAAAAGATCTTATAATTCCAAAAATTATTCATCAAACCTATAAAACAACAGATATTCCAGAACATTGGAAAGAAGGTCAACAAAGATGTATCGATTTGCATCCTGACTATGAATATATTTTATGGACAGATGAAATGGCTTTAAATTTTGTTAAAGAAGAATATCCTTGGTTCTTAGATACTTTTAAAAGTTATAAATATCCAATTCAAAGAGCAGACGCTATGAGATATTTCGTTTTATTATCTTATGGCGGTGTTTATATCGATTTAGATGATGGTTGCCAAAGAAGATTAGATCCTTTATTAACTGTTCCTGCTTTCTTAAGAAAAACTTCACCTTTAGGTGTTTCAAATGACGTTATGGGCTTCGTACCAAGACACCCTTTTCTTTTAAAAGTTATCAAATCTTTAAAACATTACAATAAAAATTGGTATAACCCTTATATGACAATCATGTCATCAACAGGTCCTTTATTTATTAGTATAATTTGGAAACAATATAAAAGATGGAATCATTTTAAAAACTTAAATCCTCAAGAAATTACGATTAGAGTCATTCAACCAGATGATTATAAATTACACCCACAATCTTTTTTCAGTATATCAAAGGGTTCTTCATGGCATATGGATGATGCAGATTTTGTCAAATCATTTTTAACTCATATCTTATCATGTGTTGTGGCAGGTTTTGTATTAGGATTTTTCATTCTGTATGGTGAATTTACTTTCTATTGTTGGCTTTGTTCAAAAAATAAAAATTTTAATTTTAATTTAAAATATACTAAAGCTGTATTTGTTAAAATTTGTTCATTATTTAAATTCTTAATCCCTGAACAAAAAAATAATTCAAATGGTAATTATTCAAGATTATCAAATATTTCTCCAAGAAAACAAAAAAAATTACCAAGAAGAGATTCAAATATTGTTTCAATGATCGATTTTAATTTAGATTTAGAGAAAAACGTATCAAAATTATGATATTCTTATTCTTATTATTATACCCATCATCATTTTACATTCCTTCCTTTTCATGCACACACACACACACATTTACATATTCACAACACCCCACCCCCTAACAACATAATAATATCTCATTCTCATATTCATAACTTATCACTACTACTCTCTACGTTACTTTATCATCCTCTATTTTCTTCCACTTCACAACTTTGTTATGAAAAACACTCACAAAGTTCGATTGGTTTATAAATATATTTATATACATTTCATAACATACCATGTATTATCTGTTATTTACGACTTTTATACTTTAAACACATAGCATTCAATATTATTATCACTCAATTTCCCATTATTCGCGCTCTCAAAAAACCCATTGAAAATATAAAGAAAGATAGAGAGAGATATATAACACTCACATCCCTTGACATCCTTACAAACTAACGATGATCTATCGATCATACGTGAGAAGGGAGGGAAAATGCAAGGGACTGTTTAACTATCCCATGCTTTTCTTTTATTAGCACAATCATGACGATATCCCTGGAACTCTATGTTCGACACGACTTATTTCTGTCATTCTTTTTTGGGGGCCTCCATAGAATATAGTCTTCAGGACAGTACTAGTTGTCTCCCTATTTCGTCATACAACAATAAATTCTTACTTCTTTGAATGCATGATATCTATGCACTACTTTTCAACCACTTTTTGGTTGGATGGTATCATTGTTCAAAGAGCGGAGTCTGTGTTCAAAGACATTCAATTATTCACAGAACTAAAGGCATAAGAATACATCTCTTTTAATTATTATCTTTTTAAATATTTAACTATTTACATATCTTTTTCTTTCTCATACTAACTTCTCTTTATCCTATGACTTCTCTTCTGCATCATAATCCTCAGGAACTAATACTTGTGCTTCCTCAAGTAATTCTGTCAATTCCCCACTCTTAGCCATACTCTTAATCACATCACATCCACCGACAAACTCATTATTCACAAATAATTGAGGAATGGTAGGCCACTCGGTGAATTCCTTAATCGCTTCACGAAGTTCAGGGTCCTCTAACACATTATAAGCTGCAAATTTTAATGGATCCACACCTTGTTGCCCTAAAATACCAATCGTGGCCTTGGAGAACCCACATTGTGGGAATTCAGGTGTACCTTTCATAAATAACACCACAGGAGCAGAAGAAACTGCATCCCCGATGGCTTTGCGAATTTCGGTACTCATAAATGCCATCAGTTGAGGCCTATAGATAGTCTGACGCATTTGGGTTAGTGTTTGGTTACCTATTAGGCGACCAGCGTTCAGTAGTTGTCTGTTAAACATTTGTATTATGCGCGTGATACGTGTGTGTATGTGTAGTAATTTCGAAGCCACGTTTTGAATCTTGCAAAATGAATATAGACACTTTACCTTTATATAGGTATATGTTTCTTTGGGAAAGTTGTTTCAGTTTATATCAGACGATGGATCGTTGTTCCGGTTTGGGTTTACAACTACAAACAATTTCCGGAGGGTTACCTCTTTTTTTTTAGCGTATTTACATTGGTCACACACTGGATAATTTTAGTCTTAGTCATCAAGATATCAAAGGAAGAACTAACCCCAAAAGGAATCTTCTATTTTGACTCATGGTGTTTTTATTCACGGAATATTATATCTGATAATTAAAAAATAGCTATATATAAATATTATGATTACTACTCAAGGTTCAGAATTTCTTCTTCACTTTGAGGGAGTTCAATAACGACATACGTTGTAACCTATACAAACTTCTCATACAGAACCAATAGAACCACACAGTAGATAGTAGACCAACACCAGTAGCTACTGCAAACCCATAATCTGTCCCTTCTATGAAATTCTCGAGATTCATCCCATATAACGAACCAACAAAAATTGCACCACCCAGGGAGAACATCCCTACCCCCATCTTAATGTTTAATAACATTAATTGATTTCTATTGGAATCTAATATGATATTGATGATTTCTTCTGTGGTTCTTACATTTGAAATTGTATTTTCTGTCCTTTGGACCACTTCATCTACATGGTTATGATATGTTTCTAGTAACATTTCTATCTCAGAATGATCATCTTCGATTCTTACAATACCTTCTTTCCAATCAGTCAAGTACATATCGCATAACATATCATCTTGTTCTAATAAATCATCTAACATATTTCTCACTAATACACATTTCTTATAAAACACTTTCAATTTTTTATTTTGTATTAATAATAATCGCAATTTATCTCTAGTAATATTATGATCCAAATCTGTAAGAACACCCTGAGTTAAAGTTAATAACACATTCATTTCACTGGTGAGATTCGATAACGCAAACACAAATATTGCCTCTAATGCTCGAAATTCGTATGGTAATGAATGAGAATTTACCTCATCTGAAGCTTCATTCTTTAATCTTAATTTTAAACTTTGAATGAAATCTCTCTGCGTAGCAGAGCTCAATGATATCCCACTCCCCACCGAATCAAAAATAATGACAGAATCTGATTTAATTAACGCCTTGATTGTCAATAGACTGATCAAAATACCATCTTTTCTAACAAGTATACTAGGCACTAAATCATTTTTCTTTGATTTCTCAATTTTACGTAAATCTCTTGGTAAAAGTTTATGTTGAATAACTAAATCTTCCCTTTTCATTTCGATCGAAGAAGGTCCCGTATTTCCTTGTGAATCAAATACAGTACATCGAATAGTACCATATCCATATCCATATAATGTATTATTTCGAAGAAGTAAATTCTTCTGTAGTAACATAGCTGCTGTGTTATTATATGCAGCAGGTCGGCATAATGGTGCAGTTCTATGTACATGCCGTATCGCTACGCATTGTTTTAAATATTTTAAAGGTTTTATCCTCTGAAGATATGATGGACCCCACATAAGTCCTATTCTCATTCTGATAATGAGTTTGTTAATGTGATGATGTGCAATGTTATTTGAATCGATTCCTTAAAACTTTGTCACATTTTTTATTTTTCTTTCTTAAACTTAATTTTTAAGCGTCCCAGCTCTTTTATTATTTTATTTCATTAATTGATTATATAATAAGAAATCAAGAGCGTAAGATAACTACTAAACAATTTTGTTGGAAAAGAATGAATAAAACCCTCACAAAGATCTTAAACATGTATAAAGTCTAAAATATTAATAGATATATTATGTTTGTTTTTAAAATTTTTTAAAAGTTATATACTTATGAATAAAAGGTTAATTGTTTATTTACGTGACCGACTAAAAGATAAAGATGGAGCAAAAATAACTCCTCTTAAATGACCCAGGTTTGTTTGATATATATAGAGAAAAAAAGACCAACATTAAAGAAATTGAAAAGTTTAAGAAACATTATTAAGCTCACATTTCTTTAATATATGATGAAATGAAATAGAAATATTATTATTCTATTGCTTTTTACAACTTAATTCTAATAGCCTTGACTTCAGTGTAACAATCATACACTTCAGCACCCATTTCTCTACCGTAACCGGATTGCTTAACACCACCAAATGGAACTCTAGAGTCGAAATCGTTGTAAGTGTTAACCCAAACAGTACCTGACTTTAGCATCTTGGCGACTCTTAGAGCAGTACTCAAGTTTTCAGTTTCAATACCAGCACCTAAACCGAATTCAGAATCGTTAGCCATAGCAACACCATCTTCAATATCCTTAAATTTAGATACAGTTACAACAGGACCGAAAATTTCTTCCTTAACGATTTCCATATCTTCATTGACGTCATAGAAGATAGTTGGTCTAATGAAGAAACCCTTGTTACCGACTCTAACACCACCAGTCAATATTTTAGCACCTTCTTCTTTACCAATATCAATATACTTCATAATAGTATCGAATTGATCCTTATTAGAGATTGCACCTTGGTAGTTAGATTCATCGAATGGATTACCAACTTTAATGTTGTCTACGAATTCTTTGAATGCAGGCATTAATTTATCATAAATACCTTCTTGAACATAAATTCTTGAACCAGAAGAACAAATTTGACCTGCATTCTTGAAGATACCGTTAACTAAGTTTGGAATAGTCTTTTCAATGTTAGCATCATTAAACACTAAATGAGCAGACTTACCACCTAACTCTAGAGTGATCTTTTTCAAGTTTGATGAAGAAGCATTAACTGCAATTCCTTTACCAACATCAGTAGAACCAGTGAAAGCGACTTTTCTAATCTTTGGATGTTCTGTGATTGAATTACCAACTTCTCTACCAGAACCTGGAAGGATGTTAACAACACCTGCTGGAACACCAGCTTGCTTACATAGATTAGCGAAAAACAATGCATTCAATGGAGTAGCAGATGCAGGCTTTAGGATACATACATTACCCATGGCTAAAGCTGGAGCAATTTTCCAAGAAAGCATCATAACTGGGAAATTCCATGGAATAATTTGACCACAAATACCAATAGGTTCTTTAATAGTGAAATTCATATATTCATCACCAGAATTAATGGTTCTACCATTAATCTTATCAGCGTAAGATGCTGCATCTCTAAGACAGTTAACGACCAAACCTAGATCACCTCTAGAAAGGGCTAAAGTTTTACCATTATCTAAAGTTTCAATACCGGCCATTAATTCCAAGTTTTCTTCAACTAAATCAGCCAATTTCAAAAGAATTCTAGCTCTATTCTTTGGATCTTGAGTAGCCCAATTTGTTTCATTAAAAGCATGAGATGCAGCTTCAACAGCATATGCAACATCATCACGGGAACCAGAAGAGACATATGTAATTATTTCTTCAGTAGCTGGGTTTAATACTTCCATGGTTTTACCATGAGAAGCTTTAACGAATTCATTATTAATGAATAAACCTGTTGGTTGTTGATAGCTTACACCATTTGGTAGAGTAATAGTTTCGAAATTTGCTAACTTTCTATCGTTAGAAGACATTATTGTAATTTGTTTTTTTTAAAGTTTGTTTTTGTTTTGTTTTTAATTTGCTTACTAATATATTAAACAGATATATATGTTTGTAATTTATATTAGATTGATACTTTTTTAAGTTATTAATTAATAAATAAAAGAGATAGAATTTAGAATTAGATAAAAGAAGGAATTAACAAAAATACTTTCAAGAAATTGAGTAACTATTCACTTATATTTATATTAAAAATAAAACTAAATATTACAACAAACACAATCGAGGTTTAAACTCATCTCTTACAAATAGATAAATAAATAAGTAAACAAAAAGAGAAAAACAGATATTATCATCCCGCCCTAAAGAGTGTATACATTATTGTTACGTAAGGAAACTGATTATGTTCAACCAAGAAACCGTCAATACTTGTCGAATAAACCGTTCTTTAAACCGGACGGATAAATCTGTTGATTAATAGTAGTAAAATCATAAGAATTTGGGGCTACAACAATTATTCTGTATGAAAAGGGTCAAATTAGAGGGGAGATGTGGCTGAACTCTATACTAATAAAAGGAGATAGAAAACTAATTTACATAATATATTTACATAATATTAACAAACCATCGAGCATTTGTTAAAATATTTTACTTTACCTCCGTCACATTAGGTAATTTCTTTTTGTAGTGGTCGGACGTAAAATCATTTCAAGAACAACAAGAACAACAAGAACATTACCATTATCATCATCTCCATCCGTGAGGAGGTTTGGTGATTAAGCCGTTAAACTAAAATAATATGGGTTGCGTTTAGTTACTCGATCAATAATCTTTCCTTCGTAACAAGTAATAATAGTAGACTTCAACAGCAAGAAACAAGGGGTGTGTGCACCAGAAGTAGAAGTAGAAGAAGTGGAAATATACTAAATTTATTCGGAAGAATAAGGATTCAACGTAAAATAATAACCAGAAATTACGTGGGATAAAAATATAAACCGTTTAACTTTCAATGAAATCCTCGAGATCCATTAGTTGTCAATTACTACCAAAAAATTCATAATATATGAATATACCAACAACGGTTACTATTAAAGAAAATAAAGGGCCTTTCCTCTATTTTACTTGAAACCTCTACGTAGTTTTATCATTATTAATATATTTATTACTTTTTTTTGGGGGGGGGAGGGACGGAACGAGAATAGAGAGAAGCGCTACAGGAGGAATATTGGCCGCGGCGGTGTTTGATTTCTCTTCTTTGCCTCGCCTCGTCGAAGAAATAACGAAGAACAATACTGAGAACAACGGGACATCATTTCAAAATAGTGACGTTATATTACTTATCAAAAACAAAAATGTTATAATTTTCGGTCCAATGGAGCGGGTGAAAGAGCCGTGCCATATTAAATTAATCGCACAACAGCATATATATGTAAAAGATGCATAATAATTCTTTTAAAATGAATATTTTGCGGGTTAACGGAGAAATGAAGAAAATAAATAATTATTTTTTGAAAGTGAAGAGGATGAATATTGTTTCGGCCGTATTTCGGATATAAATGAATGACAATGAATGACAATGTTCTTTTGTACGATTAATTACTTGAATACTTATTATTCATAAATGTCGACTGTCAAAATACATATGAAATAATGATAGACATTAGGCAAATAATGATATTTTTTGATTTTACATAATTTATTCAGTAAAAAGTCTTGCTGTATCACTCTACAATCAAATTATCAAATATAGTATTATAAGTCCGTCTTGACATAATTCATTTAAGATGGTTAAGATGGATGAATTGTAGAAAGTGGGAAAGAGATAACGAGCACTTTCAAATCCGTTTTGTTTCTGATAGCCGCTGGTTGCATAATGTTTCTGGGATTGGTTCCGAAATGATCCGATCGTGGCCAACTGCTCCTCATAAATTTTTGAATAAATATTTTTCGTAGAAAAAGAGAGAAAGAGTGTGGCGTTGCATTTTTCATTTAAATTTTATGAGGAGCAAATAAAAAGGAACGAAAAAGAATTCCGCGGCTTTGCAAAACAAAAAAACAACGGCAACGTAAAAAATGTATGTTACTTCACTACACACAGGCAGAGAGGGCAACAGAAATTCATATCGTAATAATATTTGAGCCGTACGGCAGAGTTCTCTTCAGTTAGAATGGTTGAAATATTTTTTTTGTTAGTGATGGACACCAACAAGCAAAAAATAAAAATTATGTCATATTTTAACCATCAAAAATAAACAAACATCTAACAATTTCGATAAGAGCAAATATGTTTTGGGTGCGATGACAGATTTTACTTTGCGATTTGTTCCGATACTTCAATGTTGTTTCATTGTGAGGGATGATGCCTGTAAATCTTTCGAAATTATGATGTCTTGTATCTATTTACTTTATTTGTTACGTCCGGTTCGATAATTTTAATATGAATAGTGAATGTCATTAAAGTTAAAGGAAAAAAAGTGGGATCAGAAAGGCAAATGTCGGATTTATTATTATTATTTGACGGAACCGTTTTCTTTCTTGATGACATGCGGTTTATCATACATATAATTATGCTCATATATGATTGATTGAATCTAATCTTCTTTTCTTATTTCGACAGAAGGTTTTATTACGATTATGACATCATTGTCTCGTTCTATATCTTTTGTCCTTCTTATTGATAACATATTTGAAATGAAATTATAAACTATATACAAATAATACATACATATAATATATATATGTAACATGAAAATAAAGGAAGTAAATTAGAGTAAAAAAAAACAAAAGGAATCAAACAGATACATTATTCTATCTATTATTGTTCTTTCTTTTGTTCTTCAAAGATTGCATCAATTTCCTTTTGTTTTTCAACTTGTTTCTGCATTTGTTCTTCAGGTGTTGGAATATTACCTTCAACATAATCCTTTAAAGTAAAAGTTTGACCGCTCATTTGTTCCTGTTGAATCTTCATCTTTTGTTTTTCTTCTTCAATCATCTTCATAAATCTAACATAATTCTTTTCCCCTTCTTCACGAATTAAATCCAATGGGAATTTATTTGCAGCTTGTGTTACATTACTTGAAGTCGAAACACCTAATAATTTTAATGCCCAATTACCATTAATTTTTTGACTTTGCTCAGCTTGAAATTTTTCTCTTAATCTTTCAACACGAATTTCAAATTCTTGTGGTAATTCATATTTATCATTGAAACTATTTAAAATTGGTTTAACATCAGTTGGTTGTTGCGTAGCTAAATATTCTAAAAATGGAATCAAACTAATCAATTTATCATCTGCTTTACCATCCCAGGACTTCATTGGAATAGCATTTTCTGGTTGTAATTTATAATTGGTTGGATTAGTATCAATAATAATTACTTTGTTAACATCTCTATTCAATTTAGATAAATCCTTAATATGTTCACCTTCTTTATAAACACAATGTTCTTTGTATAAATTATAAGAAATGAATGCATGTAGTGGATCTAATTTTTCAATAATTCTCTCAGAATACATCATATAATTCGATGAAAATAATACAATTTCATAATATTGAGATAAATAACCAAGGAAATAATCAACACCTGGTCTCTTTGCAGTTCTCCATCCATGTTTTTGAGACCATTCTGAATGAACCAATAAATCTTCAAGACTTAACACTAAAGTTAAGGGTCTTTGATATGGTGGTGGAGGAGATGGTGGTAAAAGATCTGGGAATGGTGGTTCTTGGAAATATGTAAACATAGAATTGAACCTTAATTTGAATCTTTGATACATTAAACTTGGTACATATCCATTTTCAACTTTATCCTTCATCTCTTGTGGTTCATTTTCTTCCCAATCTCTGGTTAAATATAGAGCAGAACCAGATAAAGCTGAGAACGAGAAAATATAAAACCAATTAGCATATCTTTCTCTCTTGACTTCGGTAGATGTTTGTCTTACACGTTTTGACTTACCACCTGTCTTGCCATCCTTTGCAGCTTTATCAGCACCATCGCCCTCTGATGTATCCTTAGAGGTTGGCTCATCAATATCCATACCAGCCTTGGATAACATATCATCTGTTAGAATGGATTGTGGTTTACCATCCTTTGGTGGTTTCTGAAGTAGGAAATGACTAGTGGAGATCGTCCTAGTCGCTTGCCACAGAGGTCTCTTACTAACAGTTCTAAGTACACTCAACATTGTTCACCGGAAATAAATTAGCAAAGTTATAATTTGATTTGGTATTGAGGAAATGGATCTGTGCAACAATGTTTTACTATTTACAATGAAGGAAAAAACAAAACAGAAGTTTAATAAAATATAACAGCAATGTTTTTCTTTTATTATCGACTAGTGTTATCTATTGCAATCAATATTTGGACTACTGGCCAATTCTAATATCCTGTACTATCGCAGTAGCAATAGAATAATTTCCCTTATGTTTATCCTAATTTTCACTTTGTGAATATATTTCCCATATTGAGTCGGTGGTCACTCTGTTTTTTTTTTTGTGTGTGTTTCGCTTCCCTTCTTTGTTTCTACTATTATCTGAATACAATAAAGCGACAAAAAAGTGCAATTTTAGTTACCCTCCTGATATTTAAAAATTTTGATATTATAATTAGCTAGTCTCATTTAAAACAGGAACTTCGGAACCGATTATCATACTGTCGTTAAGGCATCCGTTGCTATTTAGAACAGAATTTCGTATAATTGACATGTCAGGTTTGAAAACTTCTGCTAAATGTGTTTTATACACTTCAAAAGGTGACTTGGAAGTTGAGTTATGGGCTAAGGAATGTCCATTAACATGCCGCCATTTTATAGAATCTAGTCAAAGAGGAAACTTTAATAATGACTCCTTTAACAATTACATCAAGGGTAAATATTTATCGTTGGTACGATCCACTGGTAATGGACAGTCTGAAAAGTTACATTCTATTGAATATAATTCAAGATTATCTATATCGCAAGATGGGATATTAAGTTGGGATATTAAGAACGAGACATTTTTAATTAGTACAGATGAGTGGCTAAATTATCCTCGTAACGAGTTAACTATATTTGGTAAGTTAGTTGGAGGATCGATTTATAAACTAAGGGAATGGTTAAGAAATGATCTAGAAAATGACTCTCAAGGTACAAAATTTATATATCCACCTATCATCAACAACATCGAAATTACAATACCATACTTCAATGATATATCTGCAGATCAGCCTCGAGAAGATAAGCCAGCAATGCCCTCTGAACCTCCCAGGAAAAAAATGAAGTCAGTGGCTAAGGTGAAACTCAGTTTTAATGATGATGAAGAGGATGAGGAAGAATATGGTGATTTAATACCGATGAAAACAAAAATAAGAATGAAAGCTTCACCTTTATTATATCGTAGACAAAAGAAACACAATACAAAAATAAAATCTGAACCTTCTGAAGTTGATAATAGGAATACTAAGGAAATTCCAACTGATAAATTTTCCGAAAGTTCATCAGATGCACCCAGCGAATTTAATGATACTACATCAACAATTCAGAATAAATCCAATAAAAAAGTCGATCCAATGGCTCTTTTAGCTAAAATGAGAGCCGCTAATAATGGTAAAAACATTTTTTCATAAAGTTTAAAAAAATAGGATTCTCTAATGACAGAAAATCTACATTATCGTGGACAAAGTCTTAAAATGCTTGGAATACTACTTTAATATGCATTTTGTGAATTCGTCTTTTTTACAAATATCTATTTGTATATGCATTATTAAAACGGTATAGATAATTATACAACGTTATATTATCTGTATTTATTCTAGTAAAGAATAAAAACTTTTATACGCAAGATCTAAATCAAACAAAAGTTCTCTTATCTCGTTATCACTCAATGTATCTTCTACACGCATTTTATTAATCTTAATTATCCAATTCACTAATTCTTTTCGATGCTCAAAATCACTTTGAGTAACTTTATTAATACTTAACAAAAGTTCAGCAAGTAGGGGATGTAACTGATCTTTGGCTTTATAATTTAATTTCAATGCATCCATCACAGTAATGAAATTACCTGTTGCTTCCGCTACATCTTTACCATTGTAACCTCCTTTTCTTTGAGCCGAATTATGGCTTATCGTTGTATCTCCCGTGTCCTGGGCATCTACAATTGCATGTTCGACAGTTATCGGTATACCTCTTTCTAATCTTGTGATAGCATTAGAAGCTACTATGTCGTATTTTCTTTTAAAATGATCCAGATCGACGAAGGCTTTCCGCACTTCTTCATTCCCTAAATATGTCTTGTATTGAGCGAGTAATTTGTTTACAGAATTTGTATATTGGGAACTCGATACTAAATCTCTGAGATACGCCTTCTCTACATAATCTAATGCTATTACAATTGAATAGATTTCACCTAATATTTGTTTCGTCTCCTTTTCTTGGGATGTTAGACCCGAATTCAATTGATCAATACTAGCCAGTATTTTCTTTGAGTCAACCTCAGTATATTTTCTCTCTGTTGTTATACTGTCTGACATTCTATTTTATAAATCGTAAATAGAATATATGTAAAATGTTTTGTTGATTGGATGCAGGAGCAGTTTCAATAATTTGGCAATTAATTCAAATTGGTTGCTCCCTCTCTGTGTTACTTGTATATTTCCTATATATGTTCTTTCAATTTTATCGCGTAAGCAATTAGGCGCTTCATTATTTTAAGGTTAGGGTTATTTAATCACCTCACATAAACCCTAAAATATAGATGATATAACGAAGAGATATAACTTCTTTCACTCTTCAGGTAAAAATATTAATATATAGTTATATCATGAAGTTACATATATCATTAAATAGTATCATAACCTATCGAGATTTATTCTCATACTTTTGCAAATCTCATAAAATTCAATTATCAATCTATTCAATTATCGGAATACGTCGTATTTTCTTATCAGATCTATCACTTAAAATATTAAATTTTTTTAATGTGTCTTCATCATGGTAATAAATCGATGGTGGTAATATTGGATATTCTAAAATAATATTTGAATTGGTCAATGATGGCTCCGAATGAGAGTAAATTCGCTTAGAATCATCCGTTCCGAAACCTGTATGGTCTACCTTCTTGGTGATAATACCTCCATAGTTATCATAAAAACTCCTAGCATATTGCGCAGTCTGGCTCTCTTGTGCTATTAATTGTTCAATATATTTCACATAGGACTTTGGCCATTTAGTAACGCTAATATTTTGGGATATTTCAAAGTCTTTGCCGTTGCTAATCTTAAATTTTATAGTTAAATAATGTAATACTGAGAAAAATGGACCATGTGTAGTTATGGATCCATGATACTGAAATGGAATATTTTTATTTTTGCTCTGTATTAATAAAGTTTTCACCTCCCCTTGATTGTTTGATTCGTTAATATTTTTAGGTAATTTGTATAAAAATTCTGGTTCTTGAGATGTTCTTTCAAAATTTCTGAAAAATTTATCCTTTGTAAATATCCTCATATCATACTTGACATGAATCGTATTGGTGGAAATTACCTCGTTAATATCCTTAGTGAAAGTATGAATTATATTTTCCTTAGACTCTATATTATGTGGTAAATGAGGATGATTTACAAGGTGGTGGTGCGTATGTGTTGCATTAGCATTAGTAGAATCGTTAATCTGTAAGACTTCTTTCAATTGAAATGTAATATTTTTCAATTTAACTTTTTTATTAAAAAAACTTCCTTTATTTTGAACTGGATAACCATTAACAGAAGGATCTGGTTTAAAATCAATGACAAGAGATAACAGATCATCTGTGGTAACACAAGGATTATCAATTCGATACTTGACAATATATTTCTTATCTGGAGAAATAACCCTTCTCTTGATTTCTGGGAATAATTTAATTGAGGGTAAAAGTGAAAACCTTTCTACATTAATTAAGTGTGAGAAATGTTTAACATGTTTGGAATCATATTGAACTATACATTCAAAGGTAGTAACACAATTTCCAAATTTTTCATTATAATTTGTCTCTTTGATATTATCAGGAAGAGCAATTGTTAGTGGTAAATCTAATCCAATCATACTTTTTTTTGTATTTGTTTTTAAATTAATAATTTTTTTGTAGTGAACGGTTATTAATTCAAATTTATTCTTCTTTTTCTTGTTCCTTGATAATAAAGAATTACTAGAACTAAAATCATGATTATTTTTATTACCTGATTGAAATAAATGATGGTCATTATCATTGTTATTTTCACGAAAAGTACTTTCAAAAGGTGAAGTTACAGAGGATGGTGAAGGTAAACTAATCGAATTTGTTGAATGCAAGACTTCTACAGTCTTTAATATAATTTCTATCCTTTCAATATTTATCTTGTCTCCATTGTTAGATTTGATTTGTAATTGACATTCTATCCGAGGTAATGTATCTGGAATACCGGGACAACCTCTAATAACAGAATTATAACTAGGTTTTAAAGATATAACAGGGTATGCTGTCATATTATGTTTTTTATTTTGTTATTGGAGTAAATGTAGATCACCATCTGTCTTCCTAGAGCTCGAGAAAATCAAAGAAAAACAATTTGTTCGAAGTGCAGTAAGCAATAAAGAAAGAAAGTCAATAACGTAAGACCAATTTCAAATCTATAATAATAGTCTGATGTCCTATTTATTTCTGAATAATCATATACTAGATATAGTAAGGCTTATTTTTCTTTCCAGGAATTGTAAATCAGTTACGTTTCCTTTTGTTTTCATTTTAGATACAAATTTGTTTTTCTCTGCATTTAGAGGGATGCGGATACTACACCGAAACCGTTAAAATTAATAAACTGTTAATATATAGGAGAGATATACATAATTACTAAGATATCAAATCTAAATTCTGATATTTCCATGTATTCAACTTCCTCACAAATCTGTGAAAATCAGGAAACGGATAGTGCGTAGATCCTTTTCACCAGTAATTTGTAAGGTTTGAAATAATAAATATAAACAACTTATGCAACGAGTCTAAATGTTATTTGAAATTCTTCTCAAAAACATTGCACTAGCTTACTTACATATTATATATTATCTGGGTATATATGCAAATGCACATATATCTTTATCTATACACATAAATAATATTAAAAAATACTTCACATGAGATTCGAATAGACGGTTGACAACACCAAAAAAAAGAAAAGAGGAAAAGTAGCAAACTAATCGACCTTTGTCGTACAGTACGATATCGCATTTTAGTAACGTTCTCCTGTCTTATTGGTCAATTCTCTCAAAGTGTTACATGATATAATTTTTGTCTTGTCGCTACAGCAACGGCTTGTGCGTGCCTCTTCAAAAATTTCAAACTGTAATTATATAATCCAATAATCGTACGGAGAATTAGTGGACTTCACAGTGAAATATATAAATTATTTCTTATTGCGTTCATCCGAAAAGCGAAAAGAAAATGGAAAAAAAAAACGAAGTTTCTCCGTATTGTTCTTCATGAAATTGGTATGCAGAAAAGTTGATAACATTTTCTATCGCCCTAAGATGACAATTTCCAAAGCTTATTTTAGGAACAGCAGACATATCAAATTAAAAGATGAATAAAAAATATTAAATATAAAAGGAACCGTTTTATTTACAAGTTATAGGATTGATTCCAGTAACTTATAGATCTTTCTACTTTCACTGATGAAACAACAGAAACAACTAAACATCCATTCACTTACTACACCAGTATTTCTATTAATTTCGATTTCGAATCACACTATAACATACACACCTAAATAAAATAATGTCTACAATCTTCAAGTCTCTGTTCAACAAGAATGTTTCATTCAATTTAATCTACCTAACAACTGGATTCACACTCCCATTCATCATTTCTGCATACACTTCCCAGAGGATCGAATATAATAGAAATCACCATACTGGTAATGTCGTGTTGAAAGCTTCTCACAGACCAAGAAACTTTATCTAAACAACTTAGTCCCAATATCTTATTGTTGTTTTCGCAATTTATGACATTTGGGGTTTTTTGAAATTAGCATCCAAGTATAGAATTACAGAGTCTTTTGATTACAGGTTTAATCATGTTGACTTATTTTGGATATTGCTTTATTACTTATTTATTAATTAATTTTCTGGTCTTGATATGTCGTATCCATCGAACTTAGTAGACCATACTATCGCATATTATTACCACTGTTCCTTTTTATACAGACATATCAATGAAAAATTGTCGAACATTGGCTGGTACATCACTATTTATCGTTATGATATTATATCATAGCTACCTTATTTATACATCATTTCATTTATGATATTATTTATTTACATACATACACAAATACAAAAGAATTGATTTCTTTATAATTATAATTATTATCTTCACTTCAGCCTCTTTTTTACTTTTATTTAACTATATAGAACTGATTGCTTAGTTAATACTTCTGTTTATACTGTAATTGACATATTTAGTGTGTGCCTCGGAGTGTTGTAATCCGTATCTACAATAAACTAACATCGAAAAAAATAAAAACAGATAATGAATTTTAAGAAGTTATACTACTAACAAGGGTGATTTGGGAAAGCTAAAAATAAACAATCTGAAGAGGCTCATAGTCTTCCAGATATCATATAATAAGACTACAAAATTATATATATATAAGATATATAGATTGTTTGAAAATATTTTATTTCAAAGCAGACATTTGTTTTTATATTTCAGGGCAATACTAATAAAACGCCAACTACAATTGCCTCAAACTATGACAGAAGGATTTCAGAATATTGCTACCACAGATATTACTTGGGAAAACGTCCAAGATTATATCAATACTGGGGAACTATACAAATTAAGAAGATCCAAGGAAGAAACTATTAAATATAGAGCTCATAAAGCATTGTTGAAAGAAAAAGATATTTCAATCATTGATCATATCTTAAAAAAATTAAATTGGGATTTGGATAATCTAGAGTACCTCAATGCTACTAAATATCTGGAGAATGAAGACAAACTTAAGGCATGTTTCTCAAATAAAGATTACTTCAAATTATTACCTAATGACTTTCCTTATATGTTTGAACCGAACATTATTCATTTATTAGTATGGTCAAAAATCCGTTTACCAATCTATTTAGATGATCATAGAGAAGTTAGTATGGAGAAACATAATGATGTTCTACCAACAATGAACCCTGATATGAAGGAAAAAATCAACAAATTCTTGACAAAGACTCTACAAAAGAAATTGGGCTTGGATCCAGTTAATGATTATGTATGGTTTATAAATTATACCAGTTTGCAAAGTATTAGGGCTATTTCACATATTCATTTACTGATTAGATGCAAAGACATTCCACCAGAACATTCTAAGGAAGCTAAAAAAGCAACTGAAAAGGTAATGGACGGTTTCCTGAACCACGACTTTTTTGAAACATTATGAATAAAGGTCTCTTAATTAATATAATTATATATTATGTGTAATAAATAACTCAAAAAAGATCCTAAAACTATTATCGTCTTTTAATAACAATCAATCAGAATATCTATCTTATTTCGCTCCCTCGGTGTTTTTTGAATTTTAAAGACTCCCTCTCAACGGCTATAGCGAATAGTTGAAAAACTTGAAATGCGATGACCTTCAAAATTTTTTCACGATTGATCTTAAGAAGGGATGTATACAAAGTAGAATAAAGATCGAGTTTAAAAGGGAGAGTTTCATTTCTTGCTAATTCTCTTTTCCAAACTATAAAGCCTATTATTATCATACCCCTCCACTCCCACGGTCACATACATATTTAGATATGCAACTAAGAAAACGAAAGAGGGTAGATTATTCCTCAACAATAGAAGCAGCCAGTACAAAGATAAAATATAATGATGCTACCAATAACCCAGATAAACCAGTACCAGTCAGATCTAAACCTAAGAAGAGCTTGGTTATACCAAAAGTGACAGTACCATCAGCTAGAACGAAGAAGAATATAGTTATACCAAAAGTAACACAACTCCATGCAAAACCAAAAATTTCTCAACAGACTCCCTCTAAAAAGAAGCAAAACATTTCTAAACGATTCAGCGAAGATAAATTATTAAATGAGAAAATGAAAGGTGTAACGTTAACTAGACCATTTTATAAATCTCAAGTAAATTATAAGGATGAACAAGATGCTATTACCACTATACCGAAACTTAATGAATTATCCAAAGCATTAGATGATTTAATTCCTGTTCAAAAGAATTTGTATTACATCGATTTAAAAGGTCCGAAGTATTTAGGTCCTAAAAATTTTGAAACATTAAAACTCCCTAGTGATATTACTAATCTACAAACTATCTCTGCTGATCTAAAACAATTTATAAGATATAGAGAAGAAGCCCACAATATTGAAGATAATTTAAGTAGACAAGTGAGCAAGAATAGTGAAACATCCTACAGTCCAATTATAAATAAAGATAGAATGGAAGGAATCAAAGTTTTGTCCAAATTCGAAGATATCCCCGAATTCGAAATTGTCGATAGACTTGCTCAAATACATGGCATCAATATAAGGGATATACATGGACTACGACAAGCTAATATTAAGCCAATGCTTGATTCGAATTTCGTAAACAAAAATGAGGTGAATTCCATTAGCAAAAGGTTAGATAAAAAGTTGCAAAAGGAAAGAAATAATAATGTTGTTTGGCCCACAAAAACTAAAAAGAAGAAAGCACAAAATAAGAAAAACAAAGCAAAGAAGGAAATTCAAGATTCAAAACTTAGATTTTCAAATATTGGGTTGTTTAATTCTGTCTAATAGAGGTTATATACATGTTTGATATCCCAATCTTGACATTATCCATTACATATCTCTAATTAGATAACCACCTCTTCGCATCTCTTAATATATATATATATAGTTATATTTTACATCAGTTATTTAATTGGATTAGATAGGAACAATATACAATGGATTCAAAATTCTACCTAATAATATACAATGTTCAGAGTCATAAGACTAACATAAACTCGATTGTTCACTATTTGCCTGTAAATAATATGCATCTAATCTAAAATCATTCAAAAAATAGAAGATTTACGTGAAATAAAGTGGCTTTACTACGAGTTTTACCGTGGTAAAATTTAGAGGCACTCAAACTAGCAGAAAACGAAAAATGAAATTAAAAATATATATAATACACGAAAAGACACCTGAAACTCATCGCTTGGTGTCAAAATATACAGATGTACTCATATTTAGACTTGAAAGGAAATACATTACTTAGGAATTCGAATAGAATACTTACTTTTAAAAAATCTACCATCTGTAGATATAGCATTTAATAAACCTGTAGTCATATTCCAGGAACACGGCATAAGAAAATGAACAAAGAAACGCTAAAAGATCTGCTAACAACTCCCAGACAATGGACCGAATCAGACGAACATATACTACGGAAACCATACTTACATATTGCAGAACAGGAAGGTAAGAAATTTCGTTCGAAACTAATTGAAACTTTTGCGATATTTTATAACATGCCAAAGCCAGATATCCATATTTTGCAAAAAATCATAGAGATATTACATACCGCTTCATTAATGATAGATGATATTGAAGATAATTCCCTAATGAGACGTGGTGTGAAAACCTCTCATCTAGTCTATGGAATTCCAATGACACTTAATAGCGCTAATTATATGTATTTTGTAGCAATGTCACATGTGAAAGAGTTAGGTAATGCGTTCTCTTCAAATAACTTAGATGACGAAAGACATCACACACAGATTGAGCTGATGGATATTTTCCAAGATGAATTGATTAATCTTCATCGTGGACAGGGCTTGGAATTATATTGGCGCGACACAAATACTATTCCAACTATAGATATGTACTTTGATATGGTGGCGAACAAGACAGGTGGTCTATTTAGACTGGCAATTAGAATGATGGAATTTTTAGCCAAGCGTTATGAAAATAGTGAAGGTAATGAAGATCAAAAGTTTAATATAATATCTAATTCTTTGGTCCCACTTTGCAACATGCTTGGTGTTATTTATCAAATCCGAGATGATTATCTTAACTTAGTAGATGATACAATGCAACAGAAAAAGGGGTTTGCTGAGGATATTACTGAAGGCAAACTTTCATTTCCCATAATACATGCATTAGAACAAGAATCAAATATGATTTCAAAAGATAGTACACATAAACCATTTCTCAAAAATACTATTTTTTCTAGGACAGATAATATAGAAGAGAAAAAAGTGTTCATTAAAATATTACAAGATGAAACTAAATCATTAACTTATACTAGTGATACTTTAAAGAATATAATGTCACTCCTTAATGAGGGTGACTATTATCCAATACCTGTAGTTGATAATAATATCCTAGATAGGACCAAAATTGACACTTTAAAGGCTATGGTAGAAAAATTAGCTGCTATTTAAATGATTTTAAATGTAGCTATAATAATAAATAATGCATGTTTTTTTAAAATATAAATATATGTAATCATAATTGTATATACCTATACAAATATATATATTAAATATTCATCTACCTTGACCAATTGGTTATCCAAGTTACCTTTATGGTCATATTTAAATTCTATTATTCTATCATCTTTTGATATACCTCAAATATTTCCTTTAATTGCTGAATGGTTAGATCGTCGAAATTTGAATCTTTATATTTCTTCCAATCATTAGGAAGAGATCCATGAGAACTTCTGCTTGGTGTTAAAGTACCCAAGTGTGGGTTATCTTCTTCGCCACTGCTACCATTATTTGGAGATGCTAATGATCTAAGAGGGGAGCCGCCATCATAATCCATCGATAATTGAGATGAACTTCTAGGTAATGGTAGTGGTTTCAAATTATTAACAGTTGGTGGGGTGTATAATCTTATTTTGCTTATAATGTTTCTTAAAGAACCATCAAATGTATTTCTAAACCCTTCGTTTGAATTTGTTCTTGAAGTGGTACTTTCATTACCATTCTGGCGATTTGCTGGGGTTGGAGAATCTATTATTGCTGTTGGGAGATTATTTTTCCCGTTAGAACCTGGTAATGTTATAACGTCACTCACTTTACATTCTAATATTTTCTTTTCATGAGTTGTAAGTTCACCCTGTAATTCATCTGAAAAATCTACCAATGTTAATCCTTCGATAAACAGAAGTGCAGCTTCCAAATTAGTCAACGCATAAAGTTCTTCTTGAATCAATTTCTTCTTGTATCTAAACAGTTTAATAAATTCAGCATTCAAAAATAATTTCTTTGGTCTAAATTTTATAATATAATAAATTAACATGGATAAGAATTCGTCATTCGACATACCTTTTGAATATGACATCGATTCGTGTATGTTAAGTAAGATTTGAACTTTTTCATATGGCGAAGTTGAATAATAAGTGAATTTTGTTAAAGATTCACTGACTTTCTTATTTTTAGATTCATTTGAGAAATCTACAGAATCTGGAATGCCCAAAAATTCATCGAGATTAATCTTACCATCGAGAGATAATTTTGAGAGACATCTTAATTTTTCAGTTAATAATTTATCGAAATTTCCAAATTCTGGTGTGTTTCTAAACAAACTCGAGACATTAAATAGTTCTTGATGTGTATGATGTACCCTTTCTTGAGATTTATCTACTATCGGTAAGGATGACAATGTGTCAATAGATGATGACGAAAGATCTTGCTTTATTGGTGACGATACAGATATTCCAACTTCTAGTAATTTATTGAAAATATATGATTCACATAATATCATATATTTTTCAATCTTTAAATTATTCAATTCATTTGTCTTTAAATGAGTCTTAATCTCTTCTGGTGAAAGCATTTGGGTAATATTTCCTGTGGAGCTAGATTCCAAACTAAATAGAGATGATGATCTTCTGGGAGCTCTTGTCATGGATGTGCCGCTAGCAGTACTGCTACTTCTACTCCTAGCAAACATTCCGCTAAGACCAGTGCTCAGCGACTCTCTTGCTGTAAAAAATGAAGTAGCTGATGGTGTTATAGGTATCTGGCTTGTTGTTGTAGTATTATTATTAGAAAGGTATTGAAAGCAAAATTTATCAAATTTCGTATAGAAACCTTGAAACAAATATGATAATTGTACTATAGTTAATGGTCTTAAATATTTTGGTTGTTTTAAATCCGTAATGAAAACATCTATCAAATGTGATAATTCAGTAGGCAACTCTGTGATACCACTGATAGATTCTTCAATTTCTTCAGAAGTTAAATTCCCTGTGGATTCATTTTTCTCTACTATATCTTTTTCATCTTCTTCCTGAGTTGGTTTCTCACCTAATGTCTCTAAACCTGATTGTCTTGGTTTATATGATTCCTTTATGGATAAAGAATTATCAAATTTAGGATTACTCACAGGTGGTGTATAAAATTGTCTCATATTGTATGAGTGTATGAATTATGCGTTGATAAAACTTTCTTTATAAGCCCTTAGCAATGTGAATAAAAATAAAAATAAAATAGATGAAGTGTATTTGAGTAAATGTATATAAATGTCGACGACAAATGAAGGTCAAATCGATCCACAGGATTGTATCTTCTCTTTTTATTCAATGAAATAAAACTATCAATAGACCAGATCAATAATATAAAAACTGATGAAAAACAGTAAAATCCCTCGAAGAGTGGTGGCTGAGGAATCAAATTGAATAGTGGCAGTGATTATATGCAATATGAAAAGGCAAATAAACCAGACAAATTATAAATGATATTTCCTTATTTTTGTGTTAGCTTTATAAAATATAACAGGAAAAACTGATAATAATGGTAACTGTCTGTTTTACGAGAATTAAAGGAAGGGGTGCGTGCGAATGCGATAAATGATAGAAGTCTCGTTTACGCGAAAATAGTAGAAGTTTGCAATATTATTGCCTAAAAGGTATATATATAAATAGCCATCCATATATATAAATACACATCTATATATATAATATATACGTAAGATGGTAATTGGACAAAAGATAGATAGACTCCAACCAATGAAGAAATTTTTCTTATTGACTTGGATAGAACTCCGATAGTGGAAATTAATTTTACATATACCCATATGAAATTTTAAAATAGACCATGTGATTTACAGAATGTATTCAATACACTATTACCTTACGCGGTAACAGCTATTCTCATATCATCCATCCATCCATCAATTAATTAATTAAATGTTATTGTTATTGTTATTGTTCTCATCATTTTGACATCAGGCTATTTATAGTGAATAATAATGATAATCAATGACAAGTGTCATTACTACGACATTTTCTTCCTCTATGCTCGCTATATTTATAAATTGGCCGCGTTGTGAATTTTATTAGTGCATCAGTTCAATTGCTGTGAGTGGTTTTGAGGACGTTCACGGAGTGGAAAATTTCCATTTTCTTTTTGAATAGTAGAGGGAGGGAGATGAGATTAATATGATGTGATTGCGATGATGAAGGATAAGGGCCTTACTTCGTTTTTAGACCCAGGTAGGCAAATATATATATGAGAGTTTTGTAATGCTGCATTTGAAACAGAGGAGAGGGAAGGGATTTAAAAGGTGAATCCTGAAGACATTATTAAGTTTCGTAGTTAGTTTACCGAAGAAAGTTCTACTATAAGGATTTGAGCTAGATCAGAAAGTGTATAATTGACAGACATAATATCGGTAACACAAAGAGTTTGTTTAGTAAATTCACGCATCACACTGATTATTGTTTTGTTTAGAAAACTTTATTTCGAAGTTTATCTAGATATAATGAATTAACTATATAGTGATTTAAGGAAATAGAACGAAAGAAATTGTGTAGTATACTTTTCGCATATGGGTTATTTTAAATTAAAAAGACAACATGCACCAGATTCCATAGGTGTAGAAAATTATAAAAGAAGACGATTATTACAAGATTTTGCAAGTCTAAGCATATCATCTTCACAGAACGCCTCCAATTCCAACAAAACTGGTACACCAAATGTTACAAAAATACTTTCCGGAGATATATTAGTACCAGACACTGTAAAGAATAAATTATTAAAATTCTCTCAAAGTGAAAAATCAACAAGATCAAGTGCTGAAGCAATATATGACAGAATATTGGAATGGATTAAAGAAGATGCATCTCAAATTATTAAATGGGTAGATTGGGAGCACGAATTATTTGTTATGTGGTATACTTGGTATCATAATTTATGGTACAATAATAATAATAATAATATAGATATGGAAGTAGATCCTCAACAACAACAAGCAGCGAACAGTTTTCAAGTTGTGAATAATGATATTAATGAGAGTATTGATGTAGATATGGATGTAGATATGGATGCATAATTAAAAAGTTTAATGATAGAATATATAAAAATTGTAAATTTTTGGTTGTTGTTTTTTTTGCTATTTTGTTTAGGGATCACTGAAACATCTTTATTGCAGTTTATAGTATATAATTAGTAAAGTTAGCTCTTTTCTCCTAATTCTATTTTGTTTTTTCATAGTAGAGCATATATACATATTTGGTTTCACTCAATACACTATTCAAATTGACCTCCTGGATGGAAGCATCTGATATTTTCCAAAAACTTTTTGTATTAACAGATTTTATCTTCTTGTATCTTTTCTTGGTCGTGGTGCCTTCCTGAATTGAGGTAAACCCATTATCCGATAATTCATTAATTTTAGGGCCAATTATTGGAAGTTTAACAGTAGGTGACAAATTTACCATTTTCTCGAGCTCAGTGTCCATCTTAAAAGTAGGTTTATGTCTATAACATTGATAATGACCTTGGTAATGAGTACCAGTATGCTTAACCATAGACTTCAATTTATATTTGACATCCTTTATGGATATACACTTATTATCTTTGATATATTGTTCAGGGATAGTAAACTCTTCTTCGAATGAAACTCGACAAGCATTTCTCGTTGTACTCACCCCGTTGAACATCGATCTGGATATGTGAATCGCTAAGATATCGGGTGATTCTACTATAACAGATCTTTTGAAAATATCTGATCCACTCGAGTAAGGTACACATCCATTTTTGTTGTACATTTTGATATAATTCCATATTTCTTCTGGTATGTCACTGTTGATAAATAAAGAGCCATAATGCTCTTTGATGTATGTATAACCAATTGATTGATCATCCCTTCGCCTGAGCTCAAGGTGATTTTCATTTGTTATGATCATTTTCATCATACAGCACAAACACTTATAATCACTGACAACATCTGTTTGATCCTGAGAAAACAAATCATTTAACGTAGTAGAATACTTTTGAGGGGCTACAACTTCATATAACGAAAAGTCTTGTAATTTTAATTCGGACGTTTCATGGCATCTCAAACATACTAATTGCGTCCCTGTTTGTCCTTGTAAAGGAAATTTGATGGTTTCGTTAGATACATTGGACATGTTATATTCATCCTTTAAACAGTCCAGGATCACTTGAGTAAACTCCTGGGCATCATGTTGTTCGCGTGATATTCTGGTCTTAAATATGTATTCTAAAGTTTGTTTGATCGGTTGTACAGAGAAAGATTGAGTATTCAATGTTGGAGTTTCTAATTTCGAAATTAGTTCAGCTAGAGTAAGATGTAAGGGATATTTGGTTCTAATAAGTTCTAAATCTTTAGAACCGTCTGTCACATCCTTCAAAATAGAATTTAAGTATTCCGTTAGGGTATCGAGCGACACAAGTGCTTGAATAGAAGAGTTTGCATAGCAGTCATTGGCATTATTTATTAACCCTGATGTAGTTCTATCCAATCTTCTATTTGGTTTATTTTCTCCTTTATTTTTTATAGTTTTCCAAAATATATCATTAATACTTGGGAATAATATATAAAAAGTTAGTGAGAGACCCAGTCCATAGCATAACTTCCTTGAATTATCATTTGTAAAGCCAAGTATATGTGTTAGGATGCTAACACTTTTATTTTCGTTGTACATTGGGTGCCTTCACCTTTCCATGAGGTTATCTAATTTCTCATCATTTATAAGATGGTTTAATATCATGTACCTTTTTTCTAATAGAATAAGATTGTAAGACACGAAATTTCGATCCTTTCTTTCTATGCAACGAGCTCGCCACAGTTTTATTAAAAATAAAAATCATGCCATTTCTTTAAAATATTAGCGTTTGTAATGTCTTGCAAAACTATGCTTCATAATTTATTTATTTTATATATTAATACAAATTTTATTATCAGCTACCCATACTACCATATTCTGCAGCCCAATCGTCAAACCTTTTCAAGGATTCTGGAGAAACACTTTTCTTAATAGTTTCCATTGCTTTGACAAAGTCAGTTTTTGTTATCTGTCGAATAGTTTCGAAATTAGCATCCATCAATTGATCGCCAAGTTCCCTAATCGGTTCCATTGCAGCCTCCTTGGCCAGTGCAGTCATATCAGATCCGGAGTAACCTTCTGTTAACTCCGTAATTTCTTTAAAATCGCCTTCAGTTAAACCATTTGGTTGATTTTGCAGCAATCTGTTCAAATGATACTGTCGGGTCTCGAAGTCGGGGAGAGGAATATACAATCTTCTCGAGAATCTTCTTCTGGCTGCATCATCTATCACCCAGGGCAAGTTTGTGGCACCTAATACCAATACTCTTTGGTCTGATGTATCAGCATTGTTGACTGCAGCTTTTGAAAGGCCGGACCACTGGATTAATACCTCTGTTTTTATCCTCCTTGATGATTCATTTTCGTTGTCACTTCTGTTACCCATAATAGAGTCGATTTCATCAATAAAAATGATTGAGGGAGCCATTTTCCTGGCCAAATAGAAAAGAGCCTTAACCAATTTCTCAGATTCACCCAGATATTTTGACAAAAGCGAAGAAGCACTAATACTAAAGAAAGTTGAATTAGACTCAGTGGCAACGGCCTTAGCTATCATTGTTTTACCTGTACCTGGTGGTCCAAATAGTAGCATCCCCCTGATTGGTTCACGCAAACCCTTAAATAAATCGGGCCTTAAAAATGGGTAAACTACTGTCTCTTTTAATGATGCCTTAACCGAGTTTAAGCCGGCCACATCATCCCAGTGAATCACATCACCTTGCACTAAAATATTACATTTTATTTGTTCCAATATCACAGGATCAACTCCTTCGATACTTTCAGGCGTTTGTTGCGATATATCTGATATACCATTAACAGTATATTTATCCTTCTTTTCAGTTACAGCTATTTTTTTAAGTGTTCTATCACCAACATCATTACCAACTACCCGTTCTTTATTTTCCTGCCTTCTGGGTTTGGCTTTTAGATTTGACGATAAATCAGTATCGTCTCTTATTTTTGAATTTGTAATATTTCCAGTATTTCGTTGTCGATTTGGTTGAATTTGTGGCTTAGATTTAAGGGGTTTATTTATATCTCTTCTTGATGAGACATAAGATGATGCTGACTCCTGCTTTGATGCATCGTTTGAAAAAGAGGACCACGCAGCCAAGGCTGCCTTGTTAATATTCTCATCTGACGACTGCCTTTTAGCAGATAACGCATCTGAGTTAATGCGGTTATAATTAGATATGTCCAAAGACCTCCTCATTGTACGTTTTGATTTATTCAAGTTATGCATAGCATCCTTTTTATATGTAAGCCTATGTCTTGTCAAATCGAAACTCCGACGTCCACTACTATCTTGACTCAACTTTTCTGATGAATTACGGTTCAAGGAATCTGATCTATGAGTAGTAGAATTTTTATTTTCCTTTGGTTTCCCATGAATAGTTTTTTTGCTTTTTGCTTCCTTAGCTCTCTTCTGTATTTCTTTTTCCATTCTCTTTGCAACCTGGCTTTTAACCTCATTTTCGATTTGTAGATCTAACAACTTCTTCTGTTGTTCTTCGAGTTCTTTTAATCTTTTTTCTTCTATTGATTTTCTATCTCGTTCTTCAAGTTTTTTTTGTTCCAATTGAGTCTTTCTTTGATCCTTGATCAATTTAACTCTCCGTGTTATTTCATTATCGTTAGATTCTTGTTGTTTGAGAAACTTTTCTTTTTTCTTTGAATTTTTCACCCAAAAGGTCGGTACATTGAAACTTTTATTCTTAAGTAAAGGGGAAGTAATTACGGTATTACCATCGTCAATATTTCCTGAAAGGGCGTCATCTAATAATTTAGCTCGTTTATCATCTTTAGACTCCGAAAGTGTATCCAGAACACTTTTACGAATCATTCTGATATCATGCCCAAGTATCTGGAAATCTTCAATCTTACATCGAAATGATTCATTTTTAGCTATAAAAGTTTTCCAGCTGGGTATACTGAAATTGACTTCGACTGTTTTGAGTCCATCGTTGACGTATTTTAGTAAAAGACAGAGTTCCCTATAAAACGACGGTAACTTTCCAATGTCTTTTGTTTCGGATTTAGTAATATTTACCTTATCTGATATGTTCACAACTTGATTATGTACAATCGAATACAATAAATCAAGAGATTGGCATAGAGATAAATTTCCTGGAACGATAAATTTCTCATCCGACATAATATGGATTATTTGGTATATTAAAAAGTTAAACAAACAGAAAACACATGCCAGTCTCTAAATTATCCTTTATATATAAAATGGGATACAGTATAGTATATGAATTCTTGTAACTTTTTGGGTTATTCTCCTTGGTCTAGTCTTAGTCAAGGAGGGAGGTCTTTATGTAGGTCCAACTTTCCTTTTTTTATAGCCTCTGATCTTCGCTTTTTTCTCAGTCCCTAATATTAAGTCAGTAATAATTTCAGAAAGTATTTCAGAATATTCCGAACAGCTTTCGGAAGAAATGTCATGAACAAAGTACATTTCCATGTTCAAAAGAGTGGGTATAAGGTACAACTTCACATAGCCTCCTAAGGCTAACGTAAGAATTTGGATTGTAAATAAATCATTAAATGGTCATCGTATGTATATAATATATAAATGTATCATAAATTAATTGGTCATTGAGCAATATGCTCGGGGAACTAATTGGAAGGTTAATCGTCCCCATTCTTCTCAACCTCTGTGGAGTCATGGTCTGATTGTTGTTTGACACCTATTTCATTATCTTGATTACCTTTCATGTGTATAATTGTATTATCAGTTAAATTCCCATTACTTCCGACCTGTTGCACGTTAGAATTATTTGATTGTTGTAAAATATCAATGTTCGTTTCGATTTGGTTAGAAGGTGCCAAACTGTTACTATTTTTTTTATTCGTACTTACCACATCGGGTATGTTATTAGAAGTTTCATATTCCTGTCCTTGAGGTACAGTACTGGAATTAGTATCAGTATTATTAGGTATTGAATTTGAACCACTATTTAACTTAATTTTAGAAATGGTGCTGGAATTTTTCTCGTTTATATTTTCTGTCACTGTTTGTTTTATGTTCTCATTGTTCAAATGCGATGTGCTTGAATTTGAATTACTTTCAGCATTGTTCAGAGCAGCAGGGAGGTGAGAACGTCTGCATGATTTTGTCTTCTCTTCCTCTGTCATTATTCTAACATTCCAGTTCTTGAAATCTTCAAATATGCATATCTCTTTCCCACGTTTGGTCATATATCTGAAATATAACGATAGTGAATTTAAAGTCAAAACGTTATTTATACGGAATTTTTCTAAGTCACTTACTAGAATTTTTCTTATATCCTCCCTTGGCTGGTCTGGATTTTTAAATCTTCCCAATCTGATACCCCTATCCACCTCCATCTCGATGTAGTCAATGATTATTCTTCTGGTAGGAAAAAAATGAGAATCTTCACTTACCTTCCAACGTCTCCATCCATATTCTTCTATCAAACTTTTAATAGATGGTTTCCCATTTAATCCAATATACCATTCAGCATATAAGTCCCATATAGTTTTGTTATCTCTTGAGAGTTTGTATTTAATATTCTCATTTGGACCACCAGTTTTGAGATTTTCGGTATCTTTTTTATCTTTAATTGTATTACCTTTTGGATCAGATGGTTTAGGTGTAGCTTGATCTATTGTGGTAACTTGTTTCTGTGTAGATGAGAAATTTTGAGGAGCACTAATTGTCAATTGAGCACTTTTTCTGAAGGTATTAGTAATGGTAGGTAATCTTGCAGGTAATTCATCCGACTTCTTATTAGCAACAGTTTCATTTGTTTGTGTTCCTCTCACAGGAGGTGGCGCATTTATCTTCGGTATTAGGGGTTTATTTCCTAATGGTTGAATCTCTATCGCAGATCCTTCGGTACTTGAAGCTTTCTCTTCGATAGAAGCCGTTCTTTTCCGTCCTATATCAGATGTATTCTCATTTTGTAAATAAGAGCGATCTAGTTTACTGGACATTATTTGATCTATTGGTTCTGGTATTGGTGACAACATGGCTATATTGTCTCTTTCGATAGGAGTTGCAATTTTTGATGTTAATAGGTTGCCTGATGTGCCAGAATTAGGAAGAATATTATCAGATTGTTGTTGAGCACTAATATCACTAGTAGTAGAGAAGTTGGATGAATTTATTTGCGTAGATCCACTCCTACTGCCGTTTGTATTAAACATATTATCTGGGAATTTTGGACTAGGCATTGCTTTAAACAACAGGGAATCTAAAGCAGCTTGCGACGCTGTTGGTCTTTCATCCAATCTAAATCGTTTACTAGCGCTAGCATTGATAACGTTGTTATTGTTATTTGTGTTATATGGAGAATCAGGTCCGACATAGGGTCTTGTCGATGCCCCTGGCGAAATTCCAAAAGGACTGGACGCCGAAGGTTGCAACACCGATAATGGGGCTGGCAATTTTCTTTTACTGTTTGAATTTGAAATGTCAGATTGCACAATATTTTGTGCATTTGAAATAGAGGGAAGCTGCTGGGTAGATGGTGTAGGTTGATTTGAGAAGGAAGTGCCACTGTTTGCATTATTTGCATATCCGGTAGGAACCACAGCAGACGTACCGTTATCGCTCTGGGGATTGTTCGCTGATTGTTCAGGTTGATTATTATCAAATGATTGAACAAGGTTATTAAGAATATTTGAATTAATGGAATTTCTATCTAATATGATAATGCCTCCCGTATTATTACCATTGTTCCTTCCTCCTGATATATTATTAGAGTTATTCGTCGTGGTGCTATTAGGTAACTGAATACCTGTCGTATTATTCGTTGCCCCAGACAAAAGCTGCCTTTGGACTTGCAAAATTTGATTGCACATAGAGTTTAATGAACTGAGATCATATTTTAGCTGTGTTATTTGTTGACTAAGTCTGATATTTTCAGTTGTCAACTTTTTGGATAGTTCCGTTAGATGAGAGTCTACTAGGTTTGTTACTTGTTCTTTTGTGACACCGCTGGAGTTTGTATCTCCAAGTCCCATCATAGAAAGGTCACTGTTAATTACGCTATTATTATACGTATTGTTTTGTAATGGATTATTGCTATTTTGTTGTGAAACATCACCTCTTTGAAACTCGTCCTGATTGAACAAATCCGGGATAAACTTCGAAATAAATGAAACAATATTTGGAAGTAATAATGGATTCTGAGTCAAATGTTTTAGATCTTGGATTAGGACTTTTCCCATAAACTCAAACAGTTCACATAATGAATGAAGCTTATAATTGGTACGATCGATAGCTAACATATCATGTCTAAATGCAGGTAACCATGGAAACACAATATTGATTAGTTTCTTAGAAGGTTCAAACGTCTGTGCCCTCGCCAGTTTTCCAGTACGATTATTTACATTGGTTTGATTTTGTACGTTAATCTCTGATGTAGCGTCTAAACTAATCAAAGATGATTCTAGCAACAATATTTCATTGAAGTTATTTATTGTTATTGGCTGAGTGGGATGACTCCATCTGATTACAAAATATACAGATAGCGCAAAAATTGGGCAACGTGATATATCCCCATCTCTTGGAACAGTGTTAAAATATTCATAGGTTTGGAATGAAGAACTATCGTTCAGCTTTCTTAATGTTAATGAATCGGTATATGTTTGATCTACGATAAGGTCTACTAATTTTAATGTGGGCAAATTGTTTACATTAGCCTTAAAGTAGTCTTGAAGAATGTACTGAGTTATGGCATAAAAATTGGAGCTTGTATTACCACCTTCATTATTATTACTACTAGTTTGATTTTCCTGTGATTGATGTTCGTGCTTTAAAATTAGCATTTGTAACTTGTTAGTATTACTATTCTCATTTAAAGTTCTATTTGAATTTTCATTATTAGCTAATGTTTCATTTGGATCAGTAGGCCCTTTTTGGGCTAAACTGTTCTTGTGATGATTATTATCGTGGGAAATACTAGGTATGACATTAAAATTAAAGGAGTTAGGTGGAAGTTGTGCTACCCTTGGGGAACTATATGGTACTGAACTTGATCTTTTGTTATCATTCGTTATTGAATTAGCAAAAGTCTTAGAAAAAGGATGTGCTGATGAGGGGCCAAAAAAATTCATAGTATGATTCTATTATTTATGTTGGTTACCTATTCGAAAATGAATAAATGTTCAGAAATGTTGTTATTTTGTTGACTAAAAATAAATATTGGTTTATTTTAATCCATAATCAGTGGTATGTTTATTTGGTGAATCTGTCATAAAATACGTAATCTATTTTGTATTGCTTAGCCAGAACTTAAGAACTGAATAGAAGATCCGTAATATGTTGTCGACAAGGATGTCTTGTTTAAATTTTTGGATGAGTATACCTTGTTATTGTACTCTAAATAACAACCTAATGTTCTTAATATTATTTTGATATCAAAAAAAAAATCGAATATAAAGTATGTCAAATACGGAACGGGCCTTATTGTTATTTAACCTCGACAATTAATAATAATTGGTATTCGAATTTCTCAAATGTTCTTGAAGAAAAAACTAATAGTTTGTCTTCCCCTAAAAATATTGTTTTCAATGGAAACTATATTTTTTTTAATGCAGGTATTATACTATTCTTTTACAATTTAACTCAAAATGTTACAGCTGGATAAGGAACCTTTCCAATAGTGTTAAACAGTATTATATAAATATTCACTTACGCAGGAATAATTTATCAAAGCAAATCCAAATTAATTCTCAACCACTGAATATGTCAGTCTGATAATAATATAAAAAAATAAATGGAGGCGAAATAAATGTGTATCCTCTTGATGATCTTGGGATCAAGTCAAATAAATATTTAAAAGTCAATTCAAATACCAATAGAAATATCCACACAACTAATAATAAAAAGAAAAAGAAAAAAAATGCAATCATACCATACCATCTGGAAACATCGTTTTATTATGAGTATTCACTTTAGGTGTTATAGCAGGGTTCGATGGAATATTACTCGATAATGCAGGAGAAGCTGGCGTAACTATTTTGGTCCGTCCAATCAATTCTAGTGATTGTTTTGACCTTTACTGTCTTTCACGTAATTCCTCCTGGCAGTATTCGATAATAACCCTATTTTAGGTAGTTAACGTTTTTGTTGATACCCGTGGTTGAGCAAATGTTCCTCGGAGTGAATTAAAGAAACCAATAACAATTGTTTCCCTTCGTTAGTGATCCGTTTATTTGGATACGATGTTCGTTTATCTTGTTACTCTTTAGGATGCTCTGAATCAGTCAATTATAATAATAACTCTCTTGTGATACCCTATTTTTGAATTCCTATATGGTAGTAATTAAGAAGTAATGATAATATTGGACGCGGATTAACTACAAGAACAAGAAGTTCAATTTTTGGTTGTTGTTGTTGTTTTCGCAAAAGGTTCTCAACTTCCTGTCCTTCCGCATTGAATTTGTGGGTAACAACGACGCAAGTGTCATTTCCCGTGGAGTTATTTGGCTTCGTATCTTATGAGCTTCTTATAAATTTTGTTTGTTTGGTCCTTTGTGATTTTTCCGTTCTTTTCTGTTCAATGGCCCCGCTGCTGTACGCATTTCTCAAGAAATAATAAATTCAATCATCAGAAACCCCACATTATGTAAGGCTTACATACTCATAGGGGGAATATCTATCAAGAAATAAAGGAAGCCCGGATGATTGGGTGGTCTACTAATCTGCTTAGATATAGATAAACTATATATTTCTTGAATTTATGAAAGGTCGACTATATTGACACACTTATTAACAGTGTCAGTAAATATATCTTAACCTAACTTAGGGTTGCATGTTGCTTACATTAATAGTTAGTGTAATTTTAATGTTAACGGAAGGCCAGTTACTAACGGAGAGCAAGTATTTACTGTCAAATATGATAAGTAATTATTATTAAAGTTCATGTGGTATACCATTATATATATATACCGAAATTAGGTGATATAATAACTATCACCTTATGTAGAATTGCATAGATTGTAAAACAAATGAAATATTATATGTGCGTTTGGATTCCTCAGCTAGATTAAACCAATTGATTTCTGGAGGAAATATTTATTCATACTTTTAGATTATATATATATAATGGTTTATATCTTGTAGAATTGGATTATTGGACCTTGTATAAGTTATAAGTATGGTTTACATGAGTTCCTTATTCTACATCTACTACAGGAGTTCTTGGATCCCATAAGTCAAGTATTTCGTAATCACGTCTCCTATAATTAACCTGCCAATAATGAAATAATTTAGGCATAAATATAATATAAGACACAGATGTGATAAGGAAGATTAGTGTTATGCGATAACCAATTGAGATCCCAATAAACAAGTATACTACCATGCTAGATGTTGTAGCCACTTTTATATGTGATATATTAATGATTCTTGGTAATATGATATTGACTTGGATGGCTATTAAAAGAAAACAGAATACATCTGTAGTTGTGTTTAATCTCGACGCTAATATTGCAACGTTAGCCAATAATAGGTTCGTAGCCAAATTTGATGGTTTGTTATTAGAATGGTCATTAATATCATAAAATATTGATGATTCTTGTTTTTTGATATCCTCTTTATGTGGAGATGGGGATAACGATGATGTTGCGCAAGTTAAAATGTAGAGAACATTGATCCAGAATGATACAGTCCATATAGAATCAGAGGCTGTGGTCATTGATAATGATCTTAACACGGGTGATAATGTAAGCAATGTGAAAATAATAATAAAAGAGGACTTCAAGTTTAATAAACTTGTCAGTTCTTTATTCTTATGCGTGGAAACTAACATCGTAATTAATGTAATTGCTCCAGTTATATACCTTGCATCTGTTTTGTAATAATATATCAGGGTAAATGCAATGTAGATAAACGATGAATTTAAAAAGATGTTATAGAATTTGAGAGAATCCTTTCGTATTTGATCAAAATCATAATCGATTGGTGAAGGATCTTCCCTTTTCTGTTTCATCTTCTCCATAAATTGGATGAAATCTGGATCGGTATAATTATCGGGGTATTTTTGTTTGATCCATAACAGTCTACTCCATGGTTCCTCTGAAGACATGCCTATGTGTTTATTTTAGGATAATATGCTGACGATATATGATATTGTTCAATATATAATTTTCTGTCTCCGTAAGTACTTCCGGGATTGGTTGGCGGTTAATAGTTTCTGTGATTGGCTAGTTATTTGTACTTTCTTTAATTGAAAATTGAAATAATACGTTTATATAGATATATTATTATGATTTCCTTGTATGCGTTAATAGTATTTAGCTGTTGATAGCATCCCAACAGTTTTACAGTTTAAATATCTTGTTTGTTATAGACAGTTTCTTCTCACATTCTCTGCTCTTGAATCTTATTTCGTGATCCATTTTTCTTCGCTCTACTGAAAACTTCAATGAGAATCTTATTCAACTGATTCCGTCTTGATAAATTTCCTCACGTCACAGGAAAAGACAAAAAGTTCAATGAGTAGGATAATAAACAAAACAATAAAAAACATAGTTAGTCATTTTTATAAACGATATATATCAAGTGATCCATCAAAACAAAGGGCAAGATAGGTATCATAATGCTGAAAGTTACTTCTGGGACAGATGAATCCCTGAATAAAATGGGGATCCCCAAATATATAAATAGTAGGACAGACGACAACGACTACGATGAGGACGAGTATGGCATAGGTGAAGACGAACAGAGGGAAAGCACAGTTTACGGTATTCCAAGAACGTTACCAATAACAAATATATATTCTAATAGATACAGAACTGCACATAAATTAGGAGGATCAAGAGTACAAACTCCAGAATTAGATGTGCCAACCTCAAACAATAATAATAATCCTTATCGAAAGAGGTCAACATCAACATATTCAAGAAACTCCAACAATGCGAATGCTATGTATAAAAATATAAAATACCGTATATCAGGATATGACAAAGCGCAAGAATCATATCCAACCCAAAATAATGTACAAGATACCAGGAGATTGGTTACTGCGCCTGCAATTGATACTCAGGAAAGATTGCGTTCCCAGTTAGATGTCCTACAAGAAGTACAGAGAGTTGCGGAGCATGAAAATATATATGATGGCTTCCCTATTGGATTAGAGACTAAACTTGTCTCCTTAAGAACTGCCCATTCCAAATTGTTACAGATGCTGAGGGAGAGGACAGCTAAAATCGAAGAACAAAAGAGACATGATATTAATGCTACCGTCCTTGCGAATATTCCAAGCACAGTTACGACTAATTCTGCAAGGGAAGACACCATAAGCAATGTGATGTCTACATCGAACAATGGTAAAGTCGCAACTGTTCATAACAATATAACGGGAGCACCTTATGTCAGAACAAAATCTACTGCACATACAATCAATCCTGAAGAAAAGAAATATATACAGCAGTTAGTAGATATTGCCAAACAACTGCGATGAGTACATCATCGTCATGACATAAACATACATATATATATATTCTTATATTAACTAATAGACACTCGATTGCAATCTATACATCTCATACTTAACATATAAATATTTATGTGCGGTCTATTACTAATAAATTCTATCTATCATGTGTCGTAGTATTTTGGTTCTCTCTCTGTTCATTTTAGTATGTAACGACCCCGTCAGCCAATCAAAATCAAGAATATGGATCATTACTGGGTCGTACAAAAACCGCGTAGAGAAATATTCGCCAAACAATATTCTTTTGTAAGGAAAAAAAAATACAAATTGTAAGAAATTTAAAGGACAATATACAGTAGACTTTCTTTCTATAGTTGATGAGAAGGGGTCAAGTTTTTGAAGTTTCATATATATAAATCATTATTTTGAAGAGGTAGATTATAAGAAGATCTAGAAGTTAAATAATTTATTTTAGACGTAAATCAGTTTAGTTTCCCGATTGTAAGTTAAAAAAATACTCGATATTAAGTAGGAGCAAATTATCCCTAAAACGATACATAAAATAATAATAAAATTGACACTGAAACATGAGTTTGCGTACTGTTTCCTCAAAGTTAACTCAAAGAGTTGTATTGGCTAATACTATTTCACGTACTAGTATGTGTGCTGGTATCCGTTACATGTCTACCCCTACACAAACGCCTCAAGAGCCTAAAGCAAAGGCTCAATCTATTATCGATGCTATGCCAGGTAACAGTGTTCTATCCAAGACTGGTATTTTAGGTACATCTGCAGCAGCAGCTGTCTATGCTATTTCTAACGAACTTTACGTTATCAATGAAGAATCTATTCTACTTTTAACCTTCCTAGGTGTTGTTGGTATTCTAGCCAAATTTGTTGCTCCATTTTACAATACCTGGGCTGATGAAAGATTAAAAAAGGTTTCTGGAATTTTGAATGCCTCTAGAGAAAGACATGTCGACGCTGTTAAGCAAAGAATTGATTCCGTTTCCCAATTACAAAACGTCTCCCAAACAACAAAAGTTCTTTTCGATGTTTCCAAGGAGACTGTTGAACTGGAAGCCAAGGCTTTTGAATTAAAGCAAAAGGTCGAATTAGCTCAACATGCCAAGTCTGTCTTGGATTCCTGGGTTAGATACGAAGCCTCTCTGCGTCAATTACAACAGCAAAAAATTGCTGAATCTATTATTAGTAAGGTAAACTCTGAATTGGGAAATCCAAAGTTCCAAGAAAAGGTTTTGCAACAATCTGTTGCAGATGTTGAAAAATTATTCGCCAGTCTAAAATAAATAATTGACTAGTATGATATTTTTTGAAACCTCAGTGTGGTGACGTCAGAATTCATTCAAACAAATCAAGATATTCCATAATTTTTTTAACTCTATTTTTAGATATTCTTTTTAAAAAAAATAACTGTATAAACATTTATTTCTATATCCTTTCCATATATATATTATTTCAAACAATGCAGTTCTACTTAATATGGATGCGTTACTAACGTTTTGGGTACTGTACATTAGAACTCAGAGTTCTTTAAATAAAAGAAAATATATCAGGTCCCTGCTGGTTGAATTTTACATATTTATTTAAAAGAATATAGTATCTTTGATGTCTAATCGTATATTAATTGATATTGTATGTTTTATATATTAATATATGAGGTAAAATGAATAAATTGTATACATATAGTAACCAAATAGATTAAATGAAAGTTTCGTATGGAACTGGAGCCAAAGTTTGAGGAACGTTACCTTCGGTAGAAACAATACGAGCTTCTCTTGGTTGAGCTGGTTGTCTCTTTAGTTGGACAGCAACACCTTGAGCCTTAGCTTCAGCACGCTTAGCAGCGTTAGTCTTAACTCTTTCCAAGAACTCAGCTCTACACTTAGAGTGCTTGATATGTTCGACTCTGATGTTTAATCTCTTTTCTAGGTATCTGTTACCGACCATCTTGTTAACGATGATACCAACAGAAGACTTGGTGACGTTGTAAACGACACCGGTCTTACCTTGGTAGAACTTGTGAGGCATACCCTTGTGGATGGAACCATTGGCCTTGATATCAACGATATCACCAACCTTGTAGGTCTTCAAGTAGGTGGTCAAAGAGACGGCACCATGCTTTCTGAAGTCCCTTTGGAACATGTAACGAGTACGAGATCTGTAACCGTGACTATTTAAATTTTATGGTATGGAAAACAAGCATGCAATGAATGTTTCATATTAATGTTAGTAAAGTTGCTCAAAAAATTGGTATAGTTACTTATCTAGTATCTATGAGGTTGACTTTTCTGTAATGTGGACACAAATAATTATGATATATTCAAAGTAAAGGAGATTCATAGTGAATAGCAATTTAATATGGTTTCATTCACAGGTGCGATTTATTTATCATGTATTCCTCCAAAAGTATCCAATTTATCTCTAGTTTTATCATAGTTCTTATTAATTATTATTTGGTTCACGAAGTATCTTTTAATGTTCAAATCCTTATATTTTTCCTATAAAATCAAACCTCTCGTTACTGTTTAAATGTTTGCGAAATTGTGTACCTTCTACATACGATTTACCCATTTTGATTGATTGATTATGCTTGGTTTCTTTAAATTTGTATCTAGAACTTTGATATTGAACTCTCAAATAAAAGCTTTTTAACCACTAAGTTACATCATTATTACTACCTAACTAGGATACTACTAGGTTCACCGATCAAGGTGAACAATTGATACTATGTTGCTGTATGGCAGTATAATTCCTGCATGAAAATGTTCCAATTCAGCGATGCCTGCTAGTACTCTAAGATTTTGAGAGTATGAGGGTTACTTCGGGAATTACAATTATTTTCTGTAGCTTGAGCACGCAACGAGAGAAAATAATTGAGAAATTTACAAAAAACAATATTTTAAAAAACAAAAAGAATTAAAAAAGCGATAAATGCAAGGATGTTACAAAATGTATGGGTTTCGTCACAAAGATATTTTGAAAGAGGAACATTTTGATAACTTGTCCGAAATTAGATATAACTCTGTAATACCTGTCAAAATTTCTTCAAATGCTTAGTTACAGTAATTTAAAGTGCGGTTATTGATATTTATTAATATTATCCATTAAACCTATGCTGCTATATATATATATATATATATAAAGCATGTACAAATATGTATACAAAAATGTTATATTATGAGAAAAAGAGATCAATCTATTCTTCGTCAGCTTCTTCAGCTTCACCTTCTTCAGATGGCTTACCAGCGTGCTTTCTAGCAACTCTACCTGGTCTAGCACCACCAAATGGAGAGGTTGGAGCGAAGTCAATGTGCTTCTCAGAGTCTAATCTGACCATGAAGGAGGCAACGTTAACAATTTGCTTACCAACAGCAATGTGTCTTTGAGAAATCAAGACTCTAGCGTGGTGAACAGACTTGGCTAGACCAAGCTTGTAAACTTGGGTTTGTAGTCTTCTTTCCAAGAAATCTTCGACCTTTAGAGCCAAGACGTAATCCAGCTTCTTCTTATCTTCAGATAAAACACCGATTCTGACTAGTCTTCTGATCAAAGCATTACCTTCGAATAATCTCTTTGGGTCCTTTTCGTCTCTGGTCAATAGATCTCTAGCAGCACGACGGATTTTAGATAATTGGAAAGAAATTCTGTAGATCTCTCTCTTGTTCTTTAGACCGAATTCACCAGCTAGCTTCATTTCGGCATCTAGACGAGATGATTCATAAGGTCTCTTTGGAGTAGAGTAGGTCTTAGAGTAAGTTCTTGGGGCTCCTATATAAATTTAAAAATATTGTTAGTTAATGGTTGAAATAGAATTAAGAGGATCAAGAGGTCATTCCAAAAAAAGAATAAAAATAAATTGATAAGGATAAAATAAGATAATAGATTGATATACGTTTTATGAGCAATATATTTCAATTACATGCACCATGACACGCTACCATTTAAAAATTACTTTACATCATGTCATAATTCATTACTTAACTAATTAAAATTATTAGAAAATTTGTATTATGCATAATATTCTTAGGAATAGCTAGACTATCCTAATGTATAATAACATAAAACAATTCAATCTATTAATTAAAATATGTCAAGGATATATATTTATTAGAACTACTTTACCTGAAGTGTCGGGATTCAGTGCAAAGTTTAAAATGCTCTAATAAAATTATACCAGATATTTGACGGATGTGTTTCATTTTTTATTCATCTATATTTCATAACTTTCAATTTAAATAACTATTTTTGGAGGACCCGATCCTCTACAGAACATTGATTAGAATTACAATAACAATGATAACTAAATAAATAAATAATTATTACCTTTTAGTCATTATAAAACTTCCCAATAAATTCTGCATTCACAATTAAATGTGACACTTACTTGGCATTGTGTATTATTATTTGGTTAGTTGTTGATTTGTTTTATATTGGAATATTTAAGTAAATAATGTAAAATTGAATTTTATACTGTTTCTTAAATATCAAAAATATTAGATATTGAAAAAGTGAACAATTATTAATTACAGAAGTGCATTAGGTCCTTCGAAACAGAATGTTACTAGAACAGAAGACGGAAGAAATATTGTTCTGCTTTACGTTTAAAAAAATTCTTCCAACTATATTGCGCTTTCCATTATTTTTCGCACCAGAGAGACAATTTGATTACTGTGGTGTTTAGATGTGAGTACAATATGTATGGGTGTTATAAAGTCATATCGTTACACAACTAAATTTTCTAGGACGCTTACTATACTCATTATAGGTGAATGATAAATATATATATACATAAGCATTCAATCAAAATGATTAAAATACGATATCATCAAGAAAGCTATTAATGGTTGAATTTTTAACACTTTCCCTGTTTTTCACTGGTTTTATAAAATTCTAAAATTATTAACTTTTAGAATCGATGTAAGATTTAGTCATCGCGGGCTTATATCAACAAGATAATGACAATCTATAAAAATAGGATTAAATATTAAGAGAATATATTTACAATGCGAGGTGGCATAACATAAGCGCATACATAGAAGTAAAACTCATTGAATAGTGGAAATAACACAGAAATTATTGCGACTAGTACATCGTAAACTTATTTTAATTTTATGACAGTTCCATCTTACTTCTCAATAAGACAGAACTACGAATCATAATATCTTTAGGGACATATCGTTATCGGTATAAGAAATATTAATACCACCACTGTAGAAAGAAGCAATTGTAAATATACACACAACTCCAAAACCATTGAATAAAATTCAAGTATTGAAAATTACTGATATATAAACAAATGATTAAGATTATGCATCAATAAACGTTCAAGCAACAAACTACCAAATAATATTTGCCCTATTTTTCTTATTTTTCTTGCCCTGTTATAATATCATATAGTTTGTTTATTGATCGCCAATTAGCTTGGCTTATTTCTGAGTATCCCTGCGAAACACAATGTAGCGATGGTCAATCCCTCCCAAGAAAGAACGAAAAAAATTTTACTTTTTTATGAAAAAAACAAAAAATGAATGCTTTGTTTATAACGAGCGTTGCAGGGAAGCGGATATTATAATATATTCTTATATATATATAGGTTATCTATTTCGCTTTTTTAAATCTTTGAAGTAGGAGAATGCGAAGAGACGGAAGCGAAAGGAGCCAAAAAAACAAAAAAAAGGTTATTTCTCATTCTAGTTAGTTTCAATTAAAGGGGATACAGAATTTGGAGATTAACCGCCGAGCATAAAGAGAGAAAAAATATAACACCATATTTTTATCTATATTATAAAAGAGCAAACAAGTAAAAAACTATTGACCAGTTTATCAACAATACACAGCTATTTATTAGTGTTAAGATCAAATCAAATTAAACGTCAGTTTTACTATCAATATTTTGCTATCTTTTACAATTATTAAGCTTTTTGTCGTGTTATAGTTTGCTAATAATTAAATATCATAAACAAAGAATATGACTTCTAAAGTATCGCGTTTGGATAGACAAGTTATCCTGTTAGAGACAGGTTCTACTCAAGTAGTAAGAAATATGGCTGCTGATCAGTTAGGTGATCTAGCTAAACAACATCCCGAAGATATATTGTCTCTACTATCAAGAGTTTATCCATTCCTATTAGTTAAAAAATGGGAAACAAGAGTTACTGCTGCTAGGGCTGTTGGTGCAATTGTGTCATATGCTAAAGTATGGGATCCAAATGATGATGATGATGAATATCATCCTGAAAATAATAATGAAACAGTAGAAAATAATGATATTCCAATTAAAACCGAAAATGAAGATGAAAATGAACCAACAATAGAGAACGCCAAAATCAAATTCGAAGATGATATAAAACTTCGAATTGAAGAATTCAAAGAAGAAAATACTTACGATTTGTTAGAAGAAAATAGAAACTATTATGATTTAAATGAATGGAATATAGCGCAACTCTTTAAGACTGGGAAATTGTTATTATCAAAAAGTGTAAATGAATATAATGATTCCTTTAAAAATGGATCGCCAGATATGTATGATAATTCCAATTCAACAAATGAACCAGTAAAGGAAGAAATAACTAGTGGAACACAGAATAAAAAATCAGCACGTATGTTAGCGATGGCTAAACGTAGAAGAAAGATAAAGGCGAAAGGTAATGGGAGTACAAAGCAAGTGGATATAACACAAAGCTCTGTGTCAAGAAATATTACAAATAAAAAGGATATCAAGAGTGAAGTTTCAAAGGCCTCAACTTTGCAAAACCCAAAATTAGAAATTACAGAGCAAACAGATAAGAGTAAATTAATGATAGAATCTGTATCTGCTCCTATTTTGGAACAACATGAAAAAGTTGCAGGTATCGTCTGGCAATTCCAAGGGATATTCGAACTACTTATAGATAATATTTTTAATGATTCATGGGAAATTAGGCATGGTGCAGCCCTAGGTTTAAGAGAATTGATGAAGAAGCATGCATACGGTGTAAATAGATTAAAAAGTGAAACCAGAGAGGTTAATGATAAGCGTAATAAGAAAAGTTTAGAAGATTTAGCCACAAGGTTATTGACTATATTTGCTCTTGATAGATTTGGTGATTTCGTCAATGACACTGTAGTTGCACCTGTCAGAGAATCAGTATCTCAAACTTTAGCTGCATTATTAATTCATTTAGATGACCATTTATCATATGAAATTTTCCTGAAATTGGAACAATTAGCATTGCAGGATCCTGTAGTTACAGGGTGTCCTAATAGAGTGTGGGAAGCTACACATGGTGGTTTGTTGGGGATACGATATTTCGTAAGCATTAAAACAGATTTCCTAACCTCTCATAACCTATTGGATAGTGTGGTTAATGTTGTCCTATATGGTTTGCGACAATCTGATGATGATGTCAAGAGTGTGGCTGCTTCTATACTGGTACCAATTACAGACCAATTCGTTACTTTACAAAATGATAAAATTGAAATTTTATTAACTACCATGTGGACATCTTTATCCGAGCTTGATGATGATTTATCATCAAGTGTTGGTTCTGTTATGAATTTATTAGCAAAACTATGTCAATTTAAAGAAGTCTTGGACGTTCTAAAAACTAAAGCTGTTATGTTACCAGCTGAATGGGCCTTCAAGTCATTAGTCCCAAAACTATATCCATTTTTGCGTCATTCTATTACTTCGGTAAGGAAAGCTGTCCTGAATTTGTTGAAAGCATTTTTATCTATAGAAGATGATTCTACAAAGGGATGGATAAACAGTAAAGTATTCAGACTAATTTTCCAAAATATACTATTAGAACAAAATAGAGAAATCCTTGATTTATCATTTGAAGTATATACCTCATTATTGGCACAATATAAATCAAAACACACTGAAAAATCATTGGACCATGTCTTCAGTAAACATTTACAGCCAATTTTACACCTACTAAACACTCCAATTGGTTTGAACGGTAAAAATTATAGTATGGAAGGACAATTTATTTTGAAACCGTCACAACACTATCAAATTCACTCTCAGAAAAAAAGATCCATTTCGGAAGCAAGTTCGAATTCGGACATTCCAGTTCCAAAAACATCAGAACATGTGAACATAGATGCCCCAATGATTGCGGGTGATATCACACTATTAGGTTCTGATGTCATTATTAATACCAGAGTTATGGCAGCACGTGCATTCGGTTTAACTTTAGCAATGTTCCAGGATTCAACTCTATCGTCATTCTTTTCAAATGTTTTAGTTCGTTGTTACGATTTACCTTACGCAACACCTAGAATGTTGGCAGGTGTCATTCTTACAGAATTTTGCGGTGCATGGTTGAAAAATAATCGAGGGAGGACTGGATTACCACCATTTGTTAATGAAATATTTGGTGAAAAGATAAATTCACAATTATCTGACCCGTCATCATTACCTGTTTTTAGAGAATTGGTTCCAAGCTTAAAAGCGTTACGTATGCAATGCCAAACTTTATTAACAACATTCGTTGACGTCGGTATGTTACCCCAACATAAATTACCTAGAATCGCTATTGTCGTTCAAGGTGAGACGGAGGCCGGACCACAAGCATTTACTATTGAAACTGCTGAAAAGGTTTACAACGAATATTACCCAAAACTATTTAAAGCAATGAGTAATTCATATAAAGTTTTAGGAAAGAAGCCTTTGGAAGATGCGAGATATCGTGTTCAGCTAGCAATCAATTCAACTAATGAGTTAACAAAAGCTAGGTCTAATTGGGTTTTATGTAATGCCGCATCCTCGATTTTGTTAATGAACGGAATTCCATCTAAATTAAATCCAATTATAAGATCACTAATGGATAGTGTAAAAGAAGAAAATAATGAAATGCTTCAGCAGATGGCCGGTAATTCTGTGATTCACCTCCTTCGTGAATTAATCAGGTGCAATAAGAGTAATGTTGCTAACAAGATTGTTAAAAATCTTTGTGGTTTCTTGTGTGTTGATACTTCAGAGGTTCCAGATTTTGTTGCCAATCAAAAATATTCTTCTGAAATATTAACTCTAATAAAAGAAGATAATTCCATCACTGATCAAGAAGATATTGAATTGAAAAAAGTTGCAGATGATGCGAAGTTGAAACGTAAGGGTGGTTTATACACATTAGGGAAACTATTGTCTGTCTTTGATAAAGAAGAATTGTCTAAAATTCCAAAGTTCAGGGATCTCTTATTTGAACCTCTGGATAAATCATATTCAAATGATGAATTAAAGAGTAATGGCTCCTCTATTGGTCAATCTATTGTTGATGCCATGGGAATATTACGTGTTCTATTCCCATACATGGATTCAGAGTTACGTGACAGTGATGTCGTCCAGAGATTAAAGAATCTTCAAGGATTTTTGTCATCAGAATATTCCGTTTTCCGTTATTCAGCAGCTAGAACATTTGCTGATATTGCGAAGATATATCCTGTCCAAGTAATGACATTTATTATTCGTGATATATTGCCGATGATGAACAATGCCGGTTCTATTGTTGAACGCCAAGGTGCATCGGAATTAATATATCATTTATCCGTATCTATGAGAACAGAAATTCTTCCGTACGTGATCTTCCTAATTGTTCCATTGTTAGGCAGAATGAGTGATTCTAATCATGATATAAGAAGTATAACTACTACTACGTTTGCTTCAATTATTAAACTCGTTCCTTTAGAAGAAGGTATTTCCGATCCGGAGGGGCTTCCGGAAGATTTAATGGCTGGTCGTGAAAAAGAAAGAGATTTTATTCAACAAATGATGGATCCGTCAAAGGCGAAACCATTCAAACTTCCGGTAGCCATTAAAGCAACTCTTAGAAAATACCAACAGGATGGTGTAAATTGGCTCGCATTTCTAAACCATTATAATCTGCATGGTATACTATGTGATGATATGGGTCTTGGAAAGACATTACAAACGATTTGTATTATTGCTAGTGATCAATACTTAAGACAGGAGGATTACAAGGAAACTCAATCGGTTACCACAAGACCATTGCCATCCCTTATTGTTTGTCCACCATCTCTAACAGGTCATTGGGAAAATGAATTCAAACAATATTCTCCATTTATGAAAGTTTTGGTATATGCAGGTGGTCCATCGCAACGTTATCCATTAAGGGACCAATTAGGTAGTGGTGACGTAATCGTTACTTCATATGATGTTGCAAGAAATGATTTAGAATATTTAATGAAGTTCGACTATAATTATTGTGTCTTGGATGAAGGCCATATAATCAAGAACTCTCAATCCAAATTAGCAAAAGCAGTGAAACAGCTAAGAGCCAATCATCGTTTGATTTTAACAGGTACACCTATTCAAAATAATGTTGTGGAATTGTGGTCATTATTTGATTTTCTAATGCCCGGGTTTTTGGGTACCGAAAAAATGTTCCAGGATCGGTTTGCCAAGCCAATTGCTGCTTCCAGAAACAGTAAAACATCTTCTAAAGAGCAGGAAGCTGGTGTTTTAGCATTAGAAGCCTTGCATAAGCAAGTCTTGCCTTTTATGCTTAGAAGATTGAAGGAAGATGTGTTATCAGATTTACCACCAAAGATTATTCAAGATTATTATTGTGAATTAAGTGATCTACAAAAGCAACTTTACCAGGATTTCGCTAAGAAGCAGAAAACTGTCGTTCAAAAGGATATTCAAAATACTGCTGAAGTGGATAACAAACAGCATATATTTCAGGCTCTTCAATATATGAGAAAATTGTGTAATCATCCTGCCTTAGTTTTATCTCCTGAGCATCCACAACTGCAACAGGTTCAACAATATCTAAAACAGGCACATTTGGATTTGCATGATATAATTAACGCTCCAAAATTAACAGCATTAAGGACACTTTTATTGGAGTGTGGGATTGGAGAGCAGGAGGTTGATAAAGGATCTGGTAATCAGCTTTTGACAACAAATGTGATATCTCAACACCGTGCATTGATTTTTTGTCAATTGAAAGATATGTTAGATATGGTAGAAAATGATCTATTCAAGAAATGCATGCCATCTGTGACATATATGAGACTTGATGGTACTGTTGACCCTCGTGATAGGCAAGGTGTGGTTAAGAAATTTAATGAAGACCCTTCTATTGATTGTTTACTTCTAACAACAAAAGTAGGTGGCTTGGGTTTGAATTTAACAGGTGCTGATACTGTTATTTTTGTAGAACATGACTGGAATCCAATGAATGACTTGCAAGCTATGGATCGTGCCCACCGTCTGGGTCAAAAAAAGGTTGTTAACGTCTATAGAATTATTACCAAGGGCACACTTGAGGAAAAGATTATGGGTCTACAAAAATTTAAAATGAACATTGCATCAACTGTTGTTAACCAACAAAATAGTGGGTTAGCCTCAATGGATACTCATCAATTGTTGGACTTGTTTGATACATCAAATGTGCCTTCACAAGATGACGAAGAAGCAAAACAAAATCAAGCTGATATGGACGACATGGCCAATGAAACTGGTTTAACCGGTAAGGCCAAGGAGGCCGTCGGTGAATTAAAGGAGCTATGGGATAGTTCTCAATATGATGAAGAATATAATCTGGACAATTTTATTAAAACATTACGTTAAATATTGGTGCTGTGATTGTCTGTCACATTTCTAAAATTACCCAGAATCGATCAGGTTCTTGGTATTACATACTTTATTAGATGTAATTAATTTTGCAAAAAGCATATAAATATTTAACATTGCATATAAGTTATAAAAAAAATATTAACTTCCTGAAGAATTAAAGGTTGATGTATTTGGTAGTTTAATTCTTTTCTTGGTATTTGTTAATAGTATCCGCAAGAGCAATAAGGAAAGAGTCAATATTAACTGGTAAATCTTGGAAATACTCAGATAAACATATCAGAGGCACTTTTCTTAAAGCACGGCCACTAAGATCTAAGGCCTTTTAAAAAACTCAATTGTTAGTTAGTACGACATAAAATCGAAAGCAATAAAAGATGATACAGTTTGATACATACTAAACAATGTTTGGCAATTGTACGAATTACATTTTTGTACTTACAATTCTCAAGGAGTTTCCCCTTTCTATAAGTCGGTATTAAAATATTACAGTACATTAAGTTTTCTAAGGAAGATATCAAAATATTTTCAAGAGCTTCCAATGATGGTTTTGTGACATGAAATATCCTGTCTGCCCTATCAATAAATGCGCAATCCAGAGTATCAATATAATTGGATGTAGTCAGCACAATAAAGTTATCGTGTTTTTTTAATTTGTCCAAATTGGTGAGTAAACTATTTACAACTCTGACACTTTCATTTGACTCATTGTTATTTATTGCTTTTGTTCTGCAACTGGCTATCGTTTCCACCTCATCGATTAATAAACATACAAATCCTGTATCATTTCCCCTTGATTGTAACAAAAGTTCAATATCATTGAATACGCAACTGATATTTTTTGATGATTCTCCAAACCAGCGGGAAAAGATCCTCGAGCATGAAAGTTCTACAAGGATAGAATGAGATCTCTCGTTGAGATTGAGACTTTTTCTATTGTACTTTTGTCTAATGGAGAGTTTTTGACAAACGGCCCTGCAAAGTGATGTCTTACCGGTTCCAGGAGGACCATGTAATAATAATAGACCATTGTTGTTGAGGATTTGTTCGTTGGATTTTCTTTGTTGTTCTGTATCACCCCTTTGCTGTGAAATCTTAAGTGACAAAACTGCAGAATTAAATATGGCTTGTTTTAGAGTACTGTTATAAAATAGACTTTCCCAGAGTCCTTCTAATTGGGGTGACGGTAAAGTGGTAATAGAAACAAGATTTAACGTTTCTTGAGAAAACTGAAAATTAGGAAGGATTTCTTTAAATAATGGAATCTTTTTATTGGTTTCATCGATTAGGGTTCTATCGGACACATTGTCGCTGAGATCAATTTTGTCAAATTCTTCCACTAGTGCCTCTTTAGAAGAATTATTCCCCTCAACTTTGAAATGGTAAAAATACAACTCTAATTTGTAGAGACTGAATGAGTCGTTTTTCTTTATGGTTTCTTGAACATTAGTTTTCTGAAATATTTTATTAACAATTTCATCTAAAGACCCGTGAGACATATTCAACAAGTCCGAGGCCTTGGCATTGTATGGTTCAACGAATATATTTTCGATGAATAACGACAGTATTAGATTATCATGACCATTGTCAGTATGGTTATTTTTGGCCACGGAGACAAATTGTGAAAATAATACTTTAAGCAAACTGTCTACCAATTTTTCTTGTGCTTTACTTGGTGGGTTGTTAATTCTGATACTCCCACTCCCTTCGTGAAATAAATCATCGGATGATAATTGAAATCCAGTAGACGACGATTCGTGAATTTTTGATTCCAATTTTCTTAGTATTGCTGGCTCAATGATTTTAAATAAAACGGTAAATAAGTTAGAGTTTTGTGTATTGCTAACTATAGATGAATCGTTTAGTAAATTCGTCAACAGATTTACTTGCGAGTCGAAAATACGTTCCACTAACTCTAAGATATGTAAATTCAATTCAATATCAACAGTATACGACATATTAATGTGCGAGAATAATCCTTGTCACTTTAGGATAAAGCTTGTACTTCAAATATATGATAAAGTACTCATGGGCTTTTATATTCCGGGAGTATATTTAGCCGCTAACATTTTCTGAATTGTTGGGGAATTGATCCAAGAAGCCCGATCATAAATAAAAAAATATATAATGAAAGACCAAAACAAGCAATTAGAAATGGATCGGCTTAAAGAGATTCAAAAGCCTCTGTGATACATTTTGACTTGATTCTTGTTGTGTTTGTGTTCTCTATTTGGTCACGAGGGCCCATGATTTGAACTTTCAGAGGTATATTAATGTAATATTTACTTGACTACATCCCACCACGTACCTATGGTTTCTTACTTACGACACCTATCGTGTGAAAAATCTTGAAAATTTATATATATTATTATAAATTATTTAAGGTTCTTAAGTTTAATTTTTGTATTAACAAACTAATGAAATTATTATACAGTATTTTCTACAAATTTTACATTGCATTAACGTAGCCTCTGTTAGTCTTCTTCTTTCTCTTCCCACCACGATTTACAGATGCAGATACTTTTAGTAGATCGTCAAGATCATTTGCCTTTTTACCTGCCAAGCTCTCAATATTTGAATCAGTGGAAAACCTATTAGCAGAATTGGCAACTGGGGATGCAGTATCAGTATTTTCAGAAGAAGATGTTGGCATAGTCATTGGTTTACCTGTCAATTGATCTATAGGTAATACTGGTGAAAATGCATTAGGTGGTGCAGTATTATGGTTATTATTTGCGCGAGGGGATGACGTTGGTCCGGTATCCTTACGCTTAATGATTGGTGGTGGTGGACCTGGTTTTGTGGCTGCTATCATTTCTTTCTTCTGTTCTTCCGATGCATTTTTATCAACCCAACGTTTCAGTTCAGTGTCGTAGTAGAAACTATTCTGGTTACCCATTTTAGCCTTGATAGCTTTTTTCTCCCCGTTATCGTTCGACTTAAAAAAACGCCAAATACTTGGATTCTGTTTTGTGCTATCAGTAGCTTTGTTTTTCTTTATTACTTCTTTCTGATTGCCATTACTTTTCTTGTTGGTGTATTCTTCTTCGTCCGACTCAGATTCATCCTCTATGACATCATTATATTCAGTATTGACTGTTTGGGGGGTATAAGTATTGAAATTACTTCCTGTGTTCTTTTTTATTACAGGTTCGAAAGTCTCCGTTGATACTTCATCGGCTTCCCTTATGGGTCCAAACTTATCATTAGAAAATGACTTTTTTGGAACGTTAAAATTGTTCTCAGAAGGGCTCACCATATCTGCAGAAGCTGGTGGCATGAATGGTTGAAAACTATTATTTTCCTCTTGAAGCATATTATTCTCCGAATTAGAATATGAAGCAGTGTAGCTATTATAGGCGAACATGTCATTTCCACCAGTTGGTTCTAAAAGTTGTTCCAGGTTGGAATTTGGATTAGAAGTAGCATTCTTTGGTAGATACGAATTGCTTTTCGCCTTTGGCTTGGGTTTATAATTGATTGGGGCATAGGCATTTTGCTTCTTCGTTAGGCTTACTTTTGGTGGTACTATTTTATTAGGTGGCTTCGAACTGTTCACGATTTTTTCTGTTGTCTCCACAGATGAATCTTCAGTAGAATCATGGTTTTTATCTTGGAGTGGGTTATGTTTTAAGTCCCTAGCTGGTCCTTCGTCAATAATATTATTTCCTATAAGATTTATTTGAGCCGGAGGTTCTGGAGCTGTTTCTAATTTCCCATCCGAAGTAAATTCCAGTAAATGATCGGCCTTCTGTTCGTCATTCTCCGCCATAACAGAATCTATTTGATGTGGTTTATCGTCTAACTCTACCGATTCGACATTTTGATCATTGGAAATAACTAGTGGTGGAATGATTGCTTGGGTTTCTAAGTTTTCGTTTTTAGAATATCTACTTCTTTCGTGTACAGTACCGTCAGAATACTTGGTATCTGGTAAATTTTCTGGAACATTAGCATTTGTAATAGGATCTAGGTTATTCTCCAAATTAACGTCATTTTCGATAATTTCCTCTTCTTCTTCAGTAGGTATATCTTGCTCTATAGGTTGTTTAATGACTTCATTATTTACTAATTCAGTCTCTTGGTTAATTTCACTTGCGTGATCGATACTGTTAGTATCATGTTCAAGTGGAGTAACTTGAACATATTCTTCAGTAATTGCATTTTGAGCATTGACTGGATTCTCTTGACACATGTTCGCATTTGAATCGTTATTAGATATGATACTTTCAGTTGGGACATTTATCGATTCTTCAGGCAATTCAGATTTCGGTGGATGTTGCATCGTTGTTGTTGTTGTTGCTGTCATGGTTGATGTGTCTGATTCTGGAGTTTTACTCACTGCTGGTTTCGAAGATATTGGGACTGAAGGTACATTTTCAATTAACGTATTATTTGATGGTGTAGTTTGCAAGGAATTTAATTGGTCTATTGATGGTACAATATTGTGAGGTCTACGATGGGGAGAGCTTTTTCCCTTATCAGCTCTAGCTTTTGGAGGTGGATGAACGTCTATAGCAAGGGAAACATTGGATGACCTTCTTGGAGGTCCAGTATGGGGTTTAGGAGCGCCGACATTTCTATTTAAAGATTGTGGTGGTCCAATATTCGAAATATCATTTGCCAACACTGACATTGGTTTCGAAGTTTCCATTTTCAATTGATCATGTGTGACAGATCTCTGCAATATTAAACTATTGGTATCGCCTCTAATAAGAGGCGGAGGAGTAGCCTTATTTGTTTCAAATATCTCACTGTGTACTCTAGGTAATGGATTGTGCGGAATTCGAGCAAGTCCGCTCCCATCTTTAGTATATGTCCTACCAGGTGACCCTTGTAAACTTTCGCCAATTCTTAAAGGAGTTTCATAATGGGCCTGCTCGCCGAATGTATGATGAGAAGCCTTCTTCAAATGTTCCATTGATAGGACATTTCCCGGTGTCATAGAATGGTGAGCAACTTGCCCAGATGGTCTGTAATTTGCTTGAGGTTGGTATTGGTTAATATTTGTTTGGTCCAAATCTACAACAGAGGAGTGATTGGATGTATAAGGTGTATAAGTACCAAAAACGTCCTTTTCGGGAGTTTGGTTTGGCTTTTTTTCGACATCACCACCAATGTACTTGCTAAAAGATTTGTCTAATTGACCCCAAACACTACTCAACTTTGGTTTGCCCAACCAACCAGTACTTGAATTGTTAATCCTAGCAGTCAATATGTTTGAACTGTTCATCAAAATGGCTGCGTATGCGTCTTTTCTTGGAAATAACTTGATTTTTGAAGCAACAATCTCATTATATTTAGTAGCTTGTGACGATAAGTTTTGTTCCTCTAATGCAAATCCATAAGTCAATTTCTGGGCTAAAAGTGTTGGGAACCCCTTTAGGGCTGGTTCTTCTAAAGTTTTGATATATTCGTAGATTTCCGACCATATCAAACTTTCTGTTGTAGTAGGTTGACCAATGCATTTGAAATACACATCAGAATCGCCCATTACTGATGCAAATGAAAGTGGTATACGAGCAATGACAAATAATAGGTTAGCTTCCAGGATCAGACCTTGTTTATATAGGAAGATACCAAACTCAACCAAAAATTCTAGAATCATTGGTGGAACTTGACCTGATTTTAATGTTATACTTCCGGTAACAGATTTAGTGTTTGCTAAAATAACGGAAACAATATATCTCCAATTTTGAACAGCCCAATTAATATGTTCTTGGTTATTGTAAAAATTAGCAATGGCAATTTTAGAATTACCGATGAAAACTTGGAAAAGAAGAGAAAGTACGTTAATATTAGGATCAGAATAACTTGAAATCCCCATTCTGAGGTAAGAATCCACAACAGATGACCATCTTTCCTTACCCGCCAAACTTCCTACCAGCAAGGCCATCGTAAAATCTTGGCCCTCTAACGCAATGTTTAAAGCATCTTCATAATTACCAATCTGAAGCAGGGCTAAGACTCTAATCTGCGTGTTAGGTTCTAGACGACTAGCATTTGCAACAGGTTTCGGTTGAGAAAATGGTTGTGTTAGATACAACTTCATTGATGTTGTGTCGCATAACATGTTTGCGATAGATACAAGATCATCAATTCCACTTACATAGCACCTCAGAATATACCATATTAATGATGTAGTATCTGTAGAGTCTTGAGGTATAGTACTGACTATGGAATTTAACCATTTCTCCAGTTCCAACTTTTTTGTCTTAGTTGACAATGGGCCAATATATGTTTTCATCATATCAGAAGTGTTCAATAACGCATCATAATTCACAACATTAATTGTATTTAACGAAAATCCTGTCCCAGAGTACATAGAATTCGCAGTAGGTATACCATATACGACTCGATTAGATTTTCCCCAACTAAATAATGGAAATTGACGTCTTAAAAGATTTTGGTTGTTAATTAAGTCTGTTTGAGTTGATTCCGCTTGTAAATATGGTTGCTGGACCGAGATTTGAGGTTGTGTATTAATACCCAAGCCTCTTGCATTTCCATTTTGAGTTATCTGAGGTGCATAATTATTGCTGTGCCTTAATTGAGGTTCGTGGTTCTTAAGCATTTGCTGGTTGATTGTAATATTCTGTCTAGCTGGCGGATAATATTGATGTTGTCCGTTCAAAGTATTATTTGGTTGTTGTACTCCTTGGTATACAGTACTTGCATTTAAGATATTTGTTCCCTGGTTTGTCATTGTTTGTGGTAATAATGGCTGCTGAGTGCCATTCGTTTGGTTATTACCATTCAGATGATAGTTGGCTTGACTGTTCATTGTAGGTGTGTTATTTAATAAAACTGGGCCTGGAACATAGCCATTTGGAGCTTGAGTATAACTACGTTGTTGACTTGGAATTTGTTGTTGTACATTTCCGATAGGTGCATATTTGTTCTTTTTTAGAGGAGTAGTTGTCGTCCCCGTCATATTTCCACTTTGAGGTGACAGTGGTGACACATATGTAGCAGCTGTAGAATGCACACCAAGCCCCCCTCCGTTGGATAGATTACTTGCTGCCCTTTGTCTTGAATATGGCATTCCTGGTTGAGGGACATCAACCATCGGAGGAGGCTGGAACTGAGGCATGTTAACGCCACTAGATACTCTGCTTCTCGTTTGAGGTTGGCCCGTAGTTGGTGTTGATGTTTGAACATATGATTGCGAATTTCCTTTGGTATGGATCATTGGAGGTGGAGGTGGAGCGGCACTAGTTTGCAATGGACTATATGGGGCACTCATTTTCCTGGAAGAGTTACGGTTTATATCCATCGATGGGATCGATCCATATCTCATGGATGGTGTAACGACAGCCTTTGCATGTACTGGTTTGGGATTAGAGCCCAGTAAGTCGCTTGGGAAATCATAAGCGTCAGATTTTTGCTTTGCCTTGTTAAGAGTTTCGACAGCCTTTTGAGTTGTAATTGAGGGTTGCAACTGTGTTGACATCAGTTGAGAGTCAATCTGAGGGGATTGTATAGTGTTATTAAATATCATAGGAGGGGGTTGTACGATTCCCGATCTTTCCATTGGAGTTTCTATAGATTGGATATTGTTCGATGTGACTTGTGGGGCATATTTTGATACTATCGGACTTTGATTGGTGTTAGTTCCAGTATTTGGATTCAATGGTTGACTTTCTTGTATTGGATTTACTGGTTCCAAATCAGTTCGAAGTTCCTCATCTGAATCTAAAAAGCTGTCATCATCCTCTAATAGATCTTCTTCATCATCCATAAACGAAAAATTATTTTTTCTAGTGTCTACAATACTGTCTTTGGTTTCAACGGCACCTGTATTTTGCGGATCAGTATTGATTTGTTGTACATCTTTTATTATACCTGCATCGATAATGCCTTGGTTTCCTGTGTCTGGTTGGTCCAAATTAGGAATAGAAGTCCTTTGTTGCAGTTCTGTCACAGGAGCAACAACATTATGTACTGCATCTAAATTAGTCTCAGTTTCTACTTCCCATGGCAATAATTCATCATCTTGTTCAGTATGAGCTGTAAATGGGGAATTCGAGTTATTTGTAGTTTGCGCATTATTTTCTATTTTTATATTATCTTGTACAATAGGCTGAATGTGTGTATCTTCATGTTTAGTAAACAGTTCGCTGTGGATTGTTGCCGGTTGTTCGGTTGGTTCATAAATTTCGTCTGCATTACTTGCATGTTCAACGTCATTATTATATTGTTCCTGATTTTCTAGTACTACTGGTTCTCTTGTCTCTTGTTCCCAAGGCATAGTCTCTATCTCAACATCATTATCGTGATTAAATAATGATTCACCTTGTTCATTATTTGAATACATTGGTATATCTTTGGTGTTTTCATGAGTTTCGTATTGTATACCGTTTTGACTATTGTTATTGTAAGACATCTCAGAGTGAACGACGGTATCGTCATAGTCTTTATTAATTGATGAACGTTCGCCTAAAAATGAATCTTCTTCGTTCTCGATGTTCTCGATGTTCTTATATTCTTCTATATGAGACTCTTGCGAAATAGAGTTTCCCAGTTCTAATTGATGTCCACTATCACTATTGAGATCATTGTTTGGAAACTTCGAAACTAATACGCTATTATTGAGAAGGTTCATTTCAGATACATCAGATACGGGAACTTGTGCACCCTGTTGGATTTCACTTACAGAAGTATCATGTTCCATATGAAATTCGTTTTCCAAATTGGATATTTGAGTATCAGCATCTGTCTTCGGTAGTTCCATAATTTGTTCTGTGGTGGAATAATCAATTTGTTGAGGAATTTCTACGTCTTCAGTTGCTACTACCTCGTTATTTGCTGGTTGTTCATTATCATGCTGAGATGTTTCACTTGATAGTACTGATTGTTCTTGGATTTGTTCAAGTTCTTCATTTTGAATAGAAGGATTCCACACAGCGGGTTCATTTACAGTTTGTTTTGGTATAAATTCAGGTTCATCTATAATATCTTGAGGGATTGTTACTTCCACAATTTGACCTAATTCATGGGCTTCAACTTCTTCGATAGGCTGTTGATTTTCTTCTTCCTCATGTACCTGGTTTGATCCATCAATGGCTTCATTCTGTTCAGACAGTTTGATTTCAACTTCAGGATCTATAACATTATTTTCATGTTCGACGGCCGAAGGAAAGTCAGCGTGTTGTTGTGGAAGAGGTTGTTGTTGAGTTTCATGGACGATATCATCTGTAGTAGCAGTTGTTGTAGAACTTGAACCAGTAATAATAGTACTAGTTTCTGGAGTACTTGAAATCATTGAATTATTGGTGGTAAGAACTGTTGTAGTTTCTACATCTGTTGAATCAGATATTTCAGCTCCTGGAACGTTATTTTCACCATTTTGCTGAACAGATTTATTTCCAGCCTTCTTCAACTTTTGTCTAGCCTTCTTCTTCTTGTTTTTCTTTCTTTGTGCTTCAGTAACCATTGTTTCTTATAATACTTGAAAAAAAAGAGTATAAAGTCAGTGTCAATGCCTATGTCTATCGATTGATCTAAAGGAGAACGAAACTAAAAATGAAAAGGGGAAAGAAAGACACCAAAGAAAACAATTATTAAACAATTATAGATTGCTTAAAGTTAAGGTGTAAGTAGATGTAATGATAGGTATCTACCTATGTATGTATATAACTATATGTGTTTCTGGGTTTTTTTAATAAATTTAAGTATGTGTAAATGTATGTTTTTATGTACCTGTCCTTTATATTTCTTTGTTATACTGAAGGCGTACTTTCATCTCGCTCTCTCGCTCTCTTTTTACGATTCACCGTTTGGTGGTTAACGACAGTAATATTTTAGGAAACGGATCATATACAGTGAACAACAATCACTATATTCAGTTTCTTACGCACTACGCTATGTATAATAGCATAATAAATGGAACTGTCTGTATAGATATAGGTCTTTATGTTTGATATGTCGGAGATAGAAATCGCAGTGATTAAAGTTACTTAAATTGGGTAGTTATGTAAGGCATATAATATTGCAAGTTACATAGACATTCTCTGGAAATCAATTTTTGCAGTAGAAACTGACTGACACCAAGGTGCTGGACATGACCGTTTGTAGTCTTGTTTATATATTGGAACGATATGTTCATCACAAACTTTACTCAACCATTCATTATTGAGAGTAATGGATTATGTAACTAAGAAAATGCTGTACAGATAGAATTTAGCCCTTCAATTGTAATATGAGGCGATGAGAATCTGTGAAAAAATTTGAAAAATTGAAAAATTTCAATTAATGGACTAAATTAGAGTGAGGGAGAAGTAGAGAAGCCCATTGCAAAATATTGAATCTTTTTAGTATATTAATTAATAAGCACCACTAATTTAATATTAAAATATCGTTTTATTTAGTAAGGCTATTTCATAATAGTAATAGTTACAGTTGCTTTGATTTGATTTGAAAAGGGAAATAGAAAGCAATACATACACTATTACTATCAAATATAAATAGGATGGGTCGTCGTGGTAAAGGTCCAAAGACTAATAAACAAAATGCAGTCCCTGAAAAGGAACGTTTTGTTCAATGTTGCGCAGATGTTACATCTGAATTAACAAACTCTTTGACAACATCTTCAACGAAGGATATCAACCTGAACGGTCTTATTATCAAATATTCCAAGAAATATAAATTGAGACAACAACCTAGATTAACAGATATCATTAACTCTATACCTGATCAATATAAGAAATATTTATTACCTAAATTGAAGGCCAAACCAGTGAGAACTGCATCCGGTATTGCTGTTGTCGCAGTGATGTGTAAACCTCATCGTTGTCCTCACATTGCATACACAGGTAATATTTGTGTCTATTGTCCCGGTGGACCTGATTCTGATTTTGAATATTCTACACAATCTTATACAGGTTATGAGCCTACATCTATGCGTGCTATTAGAGCTCGTTATGATCCATATGAACAAGCTAGAGGTAGAGTGGAACAACTAAAACAATTAGGCCACTCTATTGATAAAGTTGAATATGTCGTCATGGGTGGTACTTTCATGTCTTTACCTACAGATTATAGAGAAGATTTCATAACTAAATTACATAATGCATTATCAGGGTTCAATGGTAATGATCTAGATGAAGCTATTAAATATTCACAACAGAGTGTTACCAAATGTGTTGGTATCACAATTGAAACTAGACCTGATTATTGTACTGGTACACATTTAGATGATATGTTAAGATATGGTTGTACCAGATTAGAGATCGGTGTGCAGTCCTTATATGAGGATGTAGCTAGAGATACAAATAGAGGTCATACAGTCAAATCTGTATGTGAAACTTTTGCAGTTGCTAAGGATGCTGGTTATAAAGTTGTTTCGCATATGATGCCCGATTTACCTAATGTCGGGATGGAAAGAGATATTGAACAATTCAAAGAATATTTTGAGAATCCTGATTTTAGAACGGATGGTTTGAAGATCTACCCAACTTTGGTCATTAGAGGTACTGGTCTATATGAATTATGGAAGACTGGTAAATATAAGTCATATAATGCGAATGCATTGGTGGATTTGGTCGCTAGAATCATGGCTTTGGTTCCACCTTGGACAAGAATTTATCGTGTTCAAAGAGATATCCCAATGCCGTTGGTGACAAGTGGTGTCGATAATGGTAATCTAAGAGAGTTGGCGTTAGCCAGAATGAAGGATTTGGGTACATCATGTAGAGATGTACGTACTAGAGAAGTCGGTATCCAAGAGGTTCATCACAAAGTGTCTCCGGATCAAGTTGAATTGATCAGAAGAGATTACTATGCCAATGGTGGTTGGGAGACTTTCTTATCATACGAGGATCCAAAGAAGGATATTTTGATTGGTCTATTGAGATTAAGAAAGGCCTCAAAGAAGTATACATATAGAAAGGAATTTATCAGTCAAAGAACATCTATTGTGAGAGAACTTCACGTGTATGGGTCGGTGGTTCCACTACATTCCAGAGATCCACGTAAATTCCAACATCAAGGTTTTGGTACATTATTGATGGAGGAAGCTGAACGGATTGCTAAGGAAGAGCATGGGTCTGAAAAGATTTCTGTCATTTCTGGTGTGGGTGTTAGGAATTACTATGCTAAGTTGGGTTATGAGTTGGAGGGGCCATATATGTCTAAGATGATTTAGAAGAAGAAGAAATAAAAGGTGAGATAGTATTATAGTTTATAATTATTTATATATATATTTTTTGTGTTTTTTTTTAAAAGTTCATAATTTTTAACATTAGTTGTAAAATTATCATTTTTGAAGTTTTGTTTATATAACGTTAATTATTGAGACATTTTATGATAAGCACCAAAGTTAAGAAATTTTATAATAAACATTAAAAAAATAGGGGAAAATAATCTTTCGAATATAAATATATATATATATACATTAATATAGTATTAAGAAATAAAAGAGAATGTTCGATTAGTGTTTTTTATGTGTTATGGCTATAGTGTTAACTAATTAGAAGCACCAGCTTGAGCGGTTGTCGTAGAAGTTACTGGTAGACCGTTAATAGGAGTATTAGTTGAATGAAGTGTTTCATTTTCATTTTCATATGGACCCCAGAATTGTAATGAATATTTAGTAGAAATGGCAGAATCCTTTCTTACCAATTCAGGTAATAATCTCCATCTCCAAATAAATAAGAAATCATCTTGAGTTCCTAAATTCAATACACGCAAATAAGCTAAAAACACAATATATGTGTAGACACCCATCCCTGTTAGAATATGCCACCAACCATGTAATTCTAATAATGTACCTAATGGTAATAATAAATAAGTTCTTCTAAAATATCTCCAGAAACTGCACATATGAATATCTAATTGCCAGGAAATGAAACCTAAAAGAAAGATTACAATACCTAAACCCATTGTTGTGTATAAATTTTTTTTATCTAATTTATTCTTTGGTATTAAGAAATATGCAAATGAACCTGAGATTGCAACCACCAAACAATTTAAAAATCCGTACAGTACTTGAAAGATAATTGGTGATTGATAAGCCATATAAAACCAAGTTAAGCCTGTAGTGAATGATACAACAATAATACCAAAGAACCATTCTTTTCTCTTTGAGACAGGTCCTTTTGAAGCTCTGAAAGTATTCCAATCTAATTCACAAAATAATGACCAAGCAGGTGTTGAAGTGGCATAAACCATTGGTAATTCATCAAGTAGTTGATATCTATATTTTAAAGTCATATGGAAAAACCATGAACCAAACCCTACAAGGGCGAACATTAAACCGACTAAAATAAATCTTGTTTCGAGACGATTTCTATATATACAATATGTATAGTAAGTTGCAACCAATATAAACATGAAATTCGTTAAAGTATTAGACCATTCTGCGATATAATATGATACAACGTAATTTTCTTCACACCAATCAATAATTGCTGTGGTATTACCCCAGAAGCCTGATTGTGGTTCATCAGGATAAGGCCAAATTAATTTTCCAGTCATAATAATAATAATAATATTAGTAGTAGTAGTAGTTTTTGTTTTTGTATGAGTGTGTGTTTCTTAATCTTTTTTATGAAATAAATATAATATCTTATTCCTTTAGAAACAGTATATTAATAAAGATGAATAAAAAATTCGATGTTAATAAAAGATAAAAGTTTCGTTATCCCCTTTTGTATGGTATATATATATGAATCTCAAAAAAAATAATATAATAATTTCTCTCCTTCTTTTTAGTATGCGAACTTTCTTTGCAACTAAAAAATAAAATTAAGGAGTTTGATTTCTTTAACTTTAACACAGATGAGATAGATGATTAGTTTAGGGAACTTTCCGTATAATTTAAAGGAAACAAAAAGACCAAACAAAAGGTCAACATGGAATAAATAAGTTATATTATATATAATTATATCCTTGATCTTTAAAGATATAAGATGAGGGATAGAACAAGAGTCATTATTACTATCGTTTGTATTTGATGAACAGTTGTTCCGTATGTAAGCCAAACGATAAATAGATTTCAGTACTCTTTCGCTTCACTAAATAATAGAAGGTATTGAAAACTAATAACAAGAAGCAAGAAAACCGACCGATACGTTGCCATCCGTGTAAAACACAACCCTAGTCGCACAAACATATATGTAACATATGCAATGGATATAATGAATGGATAATTACAATTACAGATTCTCGACTGGTCGAGTTTAAAGTGTGAGAGAATCTTCTTGTTAATTGTGTTATCTGTAGTCTCGTGTTTCTTCGAATTGTAGCAATCGTTAACAATTGATTGTCACTTTGACTGTAAAAATCCTGTCATTAAATATTTTTGTTAGAAATTTACTGTAAATTGGACGAAGGAAGGAGGCTCAGTTTCAATCTAATTAATAAATTTATCTCTCGGACTATTTCCTCCTTTCTCAGGAGGTTTCTTAGTAATATCAGGTGCCCCACACCAGGCCATCACGTGAACGAAACCAGAAAAAAAGGGGCAGCGCAGCGCAGCGGAGATGGCGATGGCGATGGCGATGGCGATATACTCACAGAAATACAAGCAGTGTTGACCAATATTTATTATAACAATAATAATGAAATAACTTTTAGAGTAAACGATGGATTCTACTAGTGAGAACAGATAGAAGAGAATTGGATCATCTTTCTTCTTCCTGTATGAAGAAGTATATAAGCCTTACTTATAAGGGTCTCTCGAATAGTAAAAGAAAAATAAATTAAAAGTCACAAAATATATTTAGCCAGGTGTAGTAGATTGACACATATGTTTTCTCTTAAACTTAGTATGCAGATTTTAATTGATCGATACTCTCTATTATATAAAACAGTAATAATAATAAATACAAGCAAGGCTCAGTAAACGTTTTAAATAGATCAATTATCTGATAATCGATTTCTATTATAATTCTTTATACCTTCTGATCATGTGCATCTCACGTGGAACCTGGATTCAAAACAAACAAATATCTTCACCCTATATAATTTAAGTAATTCTATTCTATTATACTAATCTAAATGATTGAACAATATTGAATGAGGAAAGCATAGATTTATTACGACCAATTAAACGGTTCCTCCCTCACTTTCTTTATTACGTGCATTAAAAAAAGTTTCTCATCTTCCCACAGCAAGAAAAACGCAACGCCGCGAAAAAGTTATTTAGCGAAAAGTTATTTTTAGATTTCCCAACTGTCAATTGAGATGGCTTCTTCGTTATTATTACTTTCACCATTCTTTACTTTTGTTTCATAGGTTTGATGAAATAACATATCAAGTAACTAGTTTAACAGGAAACACCTACAAGAAATCATAATGTCTACAAAATGAGAAGGCTGTATCTTTTTTGGGATGAGGAAGAAAGAAACTACTACAAGGTTTGTTTGTTTGATCCATCTTGTAATGTTGATAATCACTAAGTCATTTGAATTGAATAATCGTACTTTTTCAAGTATAAGATCTAATCGAATTTTATTATGTCTTAGAATGTGACGTATTTCTTGTTTCTTTGAAAAACTATACAGAAACTAGTAAGTATATATATATCTAACTCATTGACGAATATCTTTCGTCATCTTCAAATGTTCTTTTCTCTCTGTCTCTATTATTACATTTTAACGATATATATGCCTTTCTGCGTTTTTCTTTCTTTAGCTTCTTTTATAATCTTCTTGATATTATTCCTCAGATAAAGTTACGTATTCGTTGTCCCTCTATTTTTTTTACAAGTTCCATCGTGCCGTCTTCACGATATTTTGGTTTATTTATTTATTTAAATCAATTTTTCGTTTTTTTCCTCATCGTAAATAATAAATTATTTCACCGATCTAGATCATAAACTCATTAAAATCTATATTTAATTTTTTGAACCATTATAACATTAATACAAAGATAAAAGTAATACCAAGACGGAGTTGTCTTTCAAAAATATTATTACTATTATTTTTTTTCTTTTGGTCACACAAAGTGTTTTGTAATTATTAACAAAAAAGAATAACACCCCCCATATACCATTTTTTTATTAAGGATATATTGCTTCATTACATCATCCGAATTATTTATCTATATTATTTACTTTTGTTTTTGAAAAAAATGGGTAGACGGAAGATTGAAATTCAACCTCTAACAGATGAAAGAAATAGAACTGTAACTTTCATTAAACGTAAAGCTGGTCTTTTGAAAAAAGCTCACGAATTAGCTGTATTATGTCAAGTCGATGTAACACTGCTTATTGTGGGTCCAAATAATACATTATATGAATTCTCTTCCGTAGAGACGAATGACTTAATCGATCATTATCTTAATGATAAGACAATGATCCGTGAAATTAAAGGCCCAGAAAATTTTGGGAATTATAAAAAGAATAAACATGTATTTCAGGAAAATTTGGTTCCAGGCAGCAATGGTTTAGTCGAAGAACACATGTCTAAGAAGAGAAGATTATCACTAAATAACAATACTTCTGCTGCATATTTGAGTCAAAATGATAGCGATGATAGTGATAGTAATGATAATATTAGTTCGAATACGATATCAAATAATTCCATTAATCATACGAGAAATAGTTCCATAGGAAGAGGGAAGAGCAATCCAAGAGCATCGAATCAACCAACCACAAGGTCAAACGATACAAGTTATCTGTCTACATCGTTTCAAGAATCAAGTGATAGAGATACTAAACGTCATTTACAAAATCAAGTTAAAGGGTACGGTACCTTATCAACAACTGTGGGACATCAAATGATACGACAAACTGGTAATGATCATCAACATCTATTAAACAACAGCACTTCATCAGTGGCGAAATTAAGCAACGATCCCTTGAATGGTGGAGCATCGGGTATTAAATTAGAAGAAAGTATCGCTGGCATCCCATCAATTAATTCACAACAGAGTAATCTTTCTGGTTCAGGAAGTACACATTCATCAATATCACATAATGAGACCCAAGAAAATGCTAAGAAATCGGGTGCTAGACCAGTATTGAGAGTAGAAATACCAAATAATAATGTCATAAGTAATAATGCAATCCAAAGTGAACCTTCTTCATCTACTGTAGCAGTGACTACTGCAAATATTTATGGCAATAATGGATCATCCCAATATTTTAAGAAATTAAATAACGATGGGAAGACTTTAGCTAATATAACCACTAAAATAGAATCACCAGTGTCCGGAATTGGTAATACACTATCATTAGATAGAAGTGGTAATACTTCAAAAGCACCATTAAAAGCACCCAACAATACAACATTTTCATTCTCCAATGGTCTTCCACCATTATTTTCAAGTACTTCTGCTGTACCACCTTACGTGGCTACACCTTTACAAGGATCAAACGGTGGTAACAATCCCAACAATCCAATGAACTTTTCTGGTAATAATTCCAGTAGTCCTATTCAAGCTCAAGTACTCCCAACACAAAAACCTTTAGCAGCTAGCCAATCTCAACGTTACAACCAACAAATTCCATTCAATCCACCTCAATTAGGGTCGGCTAGAATATTTTCACCTACAGGAGGGTTAGGAAATGTAACGAAAATGGGTGCACAGGACCATATGATGAATGGTCCTCCAACTGGCTCATTACCTTCGAAATTTGCAAATGAATTAATGATGCCTTCCCCAAATGGATCTATATCAATGTTCCAAGATTGGAGTCTAGGATCCGGAAATAATCCAAATGGCCCTAACGGGCAGAATGGTAGTGCCTTGAATGGTACTAACATGACCAATAACCCGGGAGGTATACCTGGAGTCAATAGTACAAACAATGGTAACCCTTTCCCCACATCAAGTAACAGTAACACAGGTCTTACACCATACATAAATGCTGGTCAAACACCCTTAGCGAACAGATTTTTCAACTTTGCAGGTGATGTGGTTAATGATGATTCTGGTGCTAACAACAGCATAAAAAACATTAAAAAGGAGGAATAAAAAGTCAAAAAAAAAGAAGGAAGGTTCAATAGCGATTAACCTTACGAATAAAAGAACACATATATAAACGTACATACATGTAATTAAGTGATTAATCTCTAACAGCATACATTAAAAAATATTTTTGTCTTACGTATTTCATTGATCATTATATAATTTCATTATATTTTTGACTATTTTGTTACACCCAGACATTTTATAACACCCACACATATTTTATGTGATTTACAAAATCTTATAAAATGCTTTAGAATTGAAAAGAAAATAACGGAATAGCTCGGTCTGAAAAAATATTATCGGAACCAAAGTTGAAATATTCATAGTAAAACTCCCCCATAGAGGGCGCTACTAACTTCCATCCTGTACGCTTTGGGTTTAGGCAGCACAATAATTCTGCCTAGTGGGAACAATGAGCTACCCCCAAGAGATTGGAACCAGTAATACCAAATACTGTCCAGCTCATAGACTGTTACAAGCTCAGTAAGAGATGAGGCTCCCACTAAACAGTTGAAACTCTTTTGTATCATTTTACTGTTGTACTCTCCGCGCCATCCAACATAGCTTGCTTCAACAAATCTCGTTGTGATAGTAAGTTCCAATATCAATTACAGCATGCTGAGGGAGTAATGATGATAGTTTTGTTTTGTAATGTTACCAATTTGATTGAGACTAACCTTTTCATCTCCTGTCTCCGAAGAAACAACGGTAGCAACTTCGTAAAATTTTCCAATAACTCTCTAATTTCAATTAGCTAACGATTAGAGACTTATCTTAAAGCTTAGTTTTTAATAGGTGTGTATCTATATATAAAAAGTTTGATAATTAAGAAGTTTCACCTTTTTTAGTCTTTTTTAAAAAAACCGAATCAAAAAGTAGAACGTATTAGACCAACATGAAGCTAAACATCTCCTACCCAGTTAACGGTACTCAAAAGACCTATGAAATCGATGATGAACACAGAATCCGTGTCTTCTTCGACAAGAGAATCGGCCAAGAAGTCGAAGGTGAATCTGTTGGTGATGAATTCAAGGGTTACACCTTCAAGATTTCCGGTGGTAACGATAAGCAAGGTTTCCCAATGAAGCAAGGTGTTCTACTACCAACCAGAATCAAATTACTTCTAACCAAGGGTGTCTCTTGTTACAGACCAAGACGTTCTGGTGAAAGAAAGAGAAAGTCTGTTAGAGGTTCCATTGTTGGTCCAGATCTAGCTGTCCTATCTCTAGTCATTGTCAAGAAGGGTGAACAAGAACTAGAAGGTATCACTGACTCCACTGTTCCAAAGAGATTAGGTCCAAAGAGAGCTAACAAGATCAGAAAGTTCTTCGGTCTAACCAAGGAAGATGATGTCCGTGACTTCGTTATTAGAAGAGAAGTCACCAAGGGTGAAAAGACCTACACCAAGGCTCCAAAGATCCAAAGACTAGTCACTCCACAAAGACTACAAAGAAAGAGAAACCAAAAGGCTCTAAAGATCAAGAACGCTCAAGCTCAAAGAGAAGCTGCCGCTGAGTACGCTCAACTATTGGCTAAGAGACTATCTGAAAAGAAGGCTGAAAAGGCTGAAATCAGAAAGAGAAGAGCTTCTTCTCTAAAGGCTTAAGTCTTTATTAAAGGTAATAATATAATTCCAAATAAGATTTCGACCAATTAGTATTTGCATATGTCGATTCTTTTCCTTTTTTTCCCTTTTTTAAAACTTTTTATCTCAATTCTGGCGGTAGGACCATCTAATCTAATTTAGTTTAAAAATTGATTGGCATTCTACAAAATAAAAAATATATTATAATATCAAGATATAAAACAAATCCAATAATTTATGTAATTAATTATCATTATATGTAATTATAAAAATAAAAAAAACGTATTCCAAAAACAAAAGAAAGTATTTAACACACATCAAACAAAGGCAAACTAATAATTACCTAGTATAAAAGTGTAACGTCTTGAAAATATAATATATATTAAATCGAATTCAACAATTAGAATCTTTATATAGATATAGTTGCTGTTTTTATTTACCTCAAAGTGACTAATTCTTCAGCACTTGTTGGGTGAATGGCGACAACACTGTCGAAATCCTTCTTTGTAGCTCCCATCTTAATCGCAACACCGAAACCTTGCAACATTTCAGCAGAAGAATCACCAATTAAATGTAGACCAACAACTTTCTCCTCTGGACCAGCACAGATCAACTTATATCTAGTTGGAGACTTTTCCGTCAACATAGAGTAGTACATAGCAGTGAATTTTGTATTGTAAATCTTCAAGTTTTCAGCTCCATATTGCTTAACAGCAGCATCTTCAGATAGACCTATGGAACCTGCTTCAGGATGTGAAAAGACTACACTTGGAACATTTGTGTAATCCATCTTTTCATTCTTAAACTCTTCTGGACCAAACAATCTATTGGATAGCTTTCTACCTGCGGCAATTGCCACTGGAGTCAATTCGATGTTACCGACGACGTCACCTAGAGAGTAAATATTTGGAACGTTAGTGTTTTGATATTCATCAACTATAACTTGACCTCTTTCATTCAATTTAATACCAGCTTCTTCAGTACCGATCCCTAGGAGAGACTTACGACCAACAGTCCAAATCAATTCATCTACATCTTCAATTATTTCACCATCATGATCCAAATAGACAGTCAATTTACCAGTCTTTGAATCCTTTTCAACTTTTTGAATCTTCGACAACTTATGTACATTAATACCTGAGTCGACATAATGATCTGTGACAGTATGTTGAATCGATTCATCAAATTTTCTTAGTACTGTTTCACCTCTAATGACCAAATGAGCGTTTGATCCCAAGCCATGGAACACACCAGTCAATTCAATACCGATATAACCGGCACCTACAATGACAACATTCTTTGGTTGTTTGGCTAATCTGAAGAACCCATCGGAGTTTGTACCGTACTCGTAACCAGGGATATCAGTTGGTTGTATGGCTTGACCACCAGTAGCGATCAAGATATGAGATGCCGAATAAATTGCAGTGTTACCACTGTCTCTTTCTTTGACTTCGACGTTCCCATCTTTGTTAAACTTAGCCCAACCATAAACAAACTCGACACCTTCTTTAGTCATGTTTCTTTCATATATTCCATTCAACCTATGGACATAAGCGTCTCTTTTCTCCTTAAATTGTGGCCAATTGAATGTCAAGTTCTTCTTGGACAAATCGAAATCCTGGTATAACCCATACTCATTTGCCTGTTGTACTCTATTTGCCAAATCTGATGCGTACCACATGATTTTCTTTGGAACACAACCAACGTTGACACAGGTACCACCCATTGCTTTCCCCTCAATCAGCAAAGTCTTTGCACCGTATGAGGCAGCTCTTCTGGCTGAAGCAACACCACCGGAACCACCCCCGATGACCAAATAATCGTAGTGTTTAATAATAGGAGCCATAATTTTAGCCTTTAGCATATAATAATAATAGTAATAGTAGATATCTATAGTTATCTGTAGATATTGTTGATATATATATTGGAAGAAACGAGAGAAAATAATACTTTTTATAAATGTTTTGAGGAACCATCCCCTTAAATAACTAAAAATCCTCTTGTGTTCTTCCCCTTTCTCTAAAGTTGAAAAATTTCAATATTTCTTCGACGATGACGATGATTACTAACGCGATGACAACGCCGCTTAGTAAGAGAAAAACGTGTGCTGTAAAGCAAAATGTAAATGATTCGTTATGTAATAATAAAAATTAACGACTGATTAATAAGTTGTAACTATGACAAATGCTGCGATGAATTAGTAAAAGAACACTAAACTAAATACAATAAATAGATATATGTATGAATTAATAACAATATGACTGTATGCAAGGAAAAGACGAGAGAACGGGAGTACTGGAAAAGCAAGCTAATATTATTATTATTATTATTACTATTGTGTTCTTGTAGCCATTGTAGCCAATTCTATCACTGAATCCGATTCTCTAATACCTATTGTTGCTTCTGAAGCATTGTCATCACTACCATCAATCTCGTTCGCACTACCCATTGAATCCAATTGGTCATCATCCTCATCTTTTCTGAGAGATTCTTCATCACAAACTTCATTCTGTGAGTGGCGATGTTGTCTATTCCATTGATGTTTCAAATACGGAATGCATTTAGTATATATTGATCCCATTAAACATACTATAACCCAAACGACACATAATACCGAATATATTGCGGCTACTACTCTAAAGGCACCAATAGGTACAAATTGACCATATTGTTTCCAGACTTCATTTGTTCCTAAAGCCATCGTACCCATAGGGAAAGTCATTGCCCAGAAACCCTTGTGGAAAGTCAGCATTGTGATCTTTTTATTAGTCGTAGGTGTGGTAGATTCTTCCTTGACAGGTAAATATGAGAAGATTGCAACAAAAGTGATGATTGTGAAGAAATAACCCATTCCTAATAAAGCTAATGAAGTTATTAAACCAAATATTTTAAAACACCATGGGATTAAAAGTGTCAATAATGCAGTCTCTGAACCCTTTGGTGCTTGTATTGATGTTATAGCAGGATAATATAAATCGACATATGTTTTAATATTATTAGTCATTAATAATATCCCAAATGCACCTTGACCTAATGGACCCAATACTAAGAACATCGTAAAAACTTGTTGCATTTTCGGTAATTTATTAACATAAAGATTCCAAAAGAATAAAGTTACAAGGATGCCAACGAATAATATAGCGTGTAACCATAATAATATGCAAATGACCATTGTTAATAATTGAATATTTCTATTAAATGTAATTGTAAAAATATTAGTCATTGTAAACAATGCACCTGATGCTGTTCCCACTACTAACGGTATAACGTTCATTAATAAAGTACTTTTTAAATTTTGAGTAGCGATTTTTTGTCTATCTGTTCCTACAGGGTATTTATTAGCCCAATCTTCTGTATAATAATAATCTTGCCAAATTAAGAAAGATATCCCCCAAGCTGTTAACATTGAAATAGTAATGTCGTACCACCATAAGAGATAAATGAAAATCATTAATCTTTTGGCGTTATTTTCAGATATGATTGAAGGAGTTTCCGTTAAATTTGTTAAATAATTAATAATAGTTACTAAACCCATTGGATAAGTACCCCAAAAGACGTTATGCATTAAATTTCTGTAATAATGATTAAAATATCTATGCCATGAATAACGTCTTGCATACCAAAACATATGAATACAAGCGAATAATTGTAAAAATATGAATAAGAGACATGCAATTGCAAATAAAATATATGAACATATTCTTAACCAACGTGCAGGATATGGGAAAGAATAAAGAATATCAGAGGCAATTCCTGTTCCCATTACCATTACAAACGAAAATGGTTCAAAATGCCATACTACTTTCTGTATTGTCTTCTTCATATGTAATGTAGTGCAGTTAAGTATTCTATATGGTGATTGGATACATAATTTGTAGATAGACAGTAGTAGACTTGGAACCAATATACAAGCTTGCAACTATATCAAGTGCATATATATACAATTTCAAATCTTGCGATGCCCTCCCATCTCACCAGCCAAATCCGAATTCCACTTCTAATGCTAATTTTATTCTGTATATTGTTCAATAAAGATGTCAGGTCACCCTTTAACAATAAGAGGGAGGAAGAAGAAGTAGCCTCTTCTCGCTCTCGCTCTCGCTCTCTCCGATCCTCCCCGTCTCCTCGAATAAACGGATTATTCAGCGCACAGAACTCCCCGTAGAAAATATCTAATATTCAATATTTTGATAGTCAACAACAACGACAAGCCTGCAGACAGTCAGCAAACAGTGAACAACAACAACAACTTCTTACCCATCGAATAGATAGTGCACATGTTGGAAGTGTTGTTAGTTGCATGCACTTCTATTATCAGCACTATGCTATTTTTTATACATGCAAGAAATAATGATAGGACGGTAGTGACGGCAGTGGTCGGAAACCATTTGTTAGAAATGACACATTCTATATTTAAATGGGAACCATCATAATTATATTATAGCCGATTATAGCTGTAACTGTAAGTGGACAGGGACCATACCCCTATCATATTATCATTTACATGATATTAATCCCCTCTTGCTATACACTATCTTTTTTTATAATGTTGATTCAAATAATGCATAATATATATGACACTATTCGACCAAAGAAGATCTTACTTCTGGGGGGTTCAATTACTATACTAGTCATATCACCCAGTTTTACCCAGTATTATCGTTGGTAATATATCATATCATGCTGGCCGTCACTTTAAACGACGTGCACACCGTTTAAATAATATTATTCTCTCTTTATTCAATGCGATTCACTGCCATATAACACAAACAAGCGCGTCGACTGAAAAATTATTTGAATTTAATAAGAACACGCACTCATCCATTTAATACTTACTCCATCATATTTGAGACATTATTACATATATGTATGTATGTATCTATATATTCCATTACTATTGCTTATTTGAACAATTGATTTACAATATATAAACATACACACTCATTGCATTATTATAGAACCGTTTTACAATGTCTGAGGCTGTTCCACAAGGTAATCCACAGACCGCATTGGCTGTTGCATCTTTACTAAGACGTAACAAATTATTGAAACAAAGATATGGTATCTTTCAATCACGTACTACAGATTTTTTTCGTTATAAAAGATTCGTGAGAGCGTTGGAATCTCCACAATATAAGAAAAAATCATCAAATCAACCAGATTTATACCCAGCTGCTGCTACTGAAGCTGAAGCAAGATTAATCTTTATCACCTTAATTAAATCACAAATCGTTATCCCAGTGAAAAAATTACATTCAGATGAATTGAAAGAACACGATTTATCCCCAAGCAAAGATTATCCTCATTTATTACCCTCAAAACAAGCACAACTGACTCCAGATGAATATTACGTTTGGAATTATAACCCTAAATCATTTTGGGATTACGCTACCGTAGTAGCTGTAGTAGCAGGTATTTTGGCTTTGGTATGTTATCCTTTATGGCCAATGTCTATGCGTAGAGGGTCTTATTACGTTTCTTTGGCTGCATTGGTATTTCTAGGTGCATTTTTCGTCATTGCTATTCTTAGATTAATATTGTTCTTAGTATCTTTGATTTTCGTCTCCGGTGGGAAGAATCAAGGATTTTGGATATTCCCTAATTTGTTCGAAGATTGTGGAATTCTAGAGAGTTTTAAACCATTATATGGATTTGGTGAACAAGATTCTTATAGTTATATTAAGAAACAAAAAAGATTAAAGAAAAGACAAGCTAAAAAGGCTAAATCGAATGAAAAGAATTGAATTTTGTTCCTTCTTTCTTCTAACCTTCACTTGATCTATATAGATCAACATTTTATATATATATACATAAATAAATACATTTAGATTCACGAACATTTCTTTTCTCTCTCTCACTCTTTTATTATGTAACTGTCTATCAAATATTTGTTACTATTACCTATTTACCGTCTTCACCACGTTGTGCTGTCCATTCAGCTGATCCGCTTTGTCTACCTTGAGTTGCAGTACTGATGGTTGTTGCAGTATTCTTCTTCTTCTTAGAATCATCTATCCATGATAATTGCTCAACAACGTCACGGTTATACAACGAATATATCTCATTATCATCTGTATTATGGCCTCGAAGTTGACTTGTGAAAAACTCACAGAGTTGTGATAATTCTTTCTCAGAGATAGCTGTTCGAGGTAATTGGTTCTTAATAAGATAACGATGACTTACGTCACATACACCATCTTTATTGAACGCTATGCAATAACTCATCTTCTTATTCCAATTCACAGAATAAATAAACGGCTCATCAAATGATGCCTCACACGAATCAACATGTATCCAACGTTTCAAATTAGATGAATAGTATTCACACCAAACATGATCCTCTTTATTCCACACATAACGAGCCTCTAATCCAAAGGAACGAAGGATTAAAGTAAATACATTACACCATTCCCCACAACGACCTTGACGAGTCTCCAATAACTTGAGCGGATCGTTGTATCTTGGGAATCGGGTCTCTACTTTACAATTCCCGCATTGGTACACTTCAACACCACTACAATCATGCTGAGATTCTATACTGTTAGGACGATCACTTCTTTTGAATTGCTGAAATTCGATATTATGACAATTCACGCATGGGGGCGCATTCACCCATTTGAAGAAATCATTCTTGAAATAACGTAATAACTCCTTCACCAAATTATCTGTATATTCGTCCTCATCATCCTTAGTCATCTCATCAACATTCTTATAAATTCGATCGATGTCCAATGTATCCATTACTTTTGTATGCCAATCCGGATTTTCATACACATGGCATAGGCGTACACTGTTACGGGCCATGTCGTTAGCAAACTGATTGCTTGAAATTAGGGATTTCATACGTGTGATGAACTCCTGATCGGTGCCTTCTCGATGATAATGGTCGATTACCCTTTGTTTATGGCGTTCTAATAACGACTTGGCGGCCTTTTCATATACGATAGTTTTTCTAGTCATTTTTATTTGTGGTACAATGGATATAATTGATTTGATCTTCCAATAGTAATATTTATTTGTTTGACCTTAACGTTATCTATATCATAGCTATCCTTGACTGATATATATATCTTAATTGCTGAAATTAAGATGGATATGAACGAGAAACCCACCTTTGCCACTAAAAAATAAGAGAACGGAGGCGCATTTTTTGGCTACGCTAATTATAGTGGGCCAGAAAACCTTAAATTCTGAGACCTGATATTTCAGGACATAAACTGCACAATGAACAATGAACCTACGAGTAAATGCTAGACATTATATTCAATACCAGGAAAATGCTATTTATATTCCTTATAGTTTGACGTATCAATCAGAAAGAAAGATTTCGAAGTGATTATAATTGAAGTTACATAGGAAAAAAAAGTTAAATAATGAACTCGTTCTTTAATTTTAACGAACCAAGTTCTTTTACATGAAAATGACTGCGACAAAGACTAAAATTGTTCAAGAAATGGACGTACAATTTTTTCAAATTTTTGCATAACTGGGATTAACTGCAATATTTGAAAAAGGTAGTCAATATATGTATACATATATGTTCAATTCCAGGCATCATATATATCAAATAAAGGTTTCTAATTTGTAGAATTCGTAATTCGGGCTATAAGAGATTCGTCAATTACCTCAACATAAAACTCTTGTAACAAAAACTTATATTTTGCAATGGTTTCTTTGGTGTTTATCTGGTGCATTCTGGTCTCTCCGTTACCAGTGAGGAGCACATCAACTAACAATAATGGCACAGACAATTTAACTAATTACTCTTCTGGTATAAATGCCAATTGGTCAGCAGATGATTCGCATTTGATTGAACGTTCAGAACTTCCCCACTGTAATTTGAACATTACTGGTTATTGCACCATTGATGGAATAGGTATTGTATATGTTAACCAAGAAACTACAAGCTCGATTAAAAGAGATAATTGGCTCGGTTTATTAGTGGCAACATTTGCAGCCTCTGCCAGTGCTGTACGTGGTTGGCAGGAGTATTTTTCGTTATGTGTTGGTCACCCTGATGGCAGACAAAGATATTTTTCTGGGACTTGTTTAACATCACTAATTACAACGCTACTATTTACTTCTGCTTTCTTCATTGCAATATTTGGTATGGTAGTCCTCTATTTTGACGTTGGAAACAAGGGAATGATAAAGATATATGTTGCTGGTATATTGAGAAAGATTTATAGCCGTGTTAAAGCTTACATGATTAATCTAAGGTATATTTTTGAACTTTATAATTGATAATTTGATACCTACTACCATTTAAACTTTGATAGATATACATGAATAAGCAGTGGTATATAATACAGCACAAATTGCGATATTCAAAAACAACATAAGCTACATATTTATGTGTAAGAAGCTAACAAATTATCAATCTGAGAGTTGTTTAAAAACTCCTATGTTTATTAATGTCACAATCTGGTCTGTATCAATCACTCAACTTAAGATTTTTCTCTAATCATGCTAAATGGAAATACCTATAGCTCATTGCAATTACTACTATCCTTGGGAGTATTTAAATATTAAGAAATCGATTAAGCTAATTGATTGTCGACATTGCGACATGTATGTATCGTATGTATTCATTTGAATAATCTGTAAGTTGGGAATTTTTCAAGCTTTGTGTGTTTTCTGTTCTTATTTTTGGCGTATATATGTACCAATATTAACTCATAGACTGTCATTTAATTTAAGAGTTTCAAGCACACAAATACTATTCTGTTGATATACATAACAGTAATTGTTTTGTTAGAATTTTAACACGTAGGAAAGAAAGGCTTTTATTTCTTTGAACCTAAGCTTGATTATATGGATTTTAAAAGTGAACATTCGAATAGGGGGCACAATTTAGATTATATCCTATACTTCAGGATATTTCTGAAATTGATGCCAATATACCCATATTGCAACTGTGAATAATAGTAGTTATAGCCTGTACTATACTCTCTTACTCATTCTCATCTAAACAGCAATATCTAGATTAAGTCGTCTGATGAATTGTAGTTCTGATTGGTGAAATAATTGTATGTTGGACTGATCTTCATTTTGAAAGAGAGACACAATATCTATTTACATGTTGATTAGTCATATATACATATACAAGAGTGTTCCATTTTTCTACGCCGTCATTTCAACAACAAAACATTTCTGTTTACCTATTCTGATTAGCAATATCTCGTTACCAATCAAATATTGGGCCCAATCAGAAATGCTCTTCACAACCCGGACTCTATTTACACCTAAATAAACACCACCTTGAACTATTTTACGTTTTGCTTCTGCTTTCGAACATTGCATTAGTTCAGAGATCAATGTAACGAGGTCTGATTCTTGATTAGTTTGTTTTAATATTCTAGCGTCACTAAATATTCGCTTCAATTCCTTCGAATCTTCAATAATTATATCATTACCGAATAAAACTCTCGAGATGGTTTCAGCATCATTAGCTTTTGCAGTACCATGAATTAATTCCGTTACTTCTTTAGCTAATACAGATTGACCATAATGTAATTGTGGGGAATCATTATGCTTGTTAACTACTTTTACAATTTGGTTCAAAGGCATCAGAGTAAATATCTTCAAAAATCTTTCAACATCTGCGTCAGTAGTATTTAAGAAAAATTGATATATGTCATATGGTGTATTAATTTCCTCATCCAAGAAAATGGCATTACCAGCACTTTTACCAAATTTTTGTCCATTGGAAGTTGTTAATAATGGGACAGTAATGGCAAATGGAGGATTTTTCTTCACATTTGACGAATTTTGTTCAACTCTATTGATTAAATCAATCCCTGCTGTAATATTACCCCATTGGTCATTACCACCAATTTGAATTGTAGTGTTTTCGTTCCTATACAAATGATAAAAATCATAAGCTTGTAATATTTGATATGTAAATTCATTAAATCCAAGACTACCTTGACTTGATAACCGAGAAGACACAGAGTCTCTTGATAACATCGATTGAATTCTGATATATTTCCCGTATTGTGAGAGAAATTCAATCATTTTCACATCTTTCCACCAATTATAATTATTTGTCATGGTATAGACACCTGAATTTTTATTAACCTCATTATCGTCAGATTTATATTTATCTTCGTAGTAAGTCAACCCGTTCTTGAAGAATCTTTCCAACTGCAACGTAATACGAGAAACGTTATCCAATCTAGTGTCTGTGTTCATTGCTTTCCTCTCAGTAGATCTCCCACTAGGATCACCAACTGCGCCAGTAGCTCCACCTACAATATTTACAATATCATGGCCTCTAACATAAAAATTTAACATTAACATCATGGGTACTAAATTACCTAAATGAATAGATTTTGCTGTGGGATCTACCCCACAATACATTTTTAATTTATCACCATGTAGTATTTTGGAGGCAAGTACTTCTTCAGGTGCAGATATTTGGGATATTAAGCCTCTCCCCCTAAGAAGATCTAGCACATTAGTTCCAGTTGAGTTACTTGAGAATCGTTTTAAAATATTTCGACTAGCATTAGGAAAGTACCCGACTCTGCTCCCTATTGAATACGTTAAAGATAACATGGGTGATGGTAGCTAATCTCACAAGATACTGTGTTAAATTACTTGTTAAGAATTGTTATTATAAGTTCAATTGTTTTCTAATAAATGACTATTTGACTTTGTTTTCTCCGCGCGTTTAACTATAAAACGATTAACATATTCATGTATTTATTTCACGGTGAATATCTTCATGGAATACACTGTTCCAATAAAAGGTCGAAATAACAGGGAAAGCGTAACACTAAGCAAATAATTATTATCATCAGAAGATTATTAAACTACTTTTTGAAAATGCTACAAACTAAATTCTCATGTAATATTAAGAACCTGGGGTTATCTGCACTTAAAAGAGGTCATATCAGATACTATACTAAGGGTAACACCAATCATGATATAACATCCTTAGATGATTTAGTTAAATTAGAATCGTTAGATAATGTAGATCCAATTTTAGTACAAAAACTAATAAATGAAAAGACTGCAGAGTTAAATTTGAAAAACGAAATTAGAAGATTGAAAAATATACAAGAACAAAGGGAGAATTCTGTCATATCTAACAGGCCAGTTCGAGTTGGAGACTTTAAGAGAGCAGGTATAATGTTCATGTTAATTTGCTCTTCAGTTTACTTATGCTGGCAGCTATTGTGGTGGAACCTTGCTTATAACTCAAAGGAAATTGAAATGTTGGACACAGTCACCTCACTGGAGAATGAATTACGTGAGCTCATCAGGACAAATAAAACAAAAGAAAAAATTGTGACCAACAATTATGATTCTCAACCTGTAAATAAAAAGCCATGGTATTCTAATTGGTGGAAATAATGCAATACTTTCAATTCAATTCAATTATATTTTATATCTACTTTAAGTATATAGGTCATCATGTATTCATTAAATAATATTATTATTCTTTACATCCTTTGTATAGCTACACATAAAGATTTAACATATTCACATGTTTGGTACAAATAGAAAAGTGTCCAAAAAACAAAGGTTGAGGAGTCTGTTACTTTTTTCATTCAAATTTACTAGATTTGGATAATACACATTCTCCAGGGTTCGTAGGGATTGCATATATTAAAAATAAGCCGTCATTCCCTATAACATATATCTCTTTTGGATACTCATTTGGAAATCCTATGCAATATTTTGCATTTTCTTCTACTTTTATATGAACAAAATCACGACTAATACTTTTATTCGATATGGAAGCTTTAATCTTTTTCGACAAGAAGTTGGCAAATTGCTTTGGTCTTTCAGTCGAGTTTTTTATTCCTGAAGAAAGGCTTGATGTACTTATATCATTGTTTTCTTGTTCTACATGAGCAGGAGTGACATTATCTTGCACTGATATATCATTATCCATGCTTGTTTGCGTGAGCGAGAATAAATGAATCGTATCTGTATCACCAACACACCCGACTAAGGTCGATGTTTTATTGAATATTAGTTGATATATGTTTGAAGGTCTTGTTCCTCTTCTGAATTCATATTGCAGTTGTTTGCCAGAACTGAAATCCACATCGATACCAGTACTGAATACTCTAACGATAGTTCCTTTTTCTGAAGCTGTGGCCAAAAGTTTCCCATCATTGTTTATAGCTAAACATGATATATTCCCTTTATGGACGTTATTAATATAGTTTATCGGCTTGATATTTAATGCATCATATACCACTATATCATTTATTAAGTAAGAACCAGATTTACTATTGGACATACTAAAAGACGTATAACACAATATACTTCTGTCGTCATTACTCAGAACGATTCGAGGGCGAATCTTACTTGTCAGGGAGTTTCTTCTCTTTTTTGAATAATCATTTACTTGAAGCTGTGTGACATTCCGTTGTGAGTCGTCTGTAGAGTCAGTTGTACCATTTGTCGTACTTAACTTTGGGTTCTCCCAAAGATCGATAGTCTCCAATGGTTTCATACACGATATATCATAAATAATTATTTGATCATTTTCTAAGAGGATGCACATTCTCTTTCTATTCATTGCAACATCTACAATTTCATGAGGGAATACAAGCTCGCATATTATTGATTTTCGTTTAGTATTAACAATCTTTAATCTTTTACTTTTTATGGGACCTTGGTTCCTATCACAAATGGCCACTAGACTAGTAGAAAACAACATTTCCACTACAAATGAATCATCATTAGTAATTGATTGATTGATATTGTTTTGTTTGATGTGATCAATTGCATTTCCCTCATCATCACCAGTCCCTCCAAGCGTCATATTATTAGAATTACTTTCTCCACTAGTATTTTCTGTATTATTGTTGTTATCATTTCTCGTATTAAATTCAAAACATTTCCCAAATGGGTCACAATTGTATATGTTCACCATGTTGTCAGATGGCGATACTACACAACAAGTAGCATCCTGATTAAACTGTAATATTTTCATATCTATTGGTACTGGTTGTTTGTAAATGGATAACCAATTAACTATTTATAATTTCTGATTGTCTGACTAATTAGAAACTCTAAATTACACCAAAGTTTGTATTCAGATATAACTAGTCGACGATTAAGATTGTATTACTGTTTCATTTGTTAATTCTTCTTTAGGTTTTTGTTTCCTCACCCTTTTTTTTTTCGTCATTATTTTTTTAAATTTTAATATTGTATGGCGTTGCTATTATATAATTTAAGATGAGAGATTTTAACAGAGATCTTAACATTGGCACAAGGTCGTCCAAATATTCTGTATAACTAAATAACCTATTCATATGTATATACGTAGTAAAGTATACAACTATTCTAAAGAGTAAACTCTCTTTAAGAGATGCTAGCGATATCAATATTCAAGGGAAATCTTCGTATTCTTTGGTGCAGTTGCGTTTGAGTTTGAATGGTTATGAGATGTTTCCCCTTCATTTCCGTGGTTGTGATCATCAGTTCCTGGTTGTTTAGCATTACTGCTACTCTCTACATCATCCACAGGTATAGACCATTCGTCGATTTCGAACCTCTTCCTACCATTTCTGAAAGCCCATTCAGACTTCTTGACTTGCATCTCACCACGTTCACTGAATACAGGTAACTTGAGAACATGTAATAAACCGTGCTGTACCTTATTAGGTTGTGATTTATATATACGTTCTAAGAATTGCAACATATCTTGTGGGAATGGCTCCAAATCAACTACTGCATCAAAGAGATTCTCCAATTGGATACGTAACAATTTATTCAAAATGTCAGTCGAGACTGTAGCGAATAGAACACATCTATCCTCGTGAACTTTAACTATGCTTCTTAGACCATGAATCAGAGAGATAGATTTTGACAGTGAGAAATAATCAGCTTGATACATTGCTGGATGCAAGAAAGACGGAATAATAATTCTGACCAATTTATTGTTTTGTCTCTTAATTATTTGTTCAACCTGGGTCAATATTGTACTAATAGGGAGATTTGGAGAAATAAAAGATATTTCCGAGTTACTTGGAGCTGGCATGATTCTAGATGTTATATCAAATTGATGGTTATAATCCTTGTATTCATCATTAATTTCTTTTGTATTTGTACTTTTCTTTGCATTCAATTTTTCTTTCTCTTCATCTGCTAACTTGTATTTCCAAGCAATCTTAAAATCTTTATATCTAGATGGTGTACTTGTGTTTTCAGCTAAATTCTGAATTGACAATTTAGATTGTTCATCAGATATTTTAGACTTCTTAATATCCTTCTTAGAACCCTTGTAAAGGCCAGGCAATTCCTTTGCAAACATCTGATAGAAGGATAACACAATCAAATGGGTATTACCATTATCATTGCTACCACCAGTAGTCTTACCACCACTGGCTAGTCTATTATAAACAATCCCTTGTGCAGCAAATATCTTCGCCAAAATGGAATTAAATTCAGTGGTTCCTTCTTCTTCAACTAACATCGAATGCCCTAATGGGAGCCCCATGTGGGTCAGGACTTTATCCAAATCCTCACAACCTGTAGATGTAACAAATGTCCCACTTAAAGGAGATGGTCTAATACCAGGATGATTCAGCAACACACTATTCTCCTCATCTCTAACTGTTCCCATTTCACTATGTGGTGCGGTAGAGCCAGGTGCTATAGTCGTAGGTCCGCCAGACACCCTCATATTCTGCATCCTACCAGTCAGTGTACGTGATTGTTGAGGACTGGATATAGGCCCTCTATTAGGTAAAGTTCTATTTGCATTGTTCATACCAGCAGGCGTTCTACCTGGGATACCTTCTGATCCACCACGACCATTATTCAATACTTCACCCCGCTTTCTAAATGACATCGTTGATCTTTTAGTATATTTAAGGGTAGGTCCACAGGTGCAATAAATAAAATGAATACACTCCCTAAACGATACAAATATCCAAACACAAATAATACATATACAATGTTCCTACTCAACAAGACCATTAAGTATTTACATCTTACATTGCTTATAAATACTGAAATTACTCAAATGCGATGCCCTCCTCCTCCATTATCAATTTTGCTAATCCGCCGCCGCACACAAAATTTATTCGAAAATTTGAAAAATTTCAGGAATTTTTCACTCATCGAATAAATTCGGACTGCATAGATTTTGTATGGAGGGAAATAGTTTGATACTTCGATAATGGTATTGTTCGGAAGGAATATAAATGGAAATACGAAGTGTTATAAAGGGCGTTTATTTTTAATATATAGTCAACGTTGTCAAATTGCCCTATTACAATAATCTAGGTGTTCTGTGTTTTTTCTTTTTCTTTTATTACTATCTGTTAATTATGTACTTTGAATTGGCATTACAAGCTGAATCATCATCGTTCGCTCTCTGAAAAATTATGAAATAGGCAAAAGGGAATAATATAATGCCCGCCTTTATTTATTTTATTCATTATATTTAATTAGTAAAGTTCGACCATATTGGGATAGTCATATGGTAAATAATACAAGAATGAACTCAGGGCGGTCTCTTTTCTGAACCTGTACATATATATTTAATTTTTGTTCGTTTCTTTAAAGTGAGTTCATTACCATGATCAATGTATATAGTACCACTCGGATCGCAAAATTACATGTATTTCCTTCTTCAACATTGTTGTTAAAATCTGAGTCGAGAATACTTGCGAAATATGCACAAAGCAGTAGCAATGTTCTAACAAAGAAGTTTTCCAAGGTATTTTATTCCCAACAGGCGAACCAAGGGGAGTCTCGTAACGATAAGGAAAAATCAAGTCGATCAAAGAAGTTTTTTGTTAGAGTAGGCTTTGGTCTATTAATTCCCTATACTTGCTATGCAGTATTTGTCTCTCTATCAGCATTTAGGGAAATTGGAATCAGGAATAACTTATTGGCAGATGTCGAGAAAGATGATAACAGGAATTTCGAAGGTACTTTATTGAAATATTCGCCATTACAAGTATTAGGACGTTATGAAAATCCGTTCCCTGAATATAGAATTCAAACCGTTTATGAATTTTTTTTCAATAGAGTGGTTGAGTTGTTTGAACGTAATAGAGGTGGGATTCCTCCTGATCCAAGACAAATGGAGAAGTTGATGCCCGTTCATAAGCCAGTTTGGCCCTCTGAGATAGAAGATACCACTGATTTATTAATTGACTATAAGATAGTACATAGAGATTCGGCAGATTTCCATGACGGGCGGAATGTCAACTTGACAGGTCCCTATGAGCCAGAAAATATCCCAATATATAATACATGGCTTGGTCAATCTTGTAATTATGTTATGTACAACGGATTGAAAATTATAACAGATCCGATCTTTAGCGAATATCTACTTAGGGAGAATATAGGCCCCAAGAGAATTACAGGTAGACCTGCTCTAATTACAGAAGTTCCTGAGCCTGATATCATATTGATATCGCATAATCATCCTGATCATCTCGATATGATGAGTCTGGATCACTGGGCTACATCAAACACATTATGGATAGTACCGAAGGGCATGGGGAAATTTATGAGGAATCATAATGTGAAAAATGTTATTGAATTGTCATGGTGGGATAAATGTGAGTTAATTAAAAACAATCAAAATTATGAAGTGGCTTGTACGCCTGCAATGCATTGGTCAGGAAGGTATGTATATGATACAAACCAATCGTTATGGTGTACATTTATGTTTTCTCATAATGATAGACCGATCATGTTCCATGGCGGTGACACAGGTTATGTGAATGATTTGTTTAAGAGAATTGGAGAAAGGTATGGTCGCGGTGTCAGGTTGGCATTATTACCTTGCGGGCAATATTGTCCTGAATGGCATCAGAGACCAAGACACATAAACCCCAATGAGGTGATCAAGATAATGAATGATTTGAAAGCAAGAAATGTGTTAGGTGTACATTGGGGGACTTTTTTGTTAAGTGGTGAATATTTTCTTGAACCAAAGGAAAAATTGGAACAATTGGCTGTATTTGCTGGCATTAGGGATAATTGTTATTGTCCAGAACTGGGTGAAACCATTAAATTTGAATAAATGATTGAGACTGTTAATGTACTCTCATATATGCGTAATAGTTTATTTATTTTCTTGTAAATACGAATATGTATAATGATTTTTTATATACAGATAAAACAGGGAGAGAACTAAAATAATGATTGATATCATCCAAGATATAAGTTCTTACCTGGTTCTTCAGTGGAAAGTAGTTTATCCACAACATTTAATTTGCTTCGCTATTTTTTTTGGAAGGTATATATTGGATATTGTATGGTTTCAACACATCTTGTTCTACAAATGCAGGGCTCTTAACCACTAGATCAACGCCACTCACACTTTTAGGGAAAGCCAGGACGTCTCTTATACTCTCCCTGCCAAATAACATGGCACACATTCTCTCAAACCCAATAGCGAAACCTGCATGAGGCGGAGCACCCATAGCCAGTGCCTCTAATAAATGACCAAATAATTCTTTGGCGTTAGAAATTTTCAAGATATTTTCGAATATAAAATCTTGCAATTCAGGATCGTGCACTCTGGTTGACCCACCACCTAATTCAACACCATTCATTACAAAGTCGTAGTGTTGACCCCTAACCTGTAAAGGATGCTCTCTCAGATTGTCATAATCGTCAAGTTTGACCATAGTGAATGGATGATGGGTAGAACATAGTTTATTCTCGTATTCAGGGTAGTTTGTCATTTTCTTATTTTCTGAGACAACAGGTGAGAATAAAGGAAAATCAACAACCCAAGTGGCAACATCATTTTTAGTTTCGTAGAATAGTTCTTGACCCTTTGGTGTATTAAGTATTAGCTGACGTAATCTACCTAAAGGCGTTGGATTTTCAAATATAGATGAATCTGACTCACGAGACGATCCAAATATAACATCACCTTTTTGTAATCTTAGAGACTTATTTAACAGTATTGGATTTTCAAACGTTGCAACTTCGGAAAATGAGTTGAACCAATTTGTTTGATCTGCATCAGACAAAATTGGAACACCGATCGGTACTCTATTTGAATAATCATCCTTCTGTAATAACCTAGCCCAGTGGTTGTTATAATCTTCTTTTGACTTCACAGCGTTTCTAATAATGATTACTTCAAAAATTGGGAAGTCTAAATTTTGATAACTATGGATATTAAACTCCCGCAAGCTCATAATTTTTAAATTTGGTGCTCTTAAATCAGGTTTGTCAATACCGTATTTGGTCATTGCTTCTTTGTACGTCATCCGATAAATATCGCTTCCTGAATTCACGTCTTTCAACTTGCCAGAATTATTTAGTGTCATCAACTGTTTATTTGAGAGAGGAGCAAATTTGGACCATGTTTCACAAATCAGATTCTGGATCAAGTACATAATATCTTCACCATTAGCAAATCCCATTTCGAGATCTAATTGCGTAAATTCTGGTTGTCTATCTTTCCTCATATCTTCATCTCTAAAACATCTTGCTAATTGAAAATAACGGGTAACTCCTCCTGCGATCAACATTTGTTTATATTGCTGGGGGCTCTGAGTCAAGGCATAGAATTTTCCTGACCTGGTTGGTACCAAAAACTCCCTTGCACCTTCGGGTGTAGGCTTGAACAAGGTTGGAGTTTCAATTTCTACGAAATTTTCCTTATCTAATAAATTTCTAAGAAGTTTAGATACTTCATTCTTTCGTTTTAGTAATAATTGTTGACTTGGTAATCTCAATTGTAAGACTCTATATTCTGGAGGATATATACCGGACAATTTTTGATCCTTCAGTTGAGCAGGTTTTTCATTAGATGAATTAAGGACATTTATATCACTTAATTTAATCTCATATTCTTTAACATTACCATTGCTAGATGCGGCTTTTCTCTTAGCTGAAAGCTTCCCTCTTATTTGTACAACATCCTCAACGTTTCTATACTTTAATAGAGACTCTGAATCAACAAGTTGAATAGTATCACCATTAGTATCACGTAGCGTAGCAAATATTAAATTTTTTCCAATTTTCTTTGGTTTCTTTTCCAACCAGCCATTGATTACAATGTTTGAATTCTCAAAACTGTTCGCATTATTGGTAATTTGTTCAACTGTGTGGGTGTTTTTATCGAATATAAACTTAGTCTTGGTTAATTCTTTATTTGGAAACACGAATGACCCTGAGTGCTGTAATGATTGGATAGACGTATGAAAATTCCTCCCGCTTCGAAGCAATCTTGAATAAGACAACATATTATAGTTAATTGGAATTTATAATGCACCACTTTGGAAAATTGTTGGTCTTTAGACTCTTAGAATATACTTACAATATGCTCCCAACCGTTCTTTCATTCATAATTTATCGGTGCTTTATTTATTATTGCATTTGACTTCATTATGTAAATTGCAATTTTTCCGTATATATTAGCAAAGGAAATAAGGGGGCGTCGCTTTATAATAAGATATATATATAATAATAATAACTCACTCTCGAAGTGAAATATATATATAATTATTAATATAATGTAAAGTTTAACTAAATTATAACATTATATATTTTGTTGAACAGTAACCAACAAGAACGTATTAAAAATTGGCTGTTATAATTAGCAAGGTACAACTATAATAAAGGTACAAAATGAGTTTCCCTGTCGGTATAGATTTTGGTAATATGCATTCTGTCATTGCAGTTGCAAGAAATAATGGTGTAGATGTATTGATCAACGACGTCTCAAACCGTAGTACACCTTCAATTGTGGGGTTTGGAGAAAAACAAAGATATATTGGTGAAGATGGTAAGACTAAGCAGATTTCTAACGTATTGAATACCGTGGATAATTTGCAAACATTACTTGCTTTAAGATTTAATACTCCAGATTTCGATCGTGAGAAAAAGTACATGAATGAAACACTTATTAAGTTTCCTAATGATTTTGTAGGTGTAGAAGTGAATTATGCAGGGAGATTACAACAATTTTCATCAACTCAATTGGTTGCTACGTATTTAAATCATTTGAAAATAATGGCCTTAAATGATATAAAATCAGAGATTAAGGATGTTTGCATTTCCATTCCAGTATGGTATAACGAAGAAAGAAGAGTAGCCTTAATGGATGCATGTAAGATTGCAGGATTAGCTGAGGTTACGTTGGTTGATTGCTTAACAGCTGCCGCTGTGTTTTATGGGTTGACAAAGCCAGATCTACCTGAATTGAAACAAAAGGCAAAAGTTGTCGGTTTCGTTGATAGTGGTCACACTACAACAAGTTTTGCGATAGCTTCCTTCCATCAGGGTAAGGTGAAGATTTTGAGTTCGGATTTCGTAAAAGGTTTAGGAGGTAGAGATTTTGATAGAGCTATTACTGAATATGTAGCGGACCTCTTTATCGAAAAATATAAAATTGACATAAGACAAAATAAAAAGGCCTACTTCAGAGTAATGACTCAAGCAGAAAAATTGAAAAAGGTTTTATCAGTCAACAAATCAGGACAATTAAATATTGAATGTCTGATGAATGACATTGATGTCAGCACGGAGTTAACAAGGGAGAAATTCGAAGAACTGATCACACCAATTGTGGTCAAAAAGTTGGAGCAATGCATTGCTTTAACTTTCAAAAGAGCCCGTGTAGAAAGTTTAGATTCTATTGAATTATTAGGTGGTAGTACTCGTATTCCACTTGTCAAAAACTTGATTGAAGAAAGAACCGGGATTAAGCTATCTTCTACATTAAATCAAGATGAAGCTGCCGTCAAAGGTGCTGCATTGATTGCGGCCAAATATTCATCCACAATAGCTTTAAAGCCAATTAAGTTTAAAAATGTTTTAGCCCAAAATATATCTCTTTATTGGGATAAACCTGTCCCTGGAAGACATAATTCTGTGGAGTTGTTCTCTAAAGTTACACATTATCCCGTTATTAAATCTATTTTCATCGAGGTATCTTCTGATTTTATACTTGCAGCCCATAATGGGAAAAGGCATAATGTGAAGGAAAGTATTTCAGAGATTAATCATAATTTACTGGGATCGTGGAAAATCAGTGGTATTGATCCAAAAAAACATATGGCTAAAAAATCCGAAAAGATTCATGTGGAGTTAATTGTGTCATGTGATGTTTCTAAATTTGTCCATGTCGAAGATGTCTATGTAACTGTAAAGGATTCCAGTAAATCTGATGGTAAAGAAAACGGTCTCCCCAATTATAGGAGAATCGAGCATTTAAATGTCGAAACATTGCCGATTTCTCCTAACCATGCCAACCTTACCAAATGGTCTCAACTTGAAACAGTAATGGTTAAACAAGACCAGCTAGTAAAAGACACTGAAGAAACAAAGAATGAACTTGAATCATCGATATATTCTTTGCGTTCAAAAGTTGAAGGTGTATATTCTGATCTTCTAGATTCTAAAGAAAAACAATATATCTTAAAGTTGGTCGATAACACAGAAAACTGGCTATATGATGACGGTGAAGATGCGACAATAGAAGAATATAACTCAAAATACCAAAAAATTAAGCAGATTATGAACGAAATAAACACAAGGCAATGAATATACGCTATAAGAATATATGAATATGTATTTGTAAGTTTATATGTGATATATAAATATATATATATTTACAAGAACTTTTTACAACTTTTTATTTTTATTGGCATATTCCTCCTCCTGTTTTATTAGTTGAGCAAGTAGAGGATTTGCCTTTCTACGTTTTATTTTATTTTCTTTTGCTAATAGATGTTTTTTTCTTTCGAATTCTGCAAATGCCTTTATATGTACCGGTACTTCATCCCAACCGTCATCCTCATTTTCAAGGAGATCTTTTGTAGAGGTTGATGAATGTAATTGTTGATTTTTAGCTTTAGCCTCTAAAACAGCTTTAGGTAATGGTCCTTCTCTCTTTGGGAACAATGATCTTACTTCAGCTATCGATTTCAGTCTCTTTGTTTCTACTTTTTTATCTAGCATATGTTTCTGGTGTCTTAATGTTTCTGGTACATTTTTCACTGGGATTGCAGTTAAAGGAGGATTCCAATCCGCAGGCCAAATTTCGTTAGTCATGGCGATATCTTCCGCTGCTAATTTTCTTTGTTTGTTCCAATACCTGACATCATCGTTATACATCTCCCAAACGCAGTTAACACACCCTGACATACAGCAGTTATCAGGTTCTTCAGGTTTCATCGGAACATCGACACCAGCGATCTTTTTACTTTGTCCCACTATTATTCTACTTGTTGATCTTGGAGGTTGACCCTTTAATCTTCCACCAAACACAGAGCTCATTCGTTCCTCTTCTGTTTTCGCTATTCCTATTGAGTTTCCTTCAAATAACATAGCTTGTTTTGTGGAATTATGGATCAATCTAGAGGGGATGGAGACGATAAGTGGATTTCGACATAGTTTTGCTATCCGACTATGCATTATATTCAGCATCGTAACGTGTAATCTCTTATACTATTATTAATTTATAAATATGTTTGACTAGTGTTTTACTATTGTAGACAGATATATTTTGGTCACAAGTAAGTTACAGCCTACAGATGATGCATTTATATTATACTTTGATCGTTTCTCCTCTTTTGTTTTATATAAATGTATATGGGTGCATTCCTTTGGTAATTAGAGCTGCCTGCATTACCATGCATGTCCTTGACAGAATTTTGTCGGTCAAAGCGGAGGCAGTTGCAATATATATATAGCGAGAGTCAAGCAATGTGAAAAAGTTGAACTGAGATGAGATGAGCTTGAAATAAAATCCGTTAAGATCAGATCTTACTAATTTGTACGTAACAAGGTCGATGATTGAGATTACTTCGTTTGTTCTCTTTCTCTGACTACCTTTAATTATTGTGTCGTTTATTATTATTATTATTATTATTATTATTATTATAAATTCATGGATTGAATGGTCTCAATTAGATCCATTCTTTATAAAAGTTGAACATTTCTCCATTACATACTTGAGTTCATCAATTTCTCTTTTCATCTTCTTCTCGCTGTATTTTATTGTCTTATACTTTTGTTGAATTTCATTACAAGCTTTCAAGCATAGAGAATAATCACGATTATAATACCATCGATGTATGAATCCCATTAGTAATAATCTATTATGTTTTACTTCTAGATCTAATGTATCCAAGGAGGATTGGAACTTTTCATTAGATGCCAACCAACCTATTGGAGTCACTGTGGGGCCTTTCTCTACGTCATAGAAATGTTGCAATTGTTCTTCATATTGTTCTAGTGATTGACCTTTTCTAATACGTTGTTTCCCTGTAAATTTTTTCACTATCACTTCCCCAGTATTCGAATCCACTGTAATCGGTTTTGTCATAGATTGGTTCGGTATACCACTTTTACCTTTCAATACTACTTCATCTGAGGATTTATTTTGAGTAGATACTTCAGATATTTTTAGATCTTTAAACCCCGCTAATTCCTGTGACATTTCAACGGTCTATCCACAATATTTCCAAGTAAATCTATGCAACGTGGAAATAGCAACTGAAATATTGTACAAAACGATACAATATAGCCTAAGACTCTTTCAAATATTCATTTATATTAAACCGATGAGCTCTTCTCTCACTAAACAAATTCTGTTTTTTTCTTTTCCATTTTTCGTTCTTTCGACTGCTTACAAGATTTCGTTACCCTCACCAACAGTTCAGTTTTTGTTTTTCTGAAAATGATTCGCAACAACAACGCGAGGTACGCTTTCCTAATACGGTAAACGCGGACTGCACAGCAACCGTCGTACAAACAAAATAAATACGATGATGATGATACGATTTGATAGGCAAAAGTGGCGAGAGTGAGAGAGAAAAATGAAGACTGGAGAGGCCACATTCTGATTATAGGAATAATTTGATATTTGGAGAACTGAAATGACCAGTCACCACAGGAAAGAAAATGTAGAGTTAGATCAAATTAACTAAGTTGCTTTAATGAAAAAATAGGAACAAACAGTTGAATACTACTATTTCTTTTTTGTCTAGGTGTGAGGTTACTAACAGTTTGTTCTTTGGCCTAGTACTTTTTGTTTGTTCGTTTATTCAAAGCTATATACGACTCTAAAGATAACAATAATAATAATCATAATAGTTGTAGTAGTAACACCATATCAGCACTATTACTAAGAATCGGTGTTTTTTGGTTATCGTGAATTATACATTTCCCTTTTTTTTCCTCTTCTTTTCATTATACTTTACTTTCTTCTTATAGAAGTCATTTGCATTTATCATTACATCAACACAAAATAATAATTACTATATTTATACAATGGGTAACTATTTCAGTTCTATGTTCGATAGATTATGGGGTGCTAACAAAGAGTTGCGTATCCTGATCCTAGGTCTAGATGGTGCCGGGAAAACTACCATCCTGTACAGATTACAGATTGGAGAAGTCGTCACCACGAAACCTACCATTGGTTTCAATGTCGAGACGTTGAGTTATAAGAATTTGAAATTGAACGTATGGGATCTTGGTGGTCAGACGTCCATTAGACCATACTGGCGTTGTTATTATGCAGACACTGCAGCAGTAATATTTGTAGTGGATTCTACAGATAAAGATCGTATGAGTACTGCATCACAGGAATTACATTTGATGTTACAAGAGGAGGAATTACAGGACGCTGCATTGTTGGTGTTTGCTAATAAGCAGGACCAACCTGGTGCATTGAGTGCCTCTGAAGTTTCGAAAGAATTGAATCTAGTGGAATTGAAGGATAGAAGTTGGTCAATAGTTGCATCGAGTGCTATAAAAGGTGAAGGTATCACCGAAGGTTTAGATTGGTTGATCGATGTTATTAAGGATGAACAACTTTAAGAAAGTTACTCATATATACATATATGTATATATGTATATGCCCTTTATACATGCAACATAAATCGTAATATATAAATAAAAGAAATTTGATGCAAGAAGGAATATCATATTATATAATGCGTGTTTAAAAACATTTATGGAATTTAAGATCACAACTAGCTTTAACTAATCAAAATGAAATTGGGTTATGCAAGAGATAGAGCATATGGTATATTGCACGTATATTATTTATATTATTTATATTATTTATATTATTTATATTATTTATATTATTTATATTATTTATATTATTTATATTATTTTTTGTTAATTATTCTGTACTCTCTGTATTTAGTTCCATCTCTTTAACTGCAGAACCGACTTGCAAAAAAAAAATAAGGGTCCATAAATTATTTTATAACTTTTTGATACACCTCTCTCTACTTTTAAATAAATATTACAAAATTCATATAAATTAAACAGATCCAAAGGAAGACATCGGGAATGGGATGATATTATTACCAATATATGTATTATGAAGATGTTTGTACCGTTTACAATACGTTCATTTAAACACAATTTATCATCTAAATTATTACGGTTATCGTTTAAAAGATATTATTCACCTCTGGTAAGATCATCAAACGCACATTTCCAATTTATAAATCATAGGGTACCGTTCTATTTATTAGGAACTGTAGCTATATCTACTTCATTATATGCGTGGAATTCAAAAATACTAATATCTAATGATCAAAATGATGTTAAATCAGCCAATCGTTTAAAAGGTGACCCTAGAGCAGATACTTACGAGATGGGTTTATATTTAGCATCACAAGAGGAACAGCGAACGAATAGACTCAAGAGGAGAGAGGAAAAATTAAGAAGGACCAAATCAACGTTATATAGATTGGCTTTACAATTGTATTTTGTATTTGATGATCATATATGGACTCCAATTTCAATAACATGTCGTTTCCTAGAAATTTCAATTTTCGTTCTACCTATAATCATTTCGTTCCCTGTAGCATTTTTCCTGTCATCATCAATTAATTCCCAAACATGGTGGTTTACTATGATCAGAATGGCGTTGCAATCATTAGGTCCAAGTTTTATTAAATTAGGACAATGGGCTGCCTCTAGAACAGATCTTTTCCCTGATGAATTTTGTCGGATCCTTGGTGATCTACATAGTAAAGGGAAACCACATTCTTTCAAATTTACTGAGCAAAAATTATGTGAATTGTTTCAAGTAAATTCATTGGATGATGTGTTTGAAAATATCAATAGGACACCTGTTGGGGTTGGCGCAATAGCACAAGTATATATAGTTAAGTTCAATGAATCTTTTATAAAATATACTGATGGGAAACAATGGTTTGCATTAAAGATATTACATCCTAATGTAGCGGACAAAATCTCGAAGGATTTGAAAATCATGAAATTTGGAGCAATGTTGATTAATTCTATACCAACAATGGAATGGCTTTCATTACCAGATGAAGTGAGTCAATTTTCAATATTAATGAACTTGCAACTTGATTTAAGGATTGAATCATTAAATTTGAGGAAGTTTAGAGAAAATTTTGCATATTATCCAAGGATAGAATTCCCAGAGCCTTTATTAAAATTTTCAAATACAAATATCTTGTTTGAAGAATATATAGAGGGTTTACCGATGGAGTCATTTTTAGATGTGAAAAACTTGATTTCTAATGTGTCTCTTTCTAAGAAAGTTAGTGATCCCTTTGTTGATGCATTTTTGAAGATGTTGATATTAGATGATTTTATTCATTCTGATTTACATCCAGGAAACGTTTTGATTAAATTTGTTAAAATGGATAACTTCCAAAAGAGAGTAATCTCTACAGATAATGAAAACGCAGATGTCGTAATTGAATTAAAGCAATTATACGATGAAGATAAAGAAAAATACGTGAATTACTTGAAATCGATATTAGCATCGTACACACCACAAATTTATTTTATAGATGCAGGTCTGGTAACAGAATTGAACGATTTAGATAGAGTTAATTTTATAGACCTCTTCAAATCCTTGGTGAAATTTGATGGATATAGAGCTGGTGAATTGATGATTGAAAGGTCAAGAACACCTGAGACTGCGACCAATGGTGAAGAATTTGCTCAAAAAGTTGAAAAATTGGTCTCCACAATAAGGAACCAAACATTCACATTGGGAACAGTTTCAGTAGGAAACTTACTTGATCAAATGCTTTCAATGGTGCGAGTCCATCATGTCAGAATGGAGGCTGACTTTGTATCTGTAGTTGTGGCCATTCTGTTATTGGAGGGTATTGGCAGACAACTGGATCCAAATCTAGATTTATTTGATAGTTCAGTGCCAATACTGAGGGAATATGCAATGACTCGTGAACGTAGCAGTCTATTAAATGGTACTAACACATTCACTATGATGGCATTGTGGTTAGGTTTGGAATTAAGACAATGGATGAACCTGTCTGTTAAACAGATTAAGTACCTCATTAAAACAGACCAATTGTGTCCAAATTATTAATGGAAAAAAGAAACATCATTTCGTTACATATAGATATGTATATAGGTATAAATATTCTTAATTAAAATAAAAAATAGCATTATAGAAGAGTTTCCCCTAAGGCACATCTAGCAATAGCACAACCAGCAGATATGGTGTTAGTGACATGAATATCGTCAACAGCAAGGTTTGGATTACATTCCACAATGTCCAATCCAACCAAATCACCAGTTTCCGCCAATCTTTCAACTAAAAATAAACTTTCTCTTAGAGTTAGACCACCTCTAACTGGGGTGCCTGTAGCAGGAACAAAAAGTGGATCGACAGCATCGACATCATAAGAACACATAACTGGACCATTACCATTTGGGTGAATTGCTTTCAAAGCCATTTCAATGACATTGTTAATTCCGTATTTATCCACATGATACATGGAAAATGCAGCAATACCAAGGTCCTTAATAATTTTCTTTTCAGCTGCATCAACATCTCTTAGGCCTATGTAAGCTATCTTGTTTGGTTTTAAGGTACCTGGGCACCATTTTAATGCTGTTGGCGTATCTTCTGGTTTATTTAATCCCATTAAAAATGATACAGGACAACCATGTAAATTACCTGAATCAGTACTCTCCAAAGTATTGATATCTGCATGAGCATCAATCCATAATAAACCTGCATCAGGATATTTTTCAATGACTGCAGATACAGTACCTATTGCAATAGAATGATCACCACCTAAAGTTAATGGGAAACGATCTTGAGAAAGGACTTCTTTTACACTATCATGAATTTTCTTACTGACTTCACCAACCAAATTTGGTCTCTTTGCATTCTTGTAGAAATCTGTTCCAGTATGTACTTTCAATTTTTCCATAATTTCCATTTCATCAATTGGCGATTCGACCTTGGTATTCCAACCAAGGTCTTTCAAATCATTCTCGAGCCCATTTTTCAAAAAATATCTAGGACCTTTCTCGACACCTCCTTTACCTTGACCACCACAGAATGGTGCACATACAATAGACAATTTTTTGTCTTCGAAATATTTGAAGGTTTGTTTTTCGGTCATTGTTATACTGATGTTTATTATTAAATTTTATTATTGTACACTAAAACTTATGTATATATTTAAGTTGTAGTAAACTATTGGTTCATATTTTAATCATAATAAAAAATTATTGAAGTAGGAGATACTCAAACCGACAACAAATTTTGCAAATACATGGTTGTTTATCTTGTCCTTTATATATCTTTCTTAACCGCTGTCCATTGCACTTAACTGTTCCTAATCAATTCCTTTTATTTCCCCTCTCTGCTTCAACTAATAAAATTGTTAAGAAAACGACGCATTGTTTCGTTATCATCAAGAAAAGAGTCGCTCACTGTCAAATAAACTATTTGTTAATGGCAGTGAATCGCGAATAGCGGAAGGATGCGCAATTTCGTTAAGTGAAAGTGTTGGCGCCGTACGATATCTGAAGACGGAAAGGACAGCAGCGAACGTGACAACAAAGTTGCGTCACAAATTGGAATGATCTGATAGAAGTTTATAACTTTAAACTAGTAGTTTAGTTTAACAGAATTAGAAATTACTTTGTTTTCTTTTATATCGATGTTAACTCTTTTACAAATTTGAAAGTTCAAGAGCATTGAGGTTTACCTACTTTAAATGCCCAAAAATATTATACTCTGTTTTGATGGAACCAAAGAGAATTTCGGTCCACAGCCTTATACAAACGTACTGAAAATATATAGATTACTGGATACAACTAATCAAGTTTGCTATTATCAACCTGGGGTTGGTACTGCCACCACATTTGATTCTATCGATGATCTTCAACGTTATTTGACACTATCGACTTTGAAAAATACTATGGATGCCATGTTTGCGTTCTGTCTCGATGATCACATCACTTCTGTGTACCTCTATTTAATGCATCATTACAAACCTGGTGACAACATATATATGTTTGGATTTTCTCGTGGTGCATTTATTGGAAGAGTTCTTGCAGGAATGATTGAACGGGTCGGCCTACTAAATGAAGGTTTGGATGATATGGTTGGTATGGCATGGAGAATATATGAATCCTGGGAATACGCCGAACAACCAAGTCCTACAAGTTATACGACAACTTTAATTCAAGAATTTAAAATGATTTTTAGTCGTGAATATGAAATCAAAATACATTTCCAAGGGTTTTTTGATTCAGTTAATTCTGTTGGTTTCTTCAGAGAACGATTATTCCCATGTACTCAAAGAAGTAATATTGTACAACATGTTAGACATGCGTTATCTATCGATGAAAGAAGAGGTAAATTTAAACAAGTTTGTTTTACACCAAATCCTTACCAACCTGAAATGTTTTCTTTGCGAAATAAAACACTTAATAAAAAGGAAAATGATATGATATATAGTGTTTATTCTACATTATCAACCAATAGATCACAGGACGGTATAAATAACAACGGTGATGTTATCCAGGAGAAGTTATCACCTGAATGCAAATTGTATAACCCAATTATTGATTATACAATTCATCGATATGTCGGATTAACTAGAGGTTTATCTAGTTGTAAAACTTCTAGTATTGCTGTGTTAGGGGGAAGAATAATTAAACCAAAGACAGATAGAAAGGAATTATTATGTAGCACAAGCGAACGTTTAATAAAAACAGTGGATTCATTTTTAGAATTAACTAACCCATATGCAAACAGCTATACCTACTGTTCGAGAGATAATGTAGAAGGTACATTCAAATTGAATAGAAGTATGTCGTACTCAATGTCAGACATGGCTTCTTTTAACGAAATACCTACTTCAATGACATCAACACAGACACTGACTCCAGATTTACAAGAAAAATGGTTCCCTGGAGACCATTGTGATATTGGCGGTGGATGGACACCAGATTGTAGAAGTCATAATTTTTTATCTAATGTTTCGTTGAGATGGATGATAGCAGAGGCGATTAAAAATGGTGTAAAATTTAAGCCAGGCGTCATTGGGAAGTTTGCCAAAAAATATACTTCTTTAGGATCAATATGTTGTTCTGCTCATGACTACTTAAATTTTGAAACTTGTAAATATTGTAAGACAGGACAAGAACATCATATAAAGCAACAAGAATTGTTAATTAATAATCTTCATACTAACCACAATTTCGTACAATTGCAAAGTGATGATACTTTTGATGTAGTTGACCGGTTGTGGACAACTGAGTCTCCCAAAGATAGTGAAGTTGATAGCTGTTCAAACGTAAGAGTTCATGACGTTTTTAACTCTAATTGTACTCATATCAAGAAATTTTTAAGCTTATTTTGGTGGCTGGTAGAATTATTACCAATAGGATTAAAGATAGAATCTCAGGATGGGAAATGGAGAAACATATATATTCCAAATTTAGGGAGAGGGCGTTGTATTCCTTGCTATGCAGACATGCATTGGTCAGTTTATTGGAGATTGAAATTTCATAGTGATTATCGACCAACAAATTTACCATCTTATGTATACGATATTATGAGCCATAGAAATCTGAGTAATTCTAATAGTATTGTAAGTTTCCAATTAAGATGGGGTTCTTCTAGGTATAGACAAGAAACTACTGATGAAGAAAACGCCACAACCAAATTTTGTAATGTGTCACCGAATAATTCAGACAATATGGTTTTAAGTGATATTGAAAACTTCAATGTTTTGGGAGACATTAATTACCATCGAGCAGTTGAAGAAATTATAACTTGGGAGAACAATAATTGGTTAACAATACCTGATGACCTAAGAATATTACTCGAAGAAGATCCTGAACTTTAGAAACTTTACATATAACAAAATTCAATAAGGGAAATAAGGAAAATTAAGTTTATTTGTGTTTTTTTACTGTGAATAAATAAATATGGAATAAATATACAGAAAGTAATTAAATATTTTTATATAATAATAAATAGAAAAGAAAATAAATAAATAAAAGAGGGAAAAAAAAATTTATCAATACGGTAAAAAGAAATACCTGTAGATAACATTCTTAATATTTTCTATTCATTGTACTCATTTATTTATTGATCTTTTCTTTCTCTCTTTATTTTACTTGTTTTTATTTTTGGCAGGGAATATATATTTATGATTGTTATTTGAATGGGGGAGGGGGGGGAGATGGTAATGGTATGAAATTAAAAGAAGAAGTCAAAACTTTATAACATTATTTTTTTTTATTATTATTCTATTTCATTAACCGACGACAACCTTATCTTCAGCAAATTCGTATTTTGGAATTTCTAAATTCAAAGGAGCTGGACCCTTTCTGATTCTACCTGAGATATCGTAATGAGAACCATGACAAGGACAGAACCAACCACCAAAGTCACCGGATTCACCGATTGGGACACAACCTAAATGAGTACAGATACCTAACATAATTAACCATTCTGGGTTCTGAACTCTATCAGCATCTGTTTGAGGGTCCTTCAAAGCAGACATGTCTACTTCGTTAGCCTCTTGAATCTCATGAGGAGTTCTGTGTCTAATAAACACAGGCTTACCTTGCCATTTAACAACGACATTCTTACCTAGTGGGATATTGGCCAAACTAACTTCAACTTTAGCCATGGCTAAAACATCAGCGGAGGCAGACATGGAAGATAAAAATGTTTCCACGGTAGATTTGGCACCTGCAGAAGATAGTAGACCCATAGAACCGACCATGAAGTAAGAGAATACTCTTGATTTGTCCATGTTTCTATCTTTCTTCAAAACATCGTCAAAGTCAGGTGTACGGTAGGTAGATTTATTTATTAGTTGGGTGGTAGATAATTTAGCACATGTGATGGCTACTGGTTTGGCCAGAGTCCTTACAGTAATTGGTGATCTTATTAGATTCGATAGCATTATGTTTGTGATTAAGGGTGTTTTATTTTTTAAAAAAAAATGTAAGAGTTTATTTTGCAGAAAGAATAAATAAATAAATTCAAATAATATAAAAGGGATATCTTCTCTTTCTTGTATAACCTGAAGTTCAAAATAATCAAAGTTTTAAAAATTCTCCTTTAATGATAAGAAAAAGAGATATGTTTTATAGTTTCCTGTTTACTATAACCGAATAAGATAGCAACTAAGGAAGAAGACCAGTAATCGTATGGTATCTGTAAAATTAGAGTATCTATATATATATGCATATCTGTTTGTATGCATTATTTGAAAGTCCATGGTATCACCGAAAAATGCAGTTCAAAGGGGAGAAAATTGTCAGCCGAAGATTTTTCATTGAAAAAAATGAATTTTCGGGTCATGTGACCAGAATCGTTTTGTGCAATATAGTGTGGTGTGTGGGTTGGAGGGCAGACTCTGTTCTGATTGGTTGATGCAGGGGTGGGCGGGTTGTTTCCCAATGTGACAACATGATAGAAACGAGGCAAAAAATCGCAAAGGAAGGATGTTGATTCTAAAAGGAACGTGAAGTTTATGAAAATATATATATAAATATATAAATATATATATTAAGTATGATGAAGTTTATATTTTGAATTGTCGAATAACTTTAAGGTCAAGGTTAGGTATTTTGCAAAGTTAACTATAGTTAATTTGAGTTCAGGAGTATTTATATGTTGTCTCTCTTAGTTTGCTAGCAATGTATGATATGTGTGTCTCTAATATAGTGAGAGGATTAATGTCTTTTGGTTCGATAAGATGTTAATATGTGTGGTTTGCTGACTCGTACATAGATCATCTAACCTCTAATACATGGCGGCCCGAGGAAAAAAGGTAGAAGGCAAAAAATAAAATATTATAATCTGGAAGAGATGGGATGGGATGAGATGAGATCAATAGGCAAATGACTTTTTAAAGAATGGGAGAGAGAGAACCGATGGGTTACTCACTTATATCTGTTAAACGATTAAACACATCGATTTTTGTGAAAAGGTATCTTATGGTAATGATATGCAGAGTGTTAGGAAGCCATTCAAAATCAAAAAGATAGAGAATAGTTATTTAGAGGAAACGTTCCAAGAATCAATAGGTGTGACTTCAACTTCCAATGATAGTGAATCAAACCAGAATTTAATACTAGGCAAACATTCATTAAATGATAAAATTATATCAACGAGGACATTAGATACGGTGCAATGTTTCGATAAAGATACGTTTGTTGTTGTGGAAGATAGATGTCTCAGAGGGATCCGTTTGATGGGTTCATGCAATGTGGAAATATTTGATCAAATACTTTTAGATGATAAAGTGTTATGTTGTGTTGAATCAGAATCTAAATATGGTAAAATTTGTATTTTAACGGATAATAATATGATTCATTTGATTGATGTGATAAAAATCAAAGAATCTAAGAAATTGAAATTGAAATTTACAAAACATATTGATATTGGTATCGAATTAAAGGTTGAAGAACTTCATTTGTTTATGGCACCAGCTAATGACATATTATACATGATTAACAAATCCATGGTTAAGCTTTTTCAAATAGATATTAAAAAAGGTCAAGTGAACACAATCCAATTCAGGTTAAATATGATTTATCAATTAATAAATTTTACATCATATGATTCCATAAATAATGCATCAAGCCTACTTTTATTTCATATAGATAAATTGACAAAGATATTACACCTTGAAATTGTTCAAATAAATAATAATAACAATGGAACAATGACAGAATTGTTCAGAAAGAAAACTTTTAAGATCGATGAAGTTAAAAATGATCTTATCTGGATAAAAACAATTAACTCTCAATGTATTGTCATATTGACGCTTAATTATGTTACAATAATATCAGGTCCACAGTTCTCTGTAAAGAGATGGAAAAATAGCTCTATTTCAAAGAAATATTTGCAACAATCATTCGATTTTAAAAATTTATACGTGGAAAGAACGGGCGAATCATTTTACTTACAATTAACAAATTCTAAATTGAATATTTTAAGCGTAATTTTGAAGGAAAATGAAAATTATATTGAATGGATATTTATGCCTAATAAATATTTCAAGCAACACAGTATTTTGGTTTTTCATTTAAATCACGATATTATATATTTGAGAGACATTACAGATAAGGTTAATATAATTGAATCCAAAGAAGACCAACCCATAAAATATTACAATATTTTGAATAAAGTTGTATTGAAGAAAATTAAATATGAAAATATTAGCTATAAATGTGGGTTCGTTAAGTCTAATACAGGTTCAATTGTACAGGACTTTGTTTTTGGAGGTGTTAATTTGAGTAATAACAAGCCGTTCATAGAAGAAACCAATATGCAAATAAGATATGAGATTAAGAAAATAGGAACCTTTTCAAATGAGGCAGGTATAGTTAATAAACTTGTAATGCACAAAGGAACATTAAGGATATTGTGTAATGATAGATTGTATGGTATGGATCAAAACAAAAATATTACATTTGTTAATTCGTTGGATTTAACTAGATCTCATTTATCTAATACAGGCAATGTCATTAATTATAACAACGAGGATGTAATGTATTGTACAGATGTTATTTCCTATGAGGAACACTCTCAGTTCGACGATAACCTACTACAAATTGATATTGATGGTAAAATAACGATAACAAAATACGGTGGCGGACAAGAAGAAAGTCTTATTCTATTTAAATTTGAACATAAAATAAATCTGCGCAGAAATGTAAAAGTCACAGCAATAATTACCAAAACTTCAGATGTGTTCCTACTGATATATGAGAACGAAATATTAAACCTCTATTGTAATAGTGTAATTGTCGCCACCTTATTTATCGGTTGCCGACTACTAGATGACCTTTTCATCTTAAAATCAAGTGATAGTCTAGAAAAAGGAATGATAGTGTTATCTTTTAGTGATAGCACTTTGGAATTTTTTGATATGTCTTTGAAACGTACTTATTTCAAATTTTCATTATCTTCAAATGATCCCCTTAAATTAGTGAAAGCGGTAATTAATAATAACATTTTGCTTGTATATCAAAACAAATGTTTGCTATTAATTAACTTTGAGTACTTTCAGGTGACAAAAATCGAGTTAGAAATTGAAATACGAAGCATCATATATGTCGGATTAGATAATAATAAACATGCATTTGTAATAAGTGACAATTCAAATGCACTTTATAAAATTGAATTCAAGAAGACTATGAGCTTTAAGAAACGCATTAAACGACTAGAATTTGCAAAAACTTTTGATGTTCCTGTTAATATACATGAACTTTCATCCATATATTCGACTATTGTAGTTCTTATGTGGAACCATAAAAGGAAATATCTTAATTTATTTGCGTACAATATGGTTAGGCAGTCGATTGTATCTAATATATTTACTATTGCTTCCATTGATGACTCTAAGCCAATTCTTTCCCCGTTAAGTATAGATGATAACTTATGGAACAATTCAAATAATATAATCCCCAGATCTAGTTATATTGTGACTTTTGTTATAAATGGGCAACCACAATATAAGATATTACAACTTGATAAGTCAAAGATGTTATTTAAACAAGTTTTCGGCCAAAGTTTAAAAGTTTCTCCAAATTCTTTGTCAATAAGCACTATAGATAAATCAAAACAATTGGTAACATTTTTTGGCCGTAACATTGAGATTAAAGAACTTAAATATATACAGAAAAATGATGATATATTTTCGGTTCAAACTAAAGACTTAGAACTAATTGAAAGGAAAAATGAGCCATCTATTGTTTATGGATCTGAGAGAAAAGGGTTCATTGAAACACTCAATATGAAAAATATATATGAAAACTTTAATGCTGGCCTATCCGAAGTAGAAAACTGTCGACCTGATTATCCCAGTAGGTCAAATAACATGTTTGGTCGACAATTTCAAAAGGCATTTATTAAGAAAGCTAGGTGTTCTGATATTGAGAATTTCGATTGCGAAATTCAATATAAAAATCCTCATTTAAAATATGACGCATGGCATAATGAGCTCATTTTGTCTCTTACAACAAGTGGAAGGATGACAAGAAATATGGTAACTGCTACAATTGATCAAGACAATATGCTGTCGTTATCAGATAGAAGGAACTTACAGTGTATGAGTTCCCAATTATATACACCTAACGTTAACGTCCAGAATTATTCACAAATTGACGAAATTCTTTCTATCCAGAGTACATTTAGAATTCTTGGAAGCAGTAAGTCAGCGAAACGATTTATGAAAAGGACTTTCACGCCTATGTTTATTGTTCTTGGTTGTAATTCAACAAAGTATATTATTGTACAATGTTGTGATGACATAATGGAAAAAGAAAAAGAAATACTCATAACTACACTAGAATATAATTTTGTTGCAGTCTCCAAAACGCACGGTATGCATACTGAGCATGGTACACATATACCACAAATTCAACAAGTAAGTTTAGTTGATCTTGATTGAAATTAAATAATATTTTATAAATGCAAATTTTTAAAAATAGTTATACATGTATCATCCTATTCTATTTTATATTCTAGTGTACAATGTTACTGGCTAATTGATTTACAATTAACTTTCATGCCATTTACCTAATTTCTTATAGTCTGCATATAGGACTCTAAAGTATTGTCTGCCAGAGTTATCCAATACTCTATTTATCATATTTAACTCGTTTTGAGAGATTAGATCCAAGATTGCATATATCGCAGGAGTTATGCACTTTCTAACTATATCATCAAATGTACTAGAAATGCACAAGTAGATGTATTTTATTAGAAACGCAGGAATATATTTTCTAACAGTTTTCTTGAAAACACTAGTATTTGAACTTAATTTATTGTTATTTCTTGTTCTTGCTGATGAAGCATTTGAAGGCTCACAGTAATTTACGACCACTCTTGAGAACGCAGTTGCTGACTCGGCTGAAAGGCCATATTTCTTACTATTGCAAATCAACTCCAAATACTCACAAAGTAGACTGTTAACTAGATTATTACGATTCGATACCTTGATCCTACTGAAATTTAGAATATTTGAAATTATCTTGGTGCATGCAATGAATATCATATCCTTATGAGACTTGTTAATTCTATTTAATAAATTAACTTTTAAGCAGAACGGAAATAAAATTTCAATACCATATTGGGAGAAAATCCAAGATTTTGATACTTGGAGTTCACAAATGAGGTTACAAACTTCTAAAATATCTTGCGGATTTTCTTCAAAATGTGTTATATTAGTAAACACTTCCGAAATAAATTTGACAAATAATTTAGGACCTATGATATTTTCCTTATTGATGTGCATCATTTGTACTTGTAATAGTTCTAAGATAGCACGGTATATTTTATTGGTCGTTTCATCCTTCAATGAAACTATAGTAGATATTAAGGCATTGTTGAATCCATTTTCGTCTGTAAGACTTTTCCTAGTTACAATGTTTTCGATTGCTGGAAGTAATTCAGTTTTGGAAATACCATTGTCCCTCAGTATCAAATATTGTGAAAATATAATTTCCAGTCTTTCGTCAAAAGAAAATGTGTACAGTAAAAACAAAGGAAGAGAAGAAGTAGTCATTTGTTGCATAGATATTTGAGAATGTTTCATTGTCTCTCTAATAAAAGAAGAAATTCTTGTTGAAGTTTCCTTTGAAATATCTGTATCCTTTAACGCATAATATAATTTATTAGCAACCAATGATAAGTGAAAATCATCGTTCTTGGCATTAAACTTCGAGATCCACTCAGTAGATTTATCAATAAACAGGTTAACTAAGGAGTCACGATCATTTATATTTGTGCATTGTATAAACAAAACAGCCATCGTAAAGTAAGCTTCGATAAAGCGTTCGTTATTAATACCATTCATAATTTTGTTTTTCAACAACTGAAGGAAATCTCTACTGATGCTTTCTTTAGATTGCGAAATGTGGTTTCTCAACACTTTCTCAAAAATTAAATTTGCTTCAGACTCAACGTTTGTTGTCGCTAGTTTAGGACATTCCATGATTTTTAAGAGGGTATCAAAATGGTTCTCTATTTGACTTTTAAAAGTAGGGCTCGATAATAAATGGTCTAATAATCTCAAATCTATGTCACGTATCATATTTTTATTTGTGATGTTATTGATTAATGATATTCTGACATTCTTGTTCAGACATTCAAGTGGTATTTGTAGAAGATATGGAATTGTTCTGTTTATTGAATCCTCGGATGTCAAAGAGAAGACTAAACTATTCATCACATTATTTTCTTCAAATATATCGTCATTTCCAAAGAGTACTTCTAATATAGAAATACAATTATCTGATATTAATATATTTACTAATTTCGAAATTGTCTCTCTAGAAAATAGGCTATTCATAAGGGATGACCAATTCACAAATAATTCTTGTAATGTTTCCCTTTTTGTTAGATCGTCGATATCTTCTAAATATTGTAGTAATTTTGATTCAGTCATACTAATATCGAAATCTTTGTACTCTCTCAACTTTAGGATAAAAAATAGTTGGTCCCTAGACAGCTTATTATCCATTTTGAAAATACTAGTTATTTCAGTTTTTGCGACAACAGAAAGTAGTTTATCTGGGATGATATCGTCATATATTTGCATGACAAGATATCTAAGTTCCCATATTTCACTACCACTCTCGATAGTATCAGTAAATAATGGTGAGAATATTTCTTTTAAATCAGGCAAAATAATGTAGGAAATTAAGGGTAAGCTCTTCAAATAGATTTTGGAAATTAATGTAGTCATTTCACTGACTTCAATTGAAGTGACTTTGGCTACCATAGCAGTAAAGGTCTCCTTTAGCTGACTAATAGACAAAGTCGCAATGTTCTTTATAATCTCATGAGTTATTCTCTGATCAATTAGAAAAATTGATGTGTTTATCATCGTTTTGTTCTCATAACAATACTTTTCGAATAGTTTTAGGAATTTGGGATACTCTCTGGCATTGATATAACAGTTTAAGAATTTTTTCCAAATATCAAATATGACCTCACTAACTGGTGGAGATGCCTTTTGTTCTTCTATTATGCTCATTAAAGTTGACGATTTCTGAATACCAATTTCTAAATCTAACTCTAAAAGATGACCCAGTAGGTTCCAAAATGTAGAGTCATATATATTGGTTGATCTCGCATTATCTACGGTTTGAACGAATAATTTTTCAAGAAAATCATGGGACATAGTCTTCTTGGATGATGATAATAACTGTAATAATTTCACTACAACTGACGGTTGGACAGCAATAATATTTTCAAAAATAGTCTCTAATTTCGTGAAATCATTTTTTGCTACATATTTGTTTGATTCCTCAAACAAAATGGTTGCAACACTGTCACCAATCATAATCTTATTTCTCTGGAAAAATTTATCCAACAGGAGTAATGGGTTAATATCTCTCCCGAAAAGGTATTTCCCTAAGTAAGTAGAAAATTTTTTGGCCATGTTATGATTAGAGTCTACTGTGTTATTGTCATTGCAGTACGCCAAATATCTGAGAATTGACAGAAGTAATTCATTGCAAAATACAATAGATAATTTATGGTTAATTTCTAGCAAATTATCAAATCCAATTAAAGTTATTATTTCTTGGATAAGTAAATTTCTCTTTTCATCATTAAAGGTCGACAGATCTGTTTTTAAGACGAGTAAAATGGTATTGGATAATATTGAACAAGACTGCTCAAACGAAATCTCTACTGTTGATGTAGCATTGATCAATCTACATGTCTTTAAAAGAGACATGGCCATTTCAGTTGCATCGATATCCGACGATGAAAGGACATGTTGTAAGAGAGCTGTAAATTTTAATTGTTTAAATAACTTCTTCAATATGACATCATCGTTAACTTCTAACCACATATCATTGAAAATATTCCATATTTGATAACTGTTTTTAAATTCTACTTTCTTTTGGTCATTCCATCTATCTTCGATCAATTCAAGGACAAAGATTTCTTTATTAGGGAAGAAAAAATCCAATTTAGTAAATCCTGCAATAGTGTTACAGATTTCATCTGGTGAAGTATCCTTTGCACGCAGGAGCTTAGTTATTCCCTCGGCAGATGTTGGAAAACTCATTATGTTCTGTCCTTATTCTTGAGCATCTACTAATCAAAAGTATAAGGTAATAAACTTCAATTTGAAATTAAACCTAGTCTTATAATTGAATCTACTAGTCGAGATGAGCTTGGGCATCGATCTCTCTTTTTCATTTTTTGCTTTCCCTTCGTTAATCATCAAAAAATTTTCAAGAAGGTCACGTGTAAAATTACCAAATTTGAAAAGTTAGTTTTCTTTAATTTTTTCGTTGTAAACAGCATGGTAAATATCAATGAATAACCATAACTAAAAGGTGATTAAAACGATATTATTGACTTTTTGGTGATCTTTTACATATCTCATCGTTAGTTGCAATTCTGGTTATTACGAACTTGATATAGTCTATCATTTAGAAGGTGTCGTTCACTTTGACTAACCAAAAATACGGAATTACAATTTTATAAATAATTCAAAGACAAGAGAGCTAGCATGATTAACCAAGACAGCATAATTGACCAAGATAGCAATGGTCTTCTAATGGATGTAAGTAACATGGATTTCTTAAACGATTTAGATAACAGACCTAGTAACTCAAAGAACGAAAATAGCGAGGATGGTCTTGATCAATCTTTGATATCAAACGGAAGTGAGGAAGAGCTCTATCACAGGGATTCTATCACAGGTGATCTAGTGATGAATTTGGCAAAAAAAGATGAATTACCACTCAGAAAAGGTGATAGTGGTAAATTAAAATTAAAATTGAGCAATTTAGGCGGTTACAATTTGGCCTATGTTACGGGTAAAGAAAATGAGATGTTGTACCCGGTCAGCATTCCAAACATGGACAATAATAAACAATATTATAAGTATATAACAAGCTTATTCCAAATATATCAAGATTTAGGGGAACACAGATCCTATAATATTCCAACTATTGGTGTTATCAATTCAAGTTATCAGGAACAGCATATTGCTAGTGTGAACTTAGCTCTAGAAGCTACGTTTTCAGAACTAGAATATTTTCTGAACGAAATTAAAGACGAAAAAGTGTCAATTGATAGATATATGAACCTGGAAGATTCTATGATAATATTACAATGTCTAAAAACAATTTATTTCACGTTGGATTCACCAGATGAAGAACAAAAACGAGAAAACTTTATTGTTGGATTAATTGAATGGGTCAATCGTTCTGATGGGGAACCAAATTCTCAGTATATTAATCATGTTTTCGACACTGACAATTCAGAGAAACCAGTTTTCCAAACCAACTTATTCTGGAGATTATTGAATCAATTGCTTCTTAGGGGGTTGTTCGAACAAGCTGTTGGTTGTATTGAAAAATCCAGAATTCTATCCAGCTTGAAGGATATATGTCAAGTATCTTATAATGCATTATCGGATTTAAGTACCCTCCTAAAGCATTACCCAATGGATTCCGATGAATCTTTTAGAGAATGGAAAGCGATGGTGTTGGAACTGAATCAGACTTTTTCAAATAGTGAAACAAATGTATCAGGTGAACTACGTGATTCTATTGAAGATACACTGTTATTAGTTGGTGGTGATCGATTTAAAATCTTAAACTACTCCAAAACATGGTACGAGTCATTTTGTGGATTCATTCTATATTATATTCCAACTTTGGAACTGGCTGATGAATATCTAAAACTTTCTGTTGAAAGGAATGCAATAGATATAACAAGTAACTGGGAAGAATGTTGCGCATCCATCATTAAAGGTAATGTATATTCAATTTTTCCCGTATTAGAATCATTGGATAACTGTACAGCCACATTTGCTGCTGCTATTTGTGAGGCAAAGGGTTTGCTTCGAAATTTATTTACGGGTGAAGATGAAGATATCGAATTACTGAGCCAGCACGAAGAAGATCATGTGTTTACCGACCTACTATCTCAAAAGAATGGTATTGCATACTATATGATTAACAATTTGGCCTTTGAATTATGTTCGTATGATAATAAGGATTTATGGCCAATCGCAATAGGTTTGATTACATTCGTTCCTGTTATTAATTCTGGAGCTAAAAGAATGACTATTGGTGAGTTATTGCAACATTATCCTTATCAAACCAACGATGATATTGAATGGCTCTTGAGTGTGTGTGCCCAATGGAAGTTACCATATGTCACAAAATCCTTATTTACAAAACTTGGTAATTCAATGATGTATGAAGGGAAAACTATTGAAGCCATTACTAACTTCAGTAGAGCCGGTAGATTTGATCTAGTTAAACAATACTCATGGACTCTATTTGAGGCATCTGTAGTGACTGGTAAACCATTAGAAGATGAAGTTTTAACGGCGATCGTTCAAGGAAATGAACAGTCTTTGGACGAATCAGGAATGATGACAGAAGATATACTCAATAGCTTAGTGACGAACGCAATGAAACAGACGTTATCTCCATATGCGGTTCTTTTTAGGTTTTACGAGGAAATTGAGGAGCAAAATTGGCCCGTAGCATTAGATTTATTAGTTGAGTTGATTACTTTCAAGTATTTACCAGATCATTATTTGGTACTGTTGGTAACAAAATTCTTATTCCCAATTTTCTTAGAAGACGATTCTAAATTAATTGGTGAGGCTATGGTGATTAGCATAATCGAAGCGATTGAATTGAAATGGAATTCTGAGAATAAAAAATCACAGAATGTCTATAATGCAGTCCTTGAGGCTGATGAGACACTTGAGAAGACTCTTGGTGATAGTTTAGATGATGCCCTAAAAACTATCAGAACCAAACTCAATTATAAACTATGTCAAGAATTTATGTAAGTCATATAAATTGAAATTGAAAAATATTAGCAATAATAAAATAATACGCGTTACAAATAAAAGTAATGTATGCAATGGATTACCAGTGTTATATTACATAACAAATATAAATATGAATAGATATATAGGTCTTATAGAGTAGGTATATGCATAAAATAAAATGTAATAAAAGAAGAGAGAAACAAAAGATTTACATTCTACCTAGGAAGAACAGGTCTAACAAACGACATCTTGAGTAGCTCTGGAGTTTAAAAGTAAAGCAACAATCAAACCATATAGACCCAAAACTTCGGCAAAAATCAAAATCAAAATCATACCAACAAATAATCTTGGTTGTTGAGAAGTACCTCTAACACCTGCATCACCGACAATACCAATGGCGAAACCAGCAGCCAGTCCACTTAGACCTACAGATAAACCGGCACCCAATTGAATGAAACCAGTGTATAGAGCTTGTTTTTGACCAAGGGAGTAACAGACCAAGACAGAGACAACCAGACCATAAATGGCAATGATACCGGCCATAATAACTGGAACAATGTTCTTAAACAACAGGTCAGGTCTTAGGACACAGGTTGCACAAATTCCAACACCAGATTTGGCAGTACCATAGGCAGCACCAAATGATGTAAAGATGATGGCTGCAGCGCAACCCATGGCACCAAAGAACGGAGCATAAACAGGACACAAATCACTCATTTCAATTATTAACGTATTTTTTGGAAGGTAAAGATTGATGAACTAAATACTTGCTAATATTAATCGAAATTTTTATTGTTGTTTCTTCAAAATTCTATATTAAAGATAACAAACATTATTGCAATTTCCTAATTATTACTACATATATATGTATATATTTATATAATCAGCCTGCTGTAAGCGCAGCTGCTGCATCGTTTTTCGGCATTTTTTTTCCTTCTCGCAGGGCTCCTAAGAGAGGCAGCCAGTTGGTTGTAAAATAGAGAGCAAACACATATAAACCCTAGAGACAGTTAGGGTTTGAATTGTCTGTTTTTAATCCAACTGAACATCATGGCATACGATACAGCAAATATACTCTCAGATTCTCCGACAAAATATACTGTGGCATCTAAATATAAGAATATGGATATAATTTCCCATTATTAATGGAGCTTATCTGAATTTGTTTTTATTTATTTGCAATTTGAGTTTGAATGGAGTGATACAAGTTCAGTATATTAATCAGATAGTACTGTTAAAGGGCACGAAGGATTAATAATTATTGTTCGAAACTTGCAACACTATCAGGAAAGAAAATTCAAATATAGACAAAAATAGAAATAAAAAACATAACGGAATCACATGTCTGGTTTTGACAAAAGGCCTTGACGTCAGTAATATTTTAATGAGAAATCTTGAAGATTCCATAAGAAAAAAATGGAAAAATAAAATTAGCGCCGCTCGGTTTCGATCCGAGGACATCAGGGTTATGAGCCCTGCGCGCTTCCACTGCGCCACGGCGCTTCTAATTTTACTTTTTTTAAAATTATATCTGTCATTTTGATAAACGTCATTTTTAACATGCTTCGGATAGTTCTGTTAAACGGAGTTGCTGTTATTAAACTGCTCATCTTTTGTACATAGTAACGTTGGACTATGTAGCTCCTGTAAACGTAAGTTTGAAATCGAGAATATACGATTAGTATTCGAGTTGAAATTATCGGACATAGTTATAGATATTCAAATGTATAATCTTGTGGTTTCATTTTATGTTATATAAAGTAAGTCTATATAAGGAAGATTGTATATATATAAAGTTAGAATATGTGGTCCTTTTATACTTTTGGAAAAGGAAAACAGTCTACCAAATATTGAT